CAGAGCTTGTCCGCGTCAGCCGTGTTTGCATGCCAGTGACGGGTTGTCGATGCTGGTCCATGCGTCGTTGTTCGTGTCTCTGCATGTGTGTTCTAGGAGCGTATAGGAGCGTCACTTCAGATTTCTTCAGATCCTCGAAAGCCTGAGGTGAGACGCTGCGTTCCATGGTCAAGACCGGGGAGTTGGAGATCCAGGCGCGAGAGCCTTGTGCGGCCTGCCAGTGGCCAAAGCAACCAAACATCACGCTGCAACCTGCGGTTCGGCCACAAGATGCAGTCCTCAAACCTGGAACCAGGGGGTCCCTTTTGAAGGAAATGGCCGAAACCAGGCCCTTGCTGAGATTTCATGGTTGGTCTCCTGCTCCCCTCTTCGCATCTCGCATCTCGTCCAGGGCGGCATCTACCACCTGGCCACGGGCCGCGTGGAGTTCCTGGGGCGGTCCCCGGTGCAGGCGGAGCTGCTGTCCTCCTCCAGCGCCTTGCCGCCCTCCATGGCCTCCCTGCCCATCCGCACGCCAGGCAGCCGGGGCGGGGGGCGGGTTTTTTTCTCTCTGAACAAGCCAACTCAGCAGACTTATGAACTTGGGATACGAACCTGCTATGAGCCACGTTTATGTCAGGGTGGTCATTGAGAAGAGGTGAGGGATTTTGGGGTGATATGAGATATGCAGTCTGAAAGACTCGAGTCGAGCAGTCGTAGCCAGTCAACTCAGAGCAGCAGGAAAAGTTGCAGGACTTTGGGGGCAGAGCAGGGTGGGTGCTGGGTGTCCAGGCAAGCCTGACATGTGGTACGTTGAGCTCAGGGCAGTTTTTGCTGAAGCTTTGAAGTCGAAGCATAGCAGAGGAGAGTGTTGAGTCCGGAAGGACGGAGGGGAGAGTTGAGTGCTGCTTCGTGTGCCAGGCAGCGGCCCCGTGAAGCCGGAGGCGGCGTTGCAGCTGCTGCAGGCGGGCAACAAGCGCTTCACCAACGGGGCGGCCATCGCTGGGAAGGTCACGCCGGTCATGAGGCGCGCTTGATGGGCATAGGTGTTGGTTGAATCAGATGGGATTTCCCAGAGGCTGCGACATCTCCTGTGTTGGCGCATTTTGACTGCATGTTGTTGCTCGCATGCATGTTGCGCCTTTCACTGTTCACCGTCATTCACCGTCAACGTGTTCTGAGATTGGACATGGACAGGCTGAAACCCCTCCGTGCAGATCATGCATGCGCATTCCGCCGATTGGTTTTAATCATGGTGAGGCTTAACACTAACTTATCCAGTCTTCTTCATGACATAGGTCAGTCACTTGGGGCTGGTGAGTTGCAAGACGCAACATGCGCCTGGGACCCTTGCTTCGCATCCGCCTGGCAACGAGCATGTCAGTCGATTGATAATTCGTGCGCCAAATGGGTGTGTCTTAAAAATATGGAACCCCCCCTCCCCCCAAAAACTGTAAGAAAACAAGGTGGCGTGTCCTTTTGGTTTCCCTGTATATGTAAACCAAGCCTAAAACTCATTCCCTGAGTTTTCCTGGCGAACCAACTCTGGAAGTCAGAAACAAAAACTAGATGCCCTCGAAAAACAGATAGACCCAACTCATGTTGCAGGAAGGCGCTGGTCGTTGAGGGCCAGGCCCCTCACACTGCCATTGTGGGCTGCGCCGACTCCCGCGCACCTCTGGAGCCGCGGATGTTGAGACGGATGGGGGTGTGGCTCAAAGTAGGGGACGACTTTTTGGCTGGCTTTAAAGGGAAGCCAAAAGGAAACCACCTGGAGGGGTCCCCAATGTTGAAAAATGTTGAGGAACATCCATGTAGAGTCTCGAGAGATAGAGAACGTTACGTAAGTTGATTTCGCCATAGGTAGGTGCTGCAAGAGTTTCTTTACATTGGGCCAGGAGACGGTCTTCGACGCCATGCCCGGCGACATCTTCGTGCTGCGAAACGCCGGGAACACCTGCACCCACGCGGAGGCAGGAAAATAAAACGAGCTCACCCGAAATGAAGGCCATTGCTTGGGGATTCCTCAGCTGGTGGTTGCAAGGGAGCCGTTCTAATGAGCTGGGTATCTGATTCAGCCACAGATTTCGTGTTGCACATGTCATGACAGATTTCGTGTTTCGCATCACCGAGGGCAGCATCTTGGGCAGCCTCGAGTTCTGCACAGCGGCCCTGGGCAGCAAGCTGATCCTGGTCTTGGGCCACACCAGCTGCGGAGCCATCAAGGGCGCCACCAAGGCCCAGAGGGAGATAGCTAAGTCCATTGGGAGTCCAAGGGATGAATTCCCTTTGCAAGTAAACCCAAGGAGCAAAAGGGAAGGGCGCGGCCTTCAAGTTTCTTTGCGCCACCAAAGAATTTCGTCGGCCACTCCTCCGAATTGGGACGGCACAAGGCCTACATGGCCTCCAAAGCGGGGAAGGCCCCGCAGGCCGGAGACTTAGAGACTGGCATGACTCATGACCCGGATTCGGTGCTCGGTGCTTGGAGTCTCCATGACCCTTAAAGAACGGGGTCATTACCCAAAATAAAAGGGGTCATGGAGCCATTTTTTGAGGGTCATGGAGACTCTAGGTACGGATCTCCGTTGCGTGGTGCATTAGCTGTGCTGTTTCATGGCTTGACACAGACGGAGCCCATGTGAGCTCTTAGTGTTGAGGTCAGCAAGGCCCTGGACGCCCTGCTGAACGGCCTCAGCGTGGTGGCGGGCAAGGCAGAAGCCCAGCTCGGCAGCGGTGCGTCGGAGGAGCAGATCGCGGATCTCTCCGTGAAGCTGACGCACGGAAAGAGGGAGACGGGCAGACCTTTCAGTTTACTCACTTCGTCCTTCGTTTCTTTGAAGGTTGAAGTGCAGTTCGGGTTGCATCGAAATGGGAGGCGCGGCAAAGAAGGATTGGCTTTTGAGGAGAACATGCAACAAGTTCAGAGGCAGGTCATGTGCTTGAGCTGTGAACTTCTGAGGAACGTGTTCCACACCATCGACTTCCTTCTTCAGTACAGCGGTGTCGTGCGAGAGAAGGCCTGTTGTGACCAGCTTTGTTTTCCGGCTAGGTGTCCCCAGCCCCAAGCCAATGCGTTGACCTCTTCTGGTTTCTTGTTCCTGGACGCACATCCGGCGCACGGTTTTTAGGCCATAGGATCTGAATGACAGGGAGTCGCCACGGCACCTGCTCGTAGGCCCCACTGCCGGAGCTCTCTGGGTGTAGTCTCGCGGCGCCAAACCGTTGCCTCCGTAAGTCCACCGGTCCATTTCGTTGGGGGCCTCCCTTTCCAGGTCAGCTCGGGCGAAGTGGACATCCAGGGCGGCGTCTATGACTTGGAGAGCGGCAAGGTGGAGTTCTTGGGCCGAAGCCCGAACCACACCAAGCTCCTGCGGTCTGGTGCCTCCCTGCCTCCGTCCATCAGGAACTGATAGCTCGATAGCTCACCGTCCGGAAACGGGCACCCCAAAGGGATGTCTTGGTTCCCTGCATTTCTCCGAATTCGCGGCGCGACGTCAGCAGAGGCTAGCAAGGGCCCTTGCCAGTCTGCGCCGCTTTTATACCCTTTTCAGGATGTGCTTGTATAATCTTGCATATCCTTTTTGGATTCCAGTTTTAGATGTCAAACCAAACTGCCACTCGGTGGCATGTGGTCGTGCTTGCAGCGCCGAATTCTTGAAGGTTGCTGCCGTGCACGGTCCAAAACCCCTGCGACAGCTGCTCAGGCAGGCGAAAAAGTGCGATTTGGAGCCCACCCTTTCTGAGGTGATCCTGGAATTCTTATTTGGCTGCATGTTTGCTTGAGAGTACCCGTTTTAGGTTGGTCTGAAGAGAAACGAATATGAACATATCCTCTCCCTATGGAGCTAGCGTATGCTTGCCAGGTGTTGGACAGGCTAAGCAGTGCTAAGACCATGGGGCGGAAGGCCGGCCGGTCGGCCGCATTTCAGGCGCAGACACTGCGCTTCAGCGCCTGCAAGCTGATCGCCCGATCGCGTGGTGCGAAACTTCTTGGGCGTGCTGATTGCGATGTGGGTATGTCTTTTCTAGGGGGTGCCCTTTTGGTTGGCTTTATTAGCCATTTTTTGGGTTCCCCTTATATACCGATACCCATATTGCCGAAGAGCGGGGATGGTTGCGATATTGGCGAAATAATTGAGCAATAGTCGATCGTTGAGCATCTCATCGACGTTGACTATTGAGTGAGCCAGTCTTTTGCACTTCTTTCAGGGTTGCATTCTTCTAATTCTCGGTCCTATGTCTCAGTCAAAAGACGTTCGACCAGCGAGAGAGTGGCTGACTTCTCGGCTCTCAGGGTTGCACCTCGGCATGAGCAAGCGCCAGGGCAGAGAACGTCAAGGTGTCATGCCTTGTTTCGAGTTTCCTGAGCTGATGAGTACTCTGCAGAGAGACATTGCCCAACTTCATTTTCTGAGCCATTTCTTCGATTTGGGCCGGCCGATTTGGAGTGGCGCAGGGCGGCGCAAGGTTGCGGGCGGCTCGGGTTTGCTGGGTGGCCCTACATGGCGTCTGCGTGTTGGAAGGGGGCAAATCCTCCGCGTGGTTGGTGTCCTAAAAGGGGAGCATTCCAACATCAAGTTGGCATCCTCTAGGATTTTCTGTGGAGGGAGAGCGAGAGAGAGGGGAAAAAGGAGCTAAAGTGTGAATCACCAGCTGTTTAAGAGCACGATGTTTGGCGGTGGCTTCTCCAAAGTTCCATGCTTTTCATGGTTGAAGGGTGTCCCCAATCAACCCTGGATATGATGAGAAACAAACTATTGCCTGGGAGACTCGTCCTCGACTGTGGACAACCATTCCCATGAAACAATACTTCATCCGTTGCTCTCAATTCACCACCGAAGACAAACATGTCCTGGTTTAGATGAAATACCCTCCTGTCCACGTTGGAACCTCTGTTTTTGTTGTGTGTGTGTGTGTGTTGTTGTTGTTTTTTTGTGGGGGGGAGGTCCTTTGAAAGGACAATCCTCAAGGACCCCAGTGAAATTCCATGTTGGACGGGAGGGTACTTTCGATCCAAGGCCATGGCGGCTGCCGCTGTGGCGCCAGCCTACGACGAGGTCAGCCGAGTTTGTCGCTGAACTCCAAATTTGTTGAGCCCCCGATTTTCACGGCCTATGTACCGAATTTGTTTGTTTGTGGGGTCAAAGTGAGTAATTGGTGTTTCAGTGTTTCCCTTTATCCCGTCACTTTGGGGGTGACTCTGAAAAAATACGGAGGCCAGTCATCCTTTGAAAACTAGGAAAACTGCTGCTCGCTCTCTGTGGATGGACAGCAGACGTTTCGCACCCACTGGGATGGCATGGGCGCACTGGGGACTCAGCCTTTGCCCTAACAAAATAGCGGAGCCAAAATGGTACGATTCCGCGTGCATCAGCCTTTTTCAAGGACCCAAAGGAGGCTTAAAACTGGGTGTTGCCTGTTGCTCTTGTGTTCCCTCCGGAGCGGTCTGGAGATCTCGCGGCTCCAAAGCGTCGGAGGGAAGAAGAAGAAGAAGAATAAGAAGAAGAAGAAGAGGAAGAGGAAGAAGACGACGAAGAAGACAACATAATCGAAGAGAACGGCAAAAACGGAAAAGCAAGCAGAGTCATCGAACTTGTGCAGCTGCACCTGCTCACCAGCGCGTCCATGGCTCTTTCCTGAAAACAGCACGAGAGCCTTCGGCTGAGCCACAGGGGAGTCTTTTTGACCGCTCGAGCGAAACCCCAAGCAATCGCATGAGGCGCAGGCACTTCTCTCCGATGGAGCCCGGGAGGCGCGTTTGCAGGGAGCCACGATGAGTTCTCAGAGAATTTGCACTTCTCAAAAAGGGCGTGCCCTGAAATGTTTGTTTCCATTTAGAAAGTTTCCTTCAAATACCAACGAAAAAAAAGGGCTCTCAGAGGGTTTCGGAGGACCACCACAACACCCGGGTAAGATGCGGCAAACTTCAGTTGTTCCCTGCTCCGCGCTTGCACCGTCAATGTGTTGGGCATTCAACCTGCCTGAAATTCCCTTTGGAAGGTTCACTTTGCAGCATACTCCTCGGATGGTGCAGGGCGGCCTCACGCTGCAGCCAAAAACTTGTGCTGCGGAAGATGGGTATGGGTCAAAATTAAAACACCGGGACTTGGACCGCAGGTTTTAGTCCATGTTTCCATTTACCAGGGCACGCCTGTGAGCCACAGCCAGATTGGGGTGATGTAGGAGGAGGGGTAGGGACTTAACTGCTATTGGGTTGGATCTTTCGACCTTAACTTTTGGGTTGAAATCAAGTTGGGTTTTCCACGAACCCCCCCAAAAAGTGGTCAACTTTTTGCAGGGGGGTCAACAGCAACCAAGGGGAGGCAGCTGGAGGGATGAAGAAAACAAAGCAAAAAAAAGACGCCTGCGAGGCCCAGCAGCCAGTAGGCTCTACCTCGAATCCGCGGGACGGACAGTTTCAAAGACCAGTTTTGGGGTCAAAAATCGGGTAACCCCAAAATGGCTTGCCCTGGTAAATGGAAACATGGACCAAAACCTGCGGTCCAATTCCTGGTGGTGTAAGTTTGACCCATACCCGTTTCATCGAGCCAAACTGTCTCCTTGATAGCTTACAGCTTGCGCAAGTCGGCTATGTTCATTCATATACTGACTGGATGTCTGAGACTGCTTAAATTGGGCTGATTTGCTGTGGGCCTGTCCAGGGTTTCTTGATTTCAGATGCCTGGACCTTCCGTATATCCACCACCAATCGTGCTTGGAATGGATCATGTTGCCAGTAGTCAAGCTGCACATGCTGGGAAGTCCCTGCTTGGCGTTTTTCAATTGTTCCAATTAGTTTCTGGGCCCAACAAATAGCATGGGGCCGGACAAAACGAAGAAGCCCCCCTTGCTCGTTCTTCGGCTCATTCCATCCGCAGGGCCAACTGCTCGATGAGGAGATCTGCTGGCTGCGGGGTTGGTGGCAAGTCGGTGGAAACCACTACCCCCCCACTTGCCCAAAGCGAAATCGACCTTTCCATCCCCTGAGTTGGTCCGTAAGATTTAGTCAAGGCTCCAAAAGGTGATCACCTCTTATTGAGTGAACCTAGTTGACTTCGCTGGGGTCTCCTCCATATGAGCAACGGACGGGTAGTCTGTTGATTTGGAGGGGACATGGGGGCCTACCCAACGTTCCCTTTTCTCTCACAACAAAAGAGGGGGGCCTACGCAACTGAACCCACTGTGAATCAGTGTGAGTAATATTGTCCATAGGTAGACTAATTATGAAACATTATCCCTTTTTGATTGTAATTCCTCTTGGGCAAGTGTAGATGACTACGAAAACCGTGTGGTGGACAGAAACTCTGAACATTTGTTTCTTCTTTTTTTATGTTCCCAATGTGGGCCAGGTTAAAGGGAAAGATTCGGTACACTCTGCTTGGAGGCTGGGGGTTCAATCTATGAAATTCGTCCTGGGAAGCTTTAACAAAAACAACTTTTTTGAGGGCAGCACCCTATTGTGACACATCCAACTGGCGCCGGCCGGCTTTTTTTTCCCCCGAGGAGGAGAAGTCTACGGATCAGCTGGCTAAGGAGATTGCTGCGACTGGATAACTCGAATGCAAAGGGAGGGAGTCTCGCACGGGGACATGTTGTTTCCATTTGGAAGGCGCGTTTCTTGTTTTTCCCCAATGGCTTCCAAGGTCCATGGTTTCGGATGGCTCGTTAAATCCAAATATCACTTAATTCCTGCACCAGCTGGGATGGATGAAACCTATGCATGCTGGCTAGGCCACAGATCCCAACTGGTGCAGAATGAATCTTGTCCATCGGGTTGTCTATTCCTTTTGTTGCTTCAACCATCATCTCGTGGTTGCCAGCGTGAAGTGAGGTTCCTTGAGGGGTGATGGTTCCCCGTTGGGCACAAATTGTTGACCCTTTAGCTATTGGAGCAGTCCGTTTCGAGAACAAAGGGAACCCCGAGCCGATGGTTTTTCGGTTTCCACAAGCCAGGTCATGTCATGGACCTGAAAGGTGGGCCACAGGGCTATCCCCATAGACCTCCCTGGCTCCATGTCATATTCATTGACCCCGGATTCATGGCGGATAGCCTAAAGGCAATGGTTGTGTTTCTCCAGTGAAGGCTTACCTCTAAAGTGGCACCCCAACAAAGACAACAACCAGGAGTGTATTCCCAGACGCCCGGTACCCTTCATTCCTTTTTTTTTTTTTTTTTTTCGACGAGTTTCCCTTTAAACTCAACTTCCCAGAAAACAACGAGTGCCCTTTCTTCCCATGCTCACTGGGTGTTTGGGGCTGGGTGAAATGGCATTTTGCTCAACGGGCCCATTCCTTTGGTCAATTTCCATGTTGGTAGGGTACTGTACGGGCACATAAGGGCAACCAAAAGGGGATAGACATGTTTGCATCTTCTTGGTGGGGCATTTACTCCGTATGGGTGTGTCTTGAAATAGGAGCAACCCCCCCAAAATCGGGTGGTTTCCTTTTGGCTTGCTTTTAAGCCAACCCTAACATGGGTACCTTCAAAATAAGACCGACCCCTGTTTATCCAGGGTATTCATCCCGGATCCAACTTTTGTCGGGAAGAGATCTGGTTTGACGTTCTGGGAGCTACCAGAGGAGCCGGACGAAAAGTCCCAGAGGCGAATCGACTCGTCCGAATCAGCTGGGCGTGGCCTTTGGGAGACCTCCCTAGATGAATTGTGGTTTTCCTTTTGGCTTCCCCTTACAACCAACACAGGGGTGGCCTCAACAAAGGACATCCAGATGTCACCGTGTGATTGATGAGTCAGGCGTTTAAGAGATTGATGGGTATTTGCTGATCGCAGGCAACTAAGAGTTGGATGCATGCTCAGCCTCTTACTCTGAGCCATGGACTTTGAAGGAGCCTGGCCAATGTTTGTCATCCAAGCCTGGAATCCCCCAAGACAGAAACCGCACTATTAGACCTTAGTGGGGCCTGGCCAAGAAGACGTAGCTGGATCACTTGACAAGGGCATCTCCTCGCTTGTGTTTTTGCAGGCTGACACTGACTCAGTACCCCTTTGTTGGTGGATTGGTGGTTGGATTGGGATTTGAAGCCCAGTTCCTTTTGGAACCAAATGGGAAAGGAACCCCTCAACCTCCCAACCACCACTCCAGGGAAAAGTGACTGACACTCTTATCCAAGGACTTGCTGTGTTGCCATGTCCCTATTTGACGATTGGACTGTAGCTCAGGTTCACCTTCTTGGGAAGTTATGGTTTAGGGCTAAGGTTGCGGAGCAGATTGGACGGCCTCAATGCTGCGCTCCTCTTTGGGTTCGTGGACGTGAAATGAATGAAGTGAACCATGGGTGTACCGTGATGTCAGGTCCAAAGGCATCCAGAGCCTTCGGTTCAAGTGGTATGGTGTTGAATCTGATTTTTGGTCAGATTTCCATTTTTTCCCAACCCCTATTCAATGCTCAGTTGTTCAGTGGCACCCTTTTTTCCCCCTTTTTTTGGCTGGCCCACCAAAAATGGTCTTCCCCAAAAAGGGTTCCCTGTTTTGTTCCAGGGTCACTGAACGCCTGAGAATGAGAAGCCACCCATTTTCGTAGACCCAGAAAAGCCAGAACCGCACGGCTGGCCCCAAGCTGGCCAGGTCGGCCAGCTTGGAGTCGGTGTCCGCAGCCGCGCAGGCCGCTGGTTTTGGGGGGTACCCGACAGAGGCCCAGAAATTCAGCTACAGAACCATGAAAAGAATACAGTAAATCAGTTACAAACCATGGGAATTTACGGTAAATCACCTACAAACCATGGGAATTTACGGTAAACCAGTTACATGGGAATTTACGGTAAATCCACCCACAAACCAGGGGAATTTGCAGCTACAAGCCATGGGACTTTACAGTAAATCCACCCACAAAGCATGGGAATCGACAGAATTTCCCTTGTTCACTACTTGCAATAGTTGGAGCATCCACCGTATCGATTTATGTGACTTTTTATTCATCCTAGCATTATTGTCGAATGTTGTCGACACCGTTTTTGTTGTTGTTGTGTTTTATTTTTCACGTTTTGGGTTGTTCAGAAGCAAGTATTTCAACTACTTGGAAGCACTGTACCGTGTAAAATTAGATTTCAGATTTCGGTTTGTGTATGCAGGGATGACGCATCCCGGATGAATAAACGTTTGGTGGATTAATAAGGGGGTGTCCCCGTTCAGTGGGAATCCGACTCTTTTGTGGGCAACACCTACCCCAATGATAGGCCGTGTTTATTAATACGGGGTCAACATTCAGGGATGACTAAAAAGCCAAGGGGACTTATGTCATCGAATTTCACCCAACCCTTTCTGGGTTGCTAAAAAAGGGAAACCCTTTGGGCGTTGGCCGGTTCACCTTGACACCAGGACTGGAAGTTCGACTGCAAGTATCACCGTTGCTGTGTTGTTTTATTGTGGATGGACAAGTTGGTAGGTGCCTTATCCCAGCATTGGGGTTTCATCCATCCCAACTGCTGGTCTTTGTACGGTGTTGACAGCTGGTCAGAAGGTTCGGCCCTGGAGCAGGTTGCTCTGACAAGCTGCCTTTTCAAGAAACCTTCTAGAATGGTTGCTTGTCGCTGCGGCAAGGTCGTTGATTGCATGGTTGACATGGATTGCTGCTTCTCCGCGAGAAAGTGCCGTTTCGCGGCCAAAAAGCGCGGTTTCGCCGCGCAAAATCGCCGTTTCGATTGGCAGCTTGCGGGCCAATGGGCAAAAACACAAGGTGAGCAAGCATCGAGCGGACTTGAAACAGGAGAAATGAAAGACAGCAAAATCTTCAAGTAAGCTCACAACAACTCCTGAAACAACAACCACTCAAGAATAACCTCCTCGCGGCGTCCAAAATGCATTGTTTTGTTTGCCAAAAGTCTAAACAAATACCTGTCATACATTGCCGCAAAGGGGGCGTAGGGCACACTCACCAATTTACCATTTGGACGTGGGTTGCTCACCAAAATACAATGTCCATCGGAAGTCACAGTGAATATTGACTGGGGAAGCAAACTGTGTAACTGTGGAAGTGAAGAATCCCTGCCTGTGCAAGTCTTGTCTCAAAGGGGAACCCTCGAAATGGCCAGTTTGCTTTTAGTTCGAAAACTTTAACACTCCAAAACGGTTGTGCCATTCTCCTCAAAAATGATCCACAGACACCCCATGGCTCTGTGTCCTTTTTGCCGGAGGCAAAAGCAGCCGCGCAGGCGGGAGGTGAAGAGATGGGCTGCGGGTTCTTCTTCCCCAGAGGAAACATCTCCGTGCCGAAGTCAAAAGACCCCTTTCCTTGGGGAATGGAGTCAACGGAAGAGGGGCGAGTGCTGGATTTCCTTTCAAACAGACCTGGAGTTCGGTTGGTTTTTCCTCAACAGCTATAGTTGTTACTCGTAATGTGCACCCATTGAGTGCATTGGCCTCTCTTTTGGAGACAAATTCGGGTCTGTGCCAAACGGAAATAACAGGTGATCGACCTTTTGCTTGTTCGCGGGCCTTGGCGCAGCCCAAAGGTGAAGACACATCTCACTGGAGGGGTATTGCAGACCCTCGCAAGACGACTTCATCAAACGAGCCTCCGCAGAGGAAGTGGCGGGTGAGGGTTCTCATCGCCCTTGTTTGCTTTGCCAAGTTTCCGCAACGACCCATCTTCCGGCATCGAGAGATGTGCTGTGAGCTGAGACAACGGATTTCTCACCACTTGCAGACTTTGCCAAGACTTGCTCAACCACAGAGTATATAAAAATCAATTACTCGTCGTTTACCTCTAGAATCATGACGAGATCGATTTCAAAAAGCCTTCTTAAACCCATTCTAATTATTTGGACCCTTAGCATTATTTGGCTTTCAGGCAGGTTGGCCCTGCTGAAGTCTTCCCTCCACGCTTCACGACAGTGCAGAGGAAAACCGACCACGATTTTTACCCAAAGAACAACCTCACAAAGACCCAGGAGTCCAAAGGTCCAAAAACAGGAATCCTGAAAGAACCAGAAATCCAACAGAGCTAAGAACAAGAGCCTTTCAGGTTTTCCGAGGAAGAGCTGACCCAAACCGTTCGCGGCTCGCGGCAATTGCAGCCGTGCAGGCGCGGGAAGCTCAAGCGCGGGAAGCGCGCGAAGCGCGGGAAGCGCGGGAAGCGGCAACAGCGAAGACCGCTGTAGAGGCGCCGTGGTTTGGTGAGGGTGCTTTTGTCCTTTAAACTTTGCATTGTCCCTTTTGTCATTCCTTGTTGGGGTGTGTGTTTAAATCTGTGCAGGGCAAACCATCGCATTCAACAAGCTGGGATGCGAAATTCCGGCTCATATTTGTGTGTGTTTTTTGAGGGACCGCCCCCAACATGGAGGTGTCGAGCGCCAAAAGAGTCACTCTAACTTGTGTACCCGTCAAGATGCGAACTGGGGCGGTCTCGCTTCTGGACTGTCTCGCTTGACAGGCTTTACGCTACATGTCCAAAGTAATGACTGCTCCCTTACTAACTCTGACTATGATAATTCGGGTTCTCATATTTTGACACAATTCATACATATATGTCCTCTAAAGGCTGGGTCTGCTTGGCCGAATGCCCGGTCTGCTGCAGCCTTGCTCTAGGGGCCGTTGTTTTTCTTGCTGTTCAGGTCTGAGGTGCGTCTTTTTTGGGGGGCGTCTGGATGATTCTTTAAAGGGCCAGAGGTAAGCCGGCCAAACCGGGGGGGGCTCAGCCATTTGGATACCCCAAATGAGGTTCGGTCAGTGCCAGTCACACAAAAAAAAAGGCGTTTGAAACTCCGATTCCGACCGCAGCCAGGGAAAAATCAATCAATGGCCCGCAACCAAATGAATCGTCCCACCTAGAAAGCCCGGCTTCTGCTTGTTTCGTCCAAGCCCTTGACTCTAAAACCAGCCACCTTTCTTTATGATGTTCAGGTGCAGCCAGCTGCGCAGCTGGCCGTGCCGGCAAAAGGCCCAGCGCAGGCGCAGAAGGATATGAGCAACGGGCTATTTATACATATATATATATATTATATATATATATATATCGGTGTTTTTTTTTGAGGGGTGGGCCGGGGGGGGGGGGGGAATCTAAAAAAAACAAAATGTGGTCTTCCTTTTGGTTCCGCTTCAAAAGGCGCAACAAAAGAAGGGTACCCTCAAAAAAAAGATGCAGCCGCAACAAAAGGGTCGTGCCCTTGGGCACACTCACAAACATATTAAGAAATGGGGGGTTATTCAGATTCACCAAAATCCCATATCAGCTTGGGGCACTGTGAATATTGACCATGGCTCATATGTGAAACTTCAGCCAGCTGGGTTTGCGCAAACAACCTTGTATTTCTCGTGCTCTTGGGCAAATTAGTTCTGACCAGTTGGCCAGGTGGTTGAGGTAGCTTGGAGCGCCAAGTGGAACAAAGGTTTTGGACTAACATCGGTCTGATCACCGATGGCCACAAACGGGTACTAGTTTGTAGCGGTTTCGAGTATCCAATGGACACATGACGATGTGATAATTTATCCATGCGCCGCTCCAGGGCCTGCCTCCAGGCGCTCTGATGCAGGCGAGTGGGTGCTTCCCATGAGAGTTGTATCACGGAGTTGCTTGCCGCTCAAACTGACAGTGCCAAAGTGAAGGTAAACTCAGCATCTTGCTTCCTGTCAAGCAAGCTTTGAACAGTTTTCGCGTCACAGTGGCTTGCTTGAACAGTTTGCTTTGGCTTCCTTCACCCAATTTGGGACCTGGGAGTGAAAGGCAGATTCCGACTTCAAGGGCGGCTTTCGAGCAGCTTGTGCTTCGTTGCGGGCAAGGATGGATGTTTATCAACGTTTGCCAGAATGTCCTCCAAGGGATGGCCAAAATGGGGCACACCAGCCCGAAGTTACCATTCGGAAGGGGCAGGCACTCACCAAATTCCTATGGCAGTTTGGATATGAGCATTGACTGTTGCTATGCACATATGTCTTCAGGGTCTTGCCTAAAGCAGTCTGCGAGATATGACTTGCGACATCCAGGGAGTGCCACTTGTGATGCGGGCAACGAACAATATCGGTACTGTGAATTGGTGCTGTGAAGATCCCCAAATTCCCTAACTTGTCCATGTTGCTTGAAGGACGAATCAGATGAGATAGCCCTAAATCTCAACTCAGTAGTTTGGATGCTTTGAAGATTAGCAGGCTACCTTCCTTCGTGGATTCAACAAACAGAGACTCGGATTCCCAAACCACCAATCACCAAACCACACCACTCTCTCTTTCCTGAAAGCACGGTCCCTGAAGCCAAGCGCACTGAATCGACTCGATGCAAAATGGTTACCCCCCAAACCACTACCTTCAGAGGAAACCTGCGGATCGTCCCTGCATGCGGCCATATGAGGACAATTTTGTCAGGGTACCGGTATTGGGTAAGCCCATATGGGTTTCCAGGTTGGCGGCTTTCGGTTTGGGGTAGGCTCATCAGTGTTTGGTGGCAACACTATGGCTCAAAACTAAAGAGTTGGGATTACGCAGGTTTTAGTCTTTGGTTCCATTTACCAAGGTGCCATCTTGGTACCACTTTTTTGAGCCACAGAGCCGCCCAAAATCGCGGAACCCTTTCCCTCTTGGTCCATGTTATGGCCCCAAAATGTTGAGCTTTGTATTTCCAGGTCCTTTGGCAAGTGAGAGGAAAGTCAAAAGGAATCCAAGCGTTCCTTATTCTGGGAAACACCCACCCACTTCGCAGGATACTTCGCAGGGTAGACGGAATATGACACTGAGTCAGAACAAGCTATGTTCTGTGCATGCCCCAGATGTGGGGGTCATTTTTTTGTGTCAACATAGCCGGAGTTCTAAAATGGTGGTTTTCCTTTTAGTCTCCCTTCAAACCACCCCCAAAACGAGTACCCCAAGCCCATATGGCAGCTGTATCTCCCATCACCCTCAGGATGGGACACCCATGTCTGGGCCGCCGGAAGACGTCACCCCACCGTCTCCATCTCCAGGCCGGAAACAAAAAATCGGGCCGCCCCCGTTGCATGTTCAAGCACCTGCACTGATTTTCGAAATCTCACCTGCCGGTTACAACGATGATCCTTGATAATATATATATATAGTTGTACAGAGGTATTTGTTGGCACATGTGTGAGCGCTTACATCCCTTAGTGTTTCAGTGTTTTAGTGCGCACTCAGGCCCAAATCTAGGGAGCCGCGAAATCACCCGCTCCGTGGAAGTGAGAATTGCCCATGCCGGCATGGATTTCGCAAGGCTTTTTCTCATTTCCGGCAGCTTGTTTTCCGAGAAGTCAGGGCAGCGAACGTCAACATGGGCATGTGTCAAAGGGAGCCCCGAAACGATTTGGCTTGTCCTCTTCATGGTTGTTGTCGGGAAGCAAAATTTCATGTTTGCTTCTTGTGGTTTAGTGGGAAGTCCCCACTGAACAGCTATTTTTTTTTTGCTCCCATTCCAACGTCAACCAAGTTTTGGTTCCTTTCAAACTATTTCAGGATGTACCTGACCTGGGGGTCCAAAACGGGGTCATTGGGTGCATCACAAGGTACCAAGGGACGCTTAGGGTAAGGCCAGTTACCAGCGACGGAGGCCCACCCTGGAAATGACACCAATATCCACAAACCTGCAATCACTTCACAGTCGGTGGCATGTGTTTAGGTGTTGTTGTTTATTGGTTCTGTTCATTTTAGGGGGGGGGGGGGGGCAAAAAGTGTCGGTCAGTTGTTTTGCTAGACTGCAGTCACTTCACTGTTGTTGGCATGTTTTCTGTGTTTGTTAATTGGTTCTGTTCTTATGCGTGCTTTCTTCTTTCTTTTCTTTTTTGGCGGGGGGTTCAACAAACAGTCAGGTTTTTTGAACACAAAAGGAAGGTGCAGGCCAGCTTCTCCACCAAAAACGTCCCACCGGCATGCCTCACAGGCGCCAGCCCCGAGGAGCGCCTGGTCGGGCGCCCACCGGAGGGATTCCAAGAGAGGTGCACATGGAGATGTCGTAGCCCTGTTTGAACCAGGGAGAACCCCCTTGATCTGTTTTTGGGAGGGGAAGCAACCCTCTAGAGACAGGCAACATACATAGACCTCCAGCGGCGGCAAGTCAATCTTGTTTCCCCCCTTGTTTGGAGGAAAACGTTTTATACACACGCGACAAACATCGACGCAACAAAAGGGCGCCATTCGTTTTTCAATGGGAATCCACTGCGGGTTTGGACTTTCGGTTGGAAAATATTTTGGGCAGGGGGCAGCTGGGCTCGCAAGACCACCTGGGACAAGCTCACCCCCGTAACCCCGGTTCTTGAGCGTGGGTCTGTGCTTTGAGGGTGCCATCCCTTGAAACCAAAAGAAAACCGCCATTTTGGGGTTCCCATGTTTTGGCACATTCACACGTCGTTTTTCGGGGGAACGGTGTTCGCAGGATGGGGTGAAGGGGAGGGGGGGGGGTATGTTCTTTTTTCTGCTCGAAGTTCCTTCCGGGAATTGGATCTCCTGTCTACCGTGGCAAAGTTTGTGGGGCAACGTTCGGGTGCGAAGGCTGTGCCAGTCTCTCCAACGGCAGCTGCGGCATTCCACCACTGGAAGGAGGCAGGCTGTCGAGTGGATCAGCACCCCATGAGTCCATTTCCGGCAATTTGTTTGAAGGGGGAAGAGGCCACTTTTCACTTTTGGGTGTCATCCAAGTTGTTGGAACCTGACGCACATGGGCTTAATCCGTGGTCGGTCCCGCATCGGCTTGTGGCACATCAGGCACTCCGAGAATCACCGGATCCTTTTCCACCGGGCCAACGCCCGCCATTTCACGGACACAGCTCAGGTAGCAGACGCGTTTTGTCTCGGCATGTGAGGCCCGAAAGGACCGGCAAATGGTGCTCCTCTGTGGCTCTGGGGTAGCGCCTTTGTTTCACGGGGGCAAAGAACTGGGATCGACGACCCTCCTGACATCTTTTGAGCGGTCTGGTTAACCGGACGCTTGGTTTTTTTGTTTTGCTTTTTGTTTGTTTCCTTTGGCAGTGGTCTGAAACCGGGAACCCTGGCACACTTTGGGCCCTTGGACACTTTGGTGTAATGAGGATGTGGGTATGGGTCAAAATTAAACCACCAGGAATTGGAACACAGGTCTTGGTCCATGTTTCCGCTTACTAGGGCAAGCCATGCGGGGGATTCCTATTTTTGAGCCACAGCCATGTCACTTTGGAGCAAAGACCAGCGCCCAGCTGCGGTCTCCATCGGCGTCGATGCCAGGCGGAGGTCTCATTGACAGGCAGCGGCGACGAGGCTTCAAGCTCGGCCGCTTGGGCCACTGGGGTTCTCCTTTGGGTACCCTTTTGGGGCATTTTGCCAAGGGATGTCAGGACTTTAGCTTTTTGCCAACCAATGGGTTTTCCATTGAACCACTAAAAGTTAAACTTTTAGCAGGGGAGCAGAAAGCAACCGAGCTATGTTTGTTGATTTTGAAGGGAGAACCAACATGGCTGTGGGTCAAACATATGTACCCAAAATGGAACCCTAGTAAATTGAAACATGGACTGACATCTGCGGTCCCCTGGGGGTTTAATTTTGACCCATGCCCACATGAAAACCACATTTTTTTGGGAGGTCCCCTCAAAAACACACCCATATTGGGTGTGAGGTTGCCACAGCAACAGCGATGGGATCCCCACCATAGGACCAAGACACGTGGGAGTCGGACGCTTAGGAAACCTGGCAGTTTTGGAAACCTGAGCGCTCCTTTGGTGTCGACCCGCAACTTCGAGAGCCATAAGGGGCAATCAGGAAGCCATGACCAGGACCAGATTTGGAGTGTTTCTTTCCTTTGACTTCTAGGACTTCCTCTTTTTTTGGGGGGGGTTTGGGGCACTTTATATAGCGGCAAGCGAGAAGTTGTTGTTTTGGGCCAATCTACTCGATGGGAAGCGAGTTTTTCGACCATGGCGCCTCGGGAGGCCATGCGGGTGTTCTGCGGCATTTGGAATTTGCACGGGAAGCGTGCAGGGATCTCAGCTAGCGCTTCGGCGCCTAAAGGGCGCCTAAAGGGCGGCCGGGAAATTAGCGAGCGGCCGCTTTGGGCGCTTTCTGGGTGCCGATTTGGGTTTCAAAATTGAATGCTCGGCAATGTTGCAGATGTTGCAGCAAACCGAGGGGGTCCATGGAAAGCTGAGGCGTATTCATAAAGCCTTGGCATACCTGTTCACGGTCCGCACCTTTGCATTGTGTTGCCAGGTGTCATGATCTTAGTCAACGGGGAAAAAATCAAAAAACATGAAACCTGCTGCTAGGCGACGCAATCGTCCGGCTGAGGCACCAGCAGATTTGCAGTCATGGGTGCCTCTCTCACCGAGGCCTGAGATTGAATTCACCAAGATGGCCCCAAACCACCTGCCCGGGAAGATTGGTACCCTCAGTGGCTGCATAGTGACTGCATATCCCAAATGAAACACTTGAGAAGCCAGCTGAGAGAGATCCGGGAGCCCTGCGCCCTGAGTTTGTCTATCCCAGGCATCTCATGAACCAAAACCAAGGGAAGGAAGCAAGGGATGTGTCAGGTAACCAAGGGAACTGCCCTTGAACAACTGAAAAGAAGATTGGCCACCTGTGCGAGGACGACATCCTGCACCAGTTGGGATGCATGAAGCCTCATACTGGACTCAAAGTTTCCCAGGGCCGCGTTTCTGTGCGGCAGGCATCACATCTATACGATTGGCACCTGCGAATGCGAGCGGAGCATTGAGAAATCCCTCATCTGGTCCGACAAGGCCGATTTGGTTTTCCGACTCGACTCGGGTTTTGCGCGGGTAGTGCTTTTCTCCGAGTGGCTATGAGTTTTAATAGGGAGCATCTCAAAAGGGAACACCCTAAGCAACCGTTGGTAGACATGAATCCTCAAATGATGTCCACAAAAGAGTCCCTCATGCAACATCACACCCGCATTGCTTTTTTGGGGAATGTGCGAAGCGTGGTGTTGGGCCACTCAAAGAAGGAACCCTAGGAAAGAAGTGGCAGTCACGGGTCGAGCTTCCCGGGCACGCATGAAAGAGACGTCTTTGCCAGACACGATGGGAGAAGCAGATGAAGGACTACCTTGGCGAGGCTGGTCAAGACGAGGTAGAAGATTAAGTGTCGTGGTTTCAGCTCAGGACTACCACATGGTCGCCTCGCACAACATGAGTTTGGAGCTTACCCGAGCTGGTCTATTGTTGCTTTGGGGAGGACATGTGGGGCTCACCCGAATTTCCCACAACCACGGGGCCCACCCAATAATCAGACATCTTGGGGAGCCTGTGGATAGTGCACTGCCTGTTCTTTGAGCCGTGGTTTTCCTATCGCAAATCAACGGAGCACACGCCATGGTGTTTTTGAAGCATTTCCCTTGTCCCTGGCACCACCGCGGGTCCCTCTCACATGTCATTCTTTGCCTTGGCTTTGATCCCAAATCCTTTTCACTCAGGTGCGGTGCACATCATGGTTTTCCTCCATCGGTCCCTTTGGAAGTTTTGCCACGACGTGATGAGCTGTCATGCGGCGGCCTTTGACGGAGTGACTGAGAGACGTAGCAAAGCTGTCCTCCAGGGAACCCAAAAGCAGGTTGTTAAACCAACAGCGATTAAACGTGTTTCAGCAAGGGCTTGAGTCGAACGGGTCGATTCTCCACTCTCTTTGCCAAAATCATTACGCACGAAAACCACACAGAGCCCCGGGGTTTGGCCCATTCATTGAATAGAAGAGTCCTGAAGAGAATGGAAAAGGCAGGTGCAGCTAGAGTGACTCCTGGCAGATGGCAGGCTACATGTCGGCTTTCTGACTGACGCAGTGGCCGCCGAGATGACGCAGCTGTGAAGTCTGCTTGTTTGTTGCGAATGGCATATCTGGGATCTCCTCTGCCATGTTGAGGTTTACTCAATACGGACCAGGCCCAAATATACTTCAATATATAAGATGATATCTCCATGTATAGTTATATATATATATATATATATTATACATACATATGTGTATATATATATATATACAAATTGTTTGGCTGGGGCGCCAGAATCCGATGCGGTGGTGCTTACCGAACTGCAGGCGCAGAAGCACGGCCATTGGGAAAGATGGTTCGACTTTTAAAGCCCTGCCCCAGTCCTTGATTTGTTACCCGGTTCAATCAGAGACGTCCAAGTATATACATACCCCTTGTTCATACCCCTTGGCTTCCGTGGTTTCCAGCCCACTTTATATGAACATCAGCAGGCCTTTTGGTTCATTTGTCCAAGGGGTATGTAAAAGGGGTATGTGCCTTGGCACCCCTGAAGTACACTTAGAGCTTCATTGAGGATGGGTGGGGAATATGAGTGAGTCGCTGACTTAAAGCTCTGCCCCCAGTCCTTTCTGGTTTGTTTACCCTATGCAATCAGTCAGAGATGTTCCAAGTATCGACGAGCCTGGACCTGTGAAGTCTTGAGGATTTCTCGCGATATCTGAGGTTGCGACCGGCTTTGCCAACATCATTGGCAATAAAGGCGGAACTCAGGTGCCGGCTTCAAGTTTGTGTCTGCCATCGAGCTTTTGCCTCCATGAGAGCTGTTTGTGGGGATTGCGGCAACAGATGAATCAGTGCTTTCTCAGGTGTGGATGTGTTTCTGTTCTTGGTGAGACGACCTTTTTGTTAACTTACAGGGACAAAAGGAACACCGAAGCCCGTTTTTGAGGTTCACTATGTTGACGGAGACCCATATGCAAAGAACACGATATGAAACGGGCTGGGAGGGTTTGGGGTGCAAGACATGCTTCTAAGTGGTTGAACTGGCTTCGCCCACCCTCCAAGATCAAGCCAAAGAGACTTCGTCGGGCTTGATTCCCATTCATTTCCTGCCATCCGACTAGTAATGTTGCTTCCCCCCGCGAAAGCCCTGAACAAAGTGGGGCTCGAAGAGCCAAGCGATCCTTAGGTATGTGTTGAAATATGGACCCCCCCTAACAAAAGGAAGGTGTTGTTTTCTTTGGTTTCGCAATTCAAAAGGGGCACCCTTGAGTGGAACATCATTTGTTTTTTGGTAGCTCTATTTTGAGACACACTCATATTGAGACTGACTGCTTTGTCCCTTCTACCGACGGTCCTGTACTGGTGAGACTCAGTTCCAGCGTGCCATGCCATGCCGTGCCGTGCCTCACTCAGGACTGGGCGAATTGGCGAGTGAGTGGTCATGTTCTTGTATGTTAGAAGTGTCTTGGTTTTTCAAGGCATTCTCGACGAATCGGCAGAAATCCCTGGCCGTCACTTTGACTGTTTGAACCGCAGGTGGCAGTTGGCTGTCGGCTAGAGGAGCACGACTCAATGTGACAAGCATGCAAACGCGGGGCCATTTGAGAATGTCCAAGCTTTTCACCGCCAATCGGCTGTGGGTCAAAACCACTGGTACCATTTTGGGGTTGGTGCACCACCCATGTTAGGCTTTGTTTTAGTGGGGATTGGGATGTTCACTGGGGTACGACTTGGATTTTGACCCATGGCCAATCATGTTGATGGCGCAAAGTATCTCTTCTATTTGCCAAATGGCCGTGGATCAAAACCCTGCACCCCTGGTGAACTTAAAAATAGGTGGCAAATGGATGTTCAACCCCAAAATGGAGCCATAGGTTATGCAACCCATGGCCAAATAGCCCCCCTCAAAATGCCCCTCCCATCCACTAGGACCAATGGCTTGCTGCCAAGCGCCTCCGGCTGCCAGTACGTCTGTGCCAAGAAGGAGTACGAGCTCGCGCTTCAGGACGTGATCAAAGCGTCCTGTTGGGTGGGTCTTGGGGAGGGGACGCCTGAAAAAGAGCTCTCCAAAGCCAACAAAATGGATGACCTTTGTTTTAGGACGCCCCAAGCATGGCAACGGTTTCCTCTTTGGTTTCTCTTTGAAACCAAACAGAAGGGTACAGGGCCTCAAGAAAGGTGAGACAACCCGCAAAGATTGACTTCCCACATTGGAAAAGACACGGTCACGGTGGGCATGAACCCGACGAGCCGTGGTGTTGGAAGAGGTGTGAAGCCCGTCTTCGGATTCTGGAGTCTTCAACGGCTGCGGCGAAGGAGGGCAAGATGTGGAAGGTATCGCAGAAGTTGCCTGCCCGTTTTTCTGGCAGCCGACCCTTTACCCTTCAACAATCATCATATTTACAGTAGCAGTAATAGTAGTGGTATCAATAACAACACTGATGATTGTAATATTGATACCACTAGAATAATAAGTAATTATCATATTATATATAGTATCTATCACACGCACAATGGGCCCAAGAAGAACATCCAGGATAGCCGCGGTTCCTCGGCACTTCGTGCCATGGCAGAAAAAGGGGCGACGTGCATGTCCGAGCAGGATGCAGGGCTCGAGACGTACGACAAGCTGCCGGAAGCCTTGAAGGGCAAAGTGGAAAGGTACTTCATGGGCAAGTCCAAGGCCGACATTCAGAAAGAGTGCGCAAAGGTGGAAAGGTTGGCCGAGAAGCTGGCAGCGCTGGATGTGGACGAGATTTTCGGAAAGAGCGGTGGGTCAAAGTGACGCACCGACGCACCGCCGAAATCGGCTGGACCGCCTGCGGCGAGCGCCTGCGACGAGCGCAGCCTGCGAGCCTGCAGCGCAAGATCAGATAAATTATTGTACAGAATATTGATCTGCGTGCGCCTGTCCAGTAAAAGCAATGGTTGCAAGTCGGCCACAAATGGAGGCGGACACAAAATAGTTGCAACCACTGCCCACCTTTGACAGTGATGGAAACTAGCTCTAAAACCTTTGGCAGTGATGGAAACCAACTCTAAATCGACCGCAGAATCTCAGAAAATCACTAGGATTAAAGTAGGACCCAGTTTTGATTGGCGAGCGACGTGGATGATGTTTGTTTTTGGCAAATCGATTTGCCCCTTGGGCCGCCGAGCATATTCAGTTGACCCAAGCAGCTTGCCTTCTTCGTTTGCCTCAGGGGGCATCCGGTGTCAACCAAAGCGAAACTCCAAGAGACTCTGCGACTCTGCGCCGCAAGAGCCCATTCATGTGCGTCCCAGAGGCCTTCAGCGCTAGCCTAATCTCCAATTAAGATACTGACATATGGCCATGGGTCAAAACCCCGTACCCCTCCGTGAACGTCCCAATCCCCAATAAAGATAGACAAAAATGGGTGGTGCACCTATTATCCCAAAATGGTACCATTGGTTTTGAAGCACGGTCAGTTACCTGCGCTGAGCAAGCTTTGGGCCCGAAAGAGAAGACGTGGCACGCGGCACGTGGGCACCAGGACATTCAGCGCCCGGAGCTGGCGCCGCTCCTGGCCAAGGTGCGGATGGGTCAGAGCTGGAGCATCTTTCCGGGAAAAGTGGACACCAACCAGTTTTAAGAAACGCCATGCCCATTTTGAGAAGCACCCACCAGGCTAGCGTGGGCTAACATGAAACAGAATCTGAACAGTTAGAGCCTAACTGTAAGCAACCAATTCTCCAGTTGTCTCGTTCGTGCATTGCTGAGAATCTCACTTCCTGAATTCCTGCACTTGATACTTTGAAAATCAAACACATTCTTGAGGCAACCAAACAAAGTTGGCGTTTGTTTTACCAGTCAACTCAGGAAGTGCGTTGTTTTTTCTTTTTTGTGAAGGGCCCAAGAGTCCACTTCTAGATGGAGCTTGTGGGGCAAATCAAGGGACCGCACGCCTTCGCGGGATCCACTTGTCAAGCCCGCTATTTGGGTAGAGGTCAATAGATGTAGGCGCTGCCCATACGTGTCTTCAGGCGGGCACCCCCCTATAGGAGAATCAATGGTCACTAGTAGTCACTAGTCACCTCTTTGGCCAATGGCTCCTCTTGTATGGCTTTGAACCAGTAAATATGAGCAATGTTCTTTTTTGACTAAAAGCTGTGATCTCATGTAGCAATGGGGACACTCACCACAGTACGATTAGAAAATTGGAGATTTCCCATCAGAATCCTATGTCAGCTGATGCGCGTCAGATTGACCGCTCCTGACCAGTCAAACTGTCCCAGTAGGTGCGGAAACTTGGCTCTGACTCATACGGTTGCCATAAATCCCAACCACGACCACCAAAGAGTTCCCTAACTAAACTTTACACGCACAATATGGGTGTGTCTTGAAAAAGAGGGTCCCCTAAAACGGATTTTGGCTTTCCTTGTAGCTTCCTGCTAAAGCCAACCAACCAAGAATGGTACCCTTCGCCTCACAAAAATAGCCGCCCCATTGCAAACTGGCAGAAACGCATGTTGGAGTTTGTAGGCAATGATTCCCTTAATTCAAAGGTAATAAACCAACCAACCAAAAGGGTACTCTCAAAAACTCGACATTCATCAAATCCTTTGCGTTGGCTTGGACTTGGATGGCTTGTCCAGACAGCCCCAACAATTCCCTACGATCCGAAGGGCGCCCTACGGCTTGCCTGTTGGTTTCCCTTGTATTCACCCCAAAAAAGCCACCCTTCGCATCTCAACAAAAGAAGCGAAAAGATCGGAGCCGCCCCATCCATGGCTCAGGCCCAAAAACACCCCTCGCGCCCCAAAAATAAGCAAATCGGAGTTGCTCCCAAAGTTCCCAAGAACCACCCTTCGCATCTTAGCGAAACAAAAAGCATCGGAGCCACCATCGCCCATGGCCCATAGCCTCATGGCTCAGGCCCCAAAAACACCCCTCGCATCTCAAAACATCGGAGCCACCATGGGCCTCATGGCCCATAGCCCAGGCCAAGGAGGGCGAGCTGCTGGAGCTGCTGGCCCTGGGCAGCGACGGCTGGGCCTTCGGCCGCCCGCTGGGGGAGCCTTTGGCCTTCGAGCGGCGCGAGGCGGGCGCCTTCCGCCTGGAGTGGGCGCCTGGGATTGAGGGCCGGAGGAACACCCGGAGGCTCGTCGTGTTTAGAGGGTAGCCTGTTTGATGGTAAGAGAGAAACCCACAGGTTTGTCTTTTGTAGAGGGTGCCCTGTTTTTCATTGTTAAATAGAGGCCGGAGAAAAACGCAGTGAGCGGTTCAGGGAAACCAAGCAGAGGTGGTTTAAGCCATGGGCCATGACAACCGTGGTTTCAGCAGGGGATGGATCGCCCAAGCCTCGTCTCAGGTGTGTCCGAGTCCGGGGAGTGCTTGTCATTTTTGGAGGGTACCCTGCTGAATGGTAAGAAGGAAACCCACAGGCTCGTCGTTTTTAGATGGTCGGCGCCTGTTGGATGGTAAGAAAGCAAAAGGAGAACCACCAGAGTTTCGGGGTCCCCTGTTTGAGAGGCCGGTTTTATGCCCGACACCCTTTGGGTGGTTCCTCGAATTAAAGGGGCGAAGGGTACGATGGTAAATATAAACCAAAGAGAGAGGCACCAGTTTAGGGGGTCCCCCAAAAAGAGTAGCACACCCACGTGGGTGGGAATACTCGCCTTTGGGTTGGTATTGACAGGGAAGCCCAAAGCAGGCAAATCCTTTCTCAGCTCTTTTGTTTGAAGGGCTTCCCAATACAACCCAAGAAAAGAGCGTCCGTTTATTGCCGAAGGTGGCTGGGGCTCTGGGAAAGGCTCGAACGGATGCAATATATATATATATATACGTGCATTGCGACATATATATATATATATATATCTGTATATATTCAGTCTATACATTATATATATATACACATATGGTCACACATGTGTTGTTTCAGAGGTGCTACGTCATACACCTTTGCGTACTTATACGCAGGTATTATATATATATATATTCATTATACATATATACATAAAGAGTGAGAGAGAGAGGGAGAGAGCGAGAGAGAGAGAGAGAGAGGGGGTACACTTCTTTTTGCAAAGATTTATGAGGCTACCGCGCGCAAACCTTCGCCGAGGTTCGGGCAGTCTTCTTGCGCTTTTCCGGCGGGCTGCGGCGGCTGGACACGGACAGCAGCGCCCCGGTGGCCGAGGTTTGATGTGGACCATGCGTTGGTCGGTGGGTGAGTCGGTCGGTTGGGACAAATTGAGCCACAATCAAAGCCCGGGTAGATGAAGGTTAGCAAGGCATGCTCCCAACCATGAATAGCTGCGGCCGCCTTCTTAATTCTTTGCATGGTTCTGGGTAGACCATTTGAATACCGCGTTTTGATTGTGACTTAATTGGCCAAAGTGCCTTGAGAAAATTCGCGAGTTGGTCTTGGAAGATGTGCCCCAAACTGATTTGAGCAGCTGGAGAGTTCAGTTGTTCATGTTTAGGAAGCCCGCGCTCGGGAGCGCCGCTTCCGATTTGGAGTTTGAGATTTCTCTGGTGCTGCAGGGGACATGTAAGGAACCCCTTTGCTCCAAATAGCAAAGTGGCTCTTCCGCCGCCGACCCCATGGCGCGGTTGCATCTTGTGACCTGTATGAATTCCAACAACTGGGTTCCGAAAAATTGGATGCGAACAAATCATGGTGGATGTGTGAAAGGTATGCACCCGCACGGGTCGGGGATGAGTTGCCGGAAATTTCGGCCCGTGATGGACCGGGCCTCCAGCGTTTTTGCTTGCTGAACGTGTTACCTAGATCGCCAGCAGCTGTTTTTTTCAGCCAGCAACAGTGACTGATTGTTGGGTAATGTGTCTGGACAAAAAGCAGCAACTTGGCTATCTGCGTATGTTGTGGTCCCCATCTCCAATAACACCATGGCTCTGTTTGTGCTTCCGGTTCATTTAGCCCTTTCCAGCCTGTGGTTGAGTTTCGCTTTTGACCTCGACCCATGGCCCTTATTTATGGACCAGAACAGGCAGCCAGAACGGTGACCACACTGACGTTCCCCGCGCGGAATTCCCTGAAAGAGGAACACAGGGGGCGTAACAATAGCGCGCGCGAGTCTCCTATCTGTTCGCCGATTGGGTTTGTGTTAAACTAGGAGGACCCTCAAAATGTGGTGTTCCTGTTGGTTTCTCTTTGAACCAACCCAAAAAGGGTACCGAGGGAGAAACAAACAGAAAACAGGCAAATTACACTCTCACCCCAAGACATGACATTCTCCCATCAAAATTTGAGGCACGCTGCACGAGCACTTCTATGCCGAGCCCCCCAGCTGCTTCTACAGCAGGCCGAAATGGGGCACCTCAAAAGGAGCTACCCTGAAAAAAGCAACCCTCTACGTGCATTGCATTTTTTTTGCGAGTTCCCTGTATCTTGTCCAAGGTCCCAAGTCCTTAATTTGACAAGAAACACCCGGGTCCGCAGGCAAAGAATCATAGAACCCGCCTTTGCGGGGGGTTCCCTGAAGGCACCTGGCCTTTCAGGAGCTCAGGTCGGAGGATCGCATGGGTCAGGCGACGAAGCTCGGTGGTTTGGAGCGGTTGGACTTGAACGGGTCCCTGGTTCTTGTGGTTCGCAACACCACCAAAACACCACCAAACACCGGGCTCCACCAATCACTGTAGGGGGAAGCTGAATGGCAAAGGATCTATGAACATGGCCTCACTATGTCTGGCTGGCACTGTCCGCTACGGATGCGGCCCCTTACAAATTACAAATTGGAAGTAAACCAACCATGCGGAAAACCACAACACCACTTCTAATTTACCGCAAAATAGCGGGTTTCATTACTTGCAGTGGGTCAGTGGGGCATCCACCCTGCCCTCCAAAACACACACCCAGATGCGGGTCTGTCTTTTGTAGCGGTACCTCGTTTTTGTGGTCTTAAAGGGACACTTCATATAGAGGTTGTCTTTTTAGGGCACCCCCAAGAATGGTGGTTGTCCCTTCGGTTTTCCTTAAACCCGCTCAAGAAAGGGGGTACCCATAATAAAATCAAGGAAAAAAGCCGCCCATATTGAGTGGTTCAGACATCTCCTCGTTTAGAGAAGTTTCCCTTTGGTGGGTCGATGTTTAAAGGGTGTTCCACATCCGAACTGGGCTACTTAAAGTAGCGCGAGAATGACCTCAGCGCATGATCTTTATTGAATCAAGACACGCATGCACAAGAAGACTCATCATGGTTGCCAATGATGTTTGAATAGAATGAACTTGCTGGTGCTCAGGGAATTCAGGGAATGACCCCGAAAACACCATCCCTGGTCGTTTCCTTTCAGGGGCAAGTCAACTAACGAACCAACCCTCTGGTTCCCTTTTGAAGGAAGGTCCCTTTTGAAGGAGCACTTCAAAAATCGGTGGTCCTTCTCAGGTAACCCCTGGGTGGTTTAGGTAGCTTGGTGGAGCCTGGATGCTTGCTCGATCCGCAGGTTCCAGGCCAGCGCGCGGCGCCGCTGCCTGGCGCGGGCGGCGGAGCTCTGGGGAGAAACCGAGGCCCACGAGGCTCGGGGTCTCTGGTTCGTAGGACGCCAAAGGGAAAAAAGCATTTCTTGTTTTAGAATATACCCCCCCTTCCAAAAAAAAGAAAAATGAAAAAGATGATGGTGGTCAGGGATGTCAGGGTGTGCCTTGTTTTTAGAATGACCCCTCAAAGTGGTGGTGTTCCTCTTAGTGTTCTTTCTATTTCACGTTGCATCCAGCACCAGGGCGATAGATAAAGCCAGATTTGAATACATGTTGAGAATTCACTTCCGAACTGGTGCTTAGGATGTATTTTGTCTATCAGTACCACCTATTCAGGGTAAGCAACATATGAAGCGAGCTACTTGCCGCGGCGGGCCAAGTGATGCCCCCAGTGGGGTTTTCATCATGAGGCCTCCAACGTGCCCACCAAGGAGGTCGCGCGCGCTGAGGCGAGGGCTTGATGTTCAGCGCAAAAAGAACCTCCGCGCCCAATCAGCCCCTACCCATTTTGAGCGGCGGAGATTCTGCCCGGTATGGGATTTCAATTGCCCAAGTGAATCAACCATTTAGCATGTCGGCGTTGGGCGGTCAAACTCCAGCCATCGCCTCCGATGCCCCTGAAAAAGCAGTTGTATGCGAATGAAACGCCAGATCTTTGTGTGGCCATTTCAACAAGAAGAGCATGACGTATAGCATGTTGGACGCAAATTTGCCAGGAAACTAATATGTCTATATATAGTGCCTACACAGGTCCCTTCTTTGTGTTTGAAGGGAAGCTGAACATTCTAAAGTGGTCCGCTTTTTCGAGAGTTTGAACCCAGCATCCATTTCCGCAGCGGAGAACGGATAACCCCGACTTGCCGATTTGGATTGCTCCCTGTTGAAATCAAAGGGGAAGACATTGCCTCCAAAACCGTCCAGGGGGATTGTGCGACAAGAAAGATCAGATAGGTTCCCACAGAGCCAACAGCGGAATATAGGCCCTACAGTCCTATGAGGCTTTTTTTTTTTTAATGAGGAACACCCAAAGTCATCATGGTGACGCTGGAGTTTCGAACCCTCACCGAATTCGAATTTTCAGACCCATTCTTCTCCCGACAGGTCTACGCAGCTCTCTCGGCGCTGCGCGCTGAGGCGAATTCGAGCCCAGCTTTTTCCACTTGGGTGTTCGGCGAGCGGGAACCCCGGATCCAAGTAGATGGGGGTGTCTGTTTTCAGTGTATACCCTTGCTTGGGTGGTTTCGAACTTATTTTCTCGTTATCTGAGTTCCTGGACTTCTTGTCTTCTTGTAGGATCTCCCATGCGGTCCTGAAAGGGAAACAACCGCATTCGGGGGATACCAGTACCCTCCAAAAACGACACCTGGTGAGTTTGGGCCGTTTCCGTGGTGAACAGCAAGTTTGGAGTTTCGACTCCACTCAGGACGCAGCCAACCACGAACTCGGCAGAGCATCCAAATAATCCCCCTCTTGGTTGCCCGAATTAGACCCATCACTACTCAGGTTTGTTGGAAGGAGAAGGTGTCAAACTCCCACGAACTTCCCAGAGGACCCCCGAAAAGGCTTCCCCAAATCCACAGTGACTCCATTTCCCCAAGGTGTTTCCCGGCCTTGAGCTGCTGGTTATCTATGGCAAACCGCCGGTCTGAGAGTCTGGGAGGGCTTTTGTGTTTTGTTCATTTGAAGGGGAGTTTATGTTTATCCGTAACTCTCGTGTCCTTCGCAAGCCTGTCTTTTGCCCTCGCCACCTGCCCTTGGGTTCTTTGGACAGGATACGATGCAGGAGCAGGCTCCAGGACGCAAAGAGCGTGAGCACGGTGCCGGCCGGAACGCCTTGAGATGTTGTTCTGTGCCTTGCTAAATTTTCAGGCTGACAGCAACGTGCCATTCTTGACTACAGTCACTACACGGTGGCCTTGGTTTTCCTCTTGTGGGCAAATGACTCCTGGCTTTAGTCTACCTTCTAGGCAAAAAAGTGGAGCCCCGGTCGGCAGAGCCCCAACCTGTGCAAGTTTGATGGCAGCCACCGATGACTCCAAACTTGGACTCTTCGACACACACGCCAACAAGCCACATCGCTTGTGCTTGGCTCTTGGTTTGCTTTCGCCTTTGCCTCGCCGCTTCAGCTCCCCCCCACCCAAACCGCCAAAATCAAGCGAATTTATTGAGCTGCAATCCCCGCTGTCTCGTGAGAAATGACCCCCCATGTCCTCCCCAAGTAAGCCTGTAAGCCACTGACGGCACCAGTCGTCCGCTAGGACCACATGATCGATCGCTTGCAGAAGTGGTGCTCGATGCTGCTTGTCGTATTTGGTCGCCAAAACTAGCATCCAGAGACCACCCTAAAGCTTGGGATCTGTTGAAACATACGCATCCAGAGACCAGGCCTCTTGGTGGTTTTCTTGTTTAGGTGATGTGGGAGAGATTTCCTTGGCTTCGTCCAAGCTTCGGTTCCCTGTGGGTCGCGGGCTGGAGAACCAGGGTGGAATGTCCGAGAGGAAGGGTTGAATCTGATTTGTGGCCGGACTTGAACCGCGGAATTGGTTCCCTTTGGACATATTAGTCAAAAAATGGAGCCCACTGGTAAGTGTCCCGTGTAGAGGTATCCAAACGCTGACGAATTGGGATGAGGGACAGTGACCTATGAGTGAGTTCCTTGTTTTTCTGGCACCTGCCGTTTTGGACTTGATCATATGGCGATGCTCCTGCTTGAATGCGAGATATGGCTGCGGGTTGAAACTACAAAGTCAAGTAGTTTTGGGTTCTCGCTGCTAAGGGTGTTTCCTAAAATCGAAACAAGGTTCCTCTCAATCCTGTCATGGTTTTTGAGGGTTGCACCCACCGTCCAGGGAAGCCATACCCTATATTGGGCTGGCTACAAGTGCATATGTGTGTTGTTTTGTTGAGGCTCCGCACTCCTTTTTTGGGTTGGTTTGAAACGGAATCTTCAAAAGGCACTCAGCCGTGTTGGCGGCTCCCGCATTTTAATACAAATCCAATATATGAATAATCATTCATGTTTCATACATATATTAAAAGTTATTACCCTCCCTTCCACTAACACAACACCTGTGGAAGGGCAGAACATTTTCTCTACAGGAGACCTCCCGTCAGGTGCCGTGTTCGTGGGAGTGAACATGGCTATGAATTTTAATAGGGAACCACCTTGAAAGTGGTTGGTGGACACAAATCCCCACCAAAACCATCTCCACCCAAGGGTTGACTCAAAAGTCTCACTCCCACATGTACTTTGGAGATAAAATGTTCGCCTTCCAAGCCGAGGACATCCTGAAAGCCAGCCCGGAGCTTTCGCAGGCGTGCGCTCTCGCCAAAACCGATGAAGTCCGGTGGGTCAGTCCGAAGGATCTGGGGTTTGTGCAAGGGCCCAAGTTGAGTTCCGCTTCAGAGCCAGCAAAACCCCAGGGCTAACCCCCTTGTGTTCAAACCACCTAAGTAGGTTACAACCAAGGAAAGTGTTGAAACCCCAGTTTCCCTGGCTATATCCATGGTTACAACCTACTTAGTGAGTTGTTTGAACATCCAAGCAGAAACCCATCCAACGCCAGCAATACCCCCAGGCTCCCTGATTTGCGCCCGAAAAATCAACCTCTTGAGGGGTTCTGATGAGAAACCAAAAGGACACCAACCACTTGCAGGACTTGGTCCCTAATTTTGATTTCCTCTCTTGTTTTGGATATGTTGACTTTTCCTCTCTTAAGGGGATCTATCACGGGGTTTGTGTTTTCCGGACGGAACGTGCACATGGCGAGGTGGGAAATCCGTTGCCCAGCCCGGAGCCGCCTCCTGGCCTGGAGCGAGGCGAGCTGGGAAGGTCCAAACCAAGAACCCCCCCCCCCGGTTCCATGTGGATAGGAGGAGTATGCTTGTCAAAAGAGAAGGGAACCCCCTTTTGGTGGTTGGTTTTAATGGGAGCCAACAGGAAACCGCATTTGTTTGTTTGCGGGGGGGGGGGACAGTATTTGGAGAGAAACCCAAATTCATGTTCCATTGTCGCCAACATGCTGATGTTTCCCCTCTTGTTGGTTTCCTGGAACGAAGGATGCCTGGGAATGGGGAGGCTACCCCTGTAAGGGTAAGTGAATGGAACTTTACTCCATCCGAATCTAAACATGCCGTTTCACGGTTGGGCGAAAACTTGAGGAAACTATGAAGGCCCTGTTTCCATCGGGACCCGGTCCCATCCAACACCTTCTGCTACCGAAATCGGGCCAGTCTTAAGAGGACCACCTTAATAGGAAGCCATTTTTTTCTTCTTCAGATTTCGCCTCCTTTGGGCGAAATGTTTGATACATCTCATGTTTTTCCCAGTGTTTTAGAGGTTTTCGCCTTCTTTTGGCGAAATGCTTGATGTAGGTCTTCGTCTTTCGGTTTTTCTGGGGTTCCCGTGGAACCTCCCGGCCTTCGGCGCGCGGTTCGTTTCGTTTCGTCCGCTGCGAGGGGAGAGCTCCTCGAGCTCCGAGCAGCCCACGACGCTGGAGGCCCACGACGCGGACGACGACGAAGGCCGCGAGACGCGTTGCGCGGGACGCGTCGAAGCGGGAGGATTGGCGAGTTGGATTGCGGTTGGAAGGGAACTATCCAAAATTGACTTTACAGGAACTCTCCAAAATTCTATAGTTCACAGTAAACTTTACAGACAAAGTTGAAGAGCACGTATGGCTGCGGGGGGTGGAGAATGTAGACGGATTAGTAAACCGCCGGGGGCCCGAGCTGGGTTCATGTGGGGGAACGTTCCCCCTCCAAAAGTGATGAATGTCCACTAAGACCAGGGACACCCCCCGAATTAATAAGCAGGGGTCTATTCATCCGGGGTCAATATTCGGTGTCTTACAAAAGGCTAGCTAGTGGTTGGAAGGGAACCGGGCTAGGGAACTATCCAGGTTAGACTTTGGGGAGGTAGCTCCGGAGCTACCGGAAGTTCTGTAGGGACATGCAAAATCAGTGGATTCCGTTTGGCTTTTCATTTAAACCAACCCCAAATAGAGTACCCGCAACAAAAGACACGCCCATATATCAGAATATGCAGGTTTGGATCGGTTGGGGATGTGAACCTGGATCTTGTATGGTATACAGAGGGACCACCCTAACTGATTTTCTCTGCTGAAGCACTCCTATGGCTATGAATTTTAAAAGTTGGGCCGGTCTCCAATGTGGTCGGTGGACACTCAGTCCCCCTGTTTAGAGTGGCAACATCTCCATTCGGGGCCGTACACCGAATAGAAAGGCCAATTCTTCATACGGGTGTATCTCTCTTTTGGGGGACCCCCTCAAAATGGGTGTTGTCCTTATATTTTCCTTTGAACAGCCACCCCAGACCATGAGCCACGCGCGTTTTACCTTTGCGGAAACCGGCAACCTGCTCCACTTGCGAGCGCCAGCTTCCCTATGGCAAGTAAACCACAATTTGTGGGTCATCTGCAGCCAGTGGCTTCTTCACCCCCCCTACCTCCAAGTCTCGAAAAGCGAGCGTTCCACCTTGGGATCCCTTTCTTTGCGCTCGCTGGTGCTCGGGGAATGGGCTTCCGGGTGGGAATGAACTGGAGGGGATTCCCTTGAAGGAAACCACAAGGGCAGGCTTTAGAAGGGGTCATTCCATTTCTGATTCCCTGCCTATCGAGCCAGCTAGCAAAAGGAACCGCCACTTGGACGCTTCACCTTTCCGGAGTCATTCGAACCAACCAACCAACCAACCAACCAACCACCCACCCACCAACCAACCAACCAACCAACCAACCAACAAGCGGCTCGGCGTCTCGGCGGCTCGAGAGGCAGCCCAGCCCGCAAGCAGCGCTCCAAGAAAAGCCGCAGGAAGCGCCTGGAGCGAGGCGCAAGCCAGAAAAAATCGCTGGGGAGATCCGCTCTTTGAATTAGTTACCATGGGTCTGGGCTATTCTTTAATACCAGGTGCTGATTTTTGAGTATATTCGGGAAATCAGAGACCCATGAAAAAATCCTCCCATGGTTTCACCATTGAATTGCACGTGAACTGCGCCACTTCCAAGGAGCACCCCCCGAAAGATTCCTTTGGGAAGCCATGAGCATGCCTGCAACGAGGATATTAAGATCATGAAAGCCTTAGTTGTAGCTCGCCCGAAGAAGCAGTTGAGACTGGCTCAATCATTGAAGTGGGCATTTTGGGAGGTTCAATACTTACATTTGGAGGTGGGTGTCATTTGAGCCACCTTTTGAAGGGCAATATCGAGGATACCTCAAAGACCTCAGTCACAGGTTGACAGCGACAGCGGGTGACACTTCATAAAGCTGGTGGTGGATTTAGTGTGTTGAATTTGTATTGCATGCTGCCAGAGACGGTGCTGTGGCACGTCCCTGTGTGCACACGTCCAGTTTCTAGTTCAAGATGGCATTGGCCAACGCAAAAGTCAGCAGTCACACCAGTCGCAATTCTTCTTTTACTGCAGGTCATTTCGGGCTTACTCCAGGGTTGGGCCGACCTGTGTACATAAGCATGTGGATGATTTTATTTGTGAAGCCGGTGGTTTTTGAAGTGTATCCTGTAGGAACTCTGTTGTTTCAACAAATGGGCACAATGCAGGTATGCGTCAAAATACGGGCTCCCAAAAAGGTACGTGACGCTCCTTTTCATTTCCCTTCAACCCCACCCCAAAAAGGGGCACGCCCAAGGTTTTGCAAAAAATATTGCAACCAACCCAAGACAAGAACGAGCCGCAGGCACTTCCGACAGCTTGGAAGGCGAGCACAGCCCTAGGCCACGGCCGGCGGCTTGGACCAAAAGCCTCTCCCCAAAAAAACGGGGACAAACCCGAGGCTTCTGTCTCAAAATAGGAGGAACCCGCAACATGGGCGGGTTCCCGCAAGGGGGCACGCAGAAAAGACACACCCATATCAGGGTGTTCAGCAGTCATCAAAATGGTCCGGAAAAGAAATGGTCAGCCAAAAGCCCATGATGTCGCGTTTCCCTCTAGGATGAAAAGGGTACCCCGCAAAGTATCTTCTCATTGTAGCGTTTTGAAACATCACGTGTTTCGCCCATTTCGGTGCATGCCCTGCTTTTTGTTCTTCAGTCTCATTGAGATGGGGTGATATTAAACAGGAAAACCTCGGGAGCCCTGGTTTTTGGCGGGCATGTTGGCATTGCTGACCCCCAATCCCGCGATTCCATTGCCCTGCAGAGTGGGTAACCACGCTACGAAAAGGCAGACATGGATCGAAGGGTTGCCGAGTGGCGAAACGGGATGCTGGGATCCACTGGCGGCATAGGTCCGTCTTCTTTTTGAGGTGCGGTCTCCCCCCCATTTCTGTTGGTGGTTTTAAAGGGGAACCACAAGGATGACCAACCCATGTATTTTGTTTTTTGTTTTTTACACAGAACCCCCCAAAACAAAATTTGGTGTCCCCTAAAAAGAGAATCCTATTGACACAAAAGCAGCAATGACCTTTCGGGATTTATACGCTAATTTGGAGCGTGCCATTCAAAAAGATATCCTTGAAATGTAAACCTCAACGAATCTGAATATGGGGCTCTCGGAAAGGGGGGGACCTTTTCTGGAACATTCAACTAGTTCGGGAAAGTGTGAAACCGACTTTCCCTCCGGTCGTTGCACTTTCTCCCGGTCTTTCTCGCAAGTTCCAAGCCCGACTCACTGGTTTTGAAATTGGGGCCTGTCCACTCTGATGAAGAGGGCCTGGGGATTTGGTTGAACCTTTGAGATTGAAAGATGACCCAGGTGCAGTCTGGATGTCCACCAAAGGGTCCCAATTGAGTTTCATACCCAGTTGACGTGACGTTCAGAACCCTTTAGCCAGTGAGCTCTGGCTCCTTCGCAGGAAGATAGGCCTGAGCCACGGCGGCGCACGCTGTGGAGTTTGCTACAGGCCAACAGGAGCGCTGAACATTTGGCGGCGTCTTTTTTGTTGTCAGGGAAACGTGCGCGTTTCTCTCGCAAATCCTGCAACAATGCAACTTGCGGCACAGGGGGCGATAGCCATGTTTTCAGATGACTCATCAGGTCTCCGTTCGATTCGATTCGTGGGGGTTGTGATGAGCCCAAAAACAGGCCCTGGGGGTTGCCGCGGAACAATCCTGAAAGGGGAACATCAGAAAACAGAATCCCGCTGAGATCGAGCTTCCTCAACAATGGAATGACGGCCATAGTCCAACAAATGTTCTGTATAGCCAGCATCCAACCGCCCATTTTTGCTGGAGGCCTGACCTTTGCGAGACATTCGTGTTCTTCATGCCCTCGAACGTCTCGTTTTTGGTGGTTGGTCCTTTGTAATTCGGTTGGCCAGGTATGAGGTGTTTGTTTAATTTCCGCCGGCCTTTGAAGGATGACCTAAGGCTTTTCGCAGGCTGCGTACAAACTTGATGTCAGCGCTGCAGCTCTTTTGAATATGCAGGCTGGGAAGACGGAATACGTTCGAGTGTCATGCTTCAACCATCAAGCTGGGCAACCATCAAGCTGGGCAGGTTGCCTCAAGTGTTTTGCCTATCCATTCTTCAGAAATCGGACAACCAAGCACTTTGGCAACAGCTGGACAAAGCAGCGGTCCTTAGGGTGCCTTTCATTTCCATTGAGCATTCCGACGACGAGGTTCTCGTTGCTTCTTTAAAGGGGCCACACGTTTGCCGGTGTTGTTCTGTCCTGGCCTTGAGGACCGGCAAGCTGAAGACGCTGGTGGAGAACCTGCGAAGGGAGCAGCAGGACATGGTGCGCTCTGCCTCGGAGCTTCAAGCGCTGAAGGAGCGACTCGATCGACTCGGCGAGTCGAAGGTTGCCGAAGGGTGCAAAGGGCATGGGCGCTCATGGAATTCCTAAGTTGGGACACCCTTATCAGTGTTCCTTGAAGGATGCATCGAACATGCTGGAATCCTGCCTTTTTTGTGGGGGTCCTCTAAACCTACATGTTTTTTTGTTTTCCAAGGAATCCAAAAGGACACCCTTGCCAATTTAGCTCGGCTTCCCCCAACTGAAGCCAAACTTCCGTTTCCCTTTTCGGAACCAAAAGTTCCTCAGTTTCAATGGAAACCAGTTTCTTAGAAGGTACCTCAGGTGGATTCAGTTTGAGTGGATGTCTCACCTTTTGAAGGGGGAAGTCCAGTGACAGTCTAGGGTTACCTTCCCCATTCTTTCCAGGGGTCATTCTTTCCGGCAAACCTCCGGAAACCCAGGGAAACGGCCGGTGTTTGGAAAGAACGACAGTTGAGAAGAATGGAAAAGGAATCAACCCAACAAAAAAATGGGTGTTTCTGTTTAAAAACATGGAAATCTGACTCTAGAGACAGCTCTACACTTGATACAGCCCTTAGGAGAAGTTCAAGGTGGCCTTGCTGGGCGCCCACCGCACCGGCCAGCTGCACCACGTGGCCGGGGAGCTGGCCACCGAGGTGCTCCATGCGCTCTTTCGTTTTTGTTTTTTTCTTCTCCCGTTGTTTTTTCTTCATTGTTTCTTTCGTTGTTTGTTGGTACTTTTTCTTTTTGTTTTTTTTTTGTCCGCCGAAGGGAACGTATTTGGACCCCAGAACAAAACCGGCACCATGGATCCATGTGTGCCCTTTTTGAAGGATTTAAAGCCCCCTAAAAAGTTGTTGTGTGTTGTATCTTTCTTTCGGTGTTCCTTTTGCAGCCCCAAGGGCCTGCGTGGCCAATATTTGTAGGTTGGGTTCCGACTTTGCCTGGTATATTGTGACTTGAACTTTAATGAGGAATACCATGAGGATAGCCATTTTGGGGATCGAATAGTAAATTTCAATTGAACACCAGATCATATGTATATATATATATACATATATACATATATTATAAGGGTTTCCTACCTCTTTACGAAACCAGGTGGTCGAACCTCCTAGCATGACCAAGAGTGTTTTTTTTTTTTTTCTCGGACGCAAATGAGACCTGACATATCTCTCCAGCAACAAATTGCCCAAAAGCCCCATGCAAGGGGCGAAATGAGTACTAGTTCGCTCCAGCCATTGTCGATCGGCCATCTTGGATAGCCCTCGCACTTGTGTCCCAAGCTATGTCGTGAGGCTCTGCTGAGTCCGGAAGTTTGAACAGTTTTGGGGTCATTTAAAGGATCACTTTCCCGAGAATCACCTTAGGATCACCCTCAATTGGTGGTTTGGAGTGGTGGGCATCTTCCCCGCTTGGCTTCAAACGGAGCTGGGGTTGAACTCCCCAGTTCCCAGTAATCCCACCAAGGATCACCTCAACTAAATTGATGGACAAACCCTGCGATTCCAAGGGAGTCGCCCAGGTGAAGAAAGTCGTGGGTATCTCCCTCCCACATAGCACGCACATCAGAAAGTAGTTGCGGGAACGTCACACTGGGTTGGATTTGTTTCCAACATCATTGGGGGCCGCACCCGCCAGAATGAGTCAGGGTTGTGGGTGGCCAACTCGGTTTTTGCCCCCTAGCACACAATCCCAAGCACTCCACGTGTGCAATATGCCCAACATTTACCCTCCAAATGGGTAAGTTACGTTGGTGTGTATGTCATATATATATATATATTAATATATATATATATATATATATTCAGGGCAAAACGGATGTGGTCACCACTGCGGGGGGGGCAGGCCATGACCATTCGCACAGGTTCGCAAATCTGTTGGGGGTTCGACTCAAAGTTCGCAATGCCTGGCCGGGTTCGCAAACCCGAAATGGAATTCGCAAACCTTCGCAAACTGAATTGGGAAATCCAAAGGTTCGCACACCCAGTCCAGGGTTCGTGCGAGGGCGGCGCCGGCCCGGCGCAGCCCTGGCCAGGTCCTGCCAGAGGCGGCGCCGGCCCGGCGCAGCCCTGGCCAGGTCCTGCCAGAGGCGGCGCCGGCTCGGCGCAGCCCTGGCAGCCTAGCTAAGCCCCCCTGCGTTCGCGCGTGACTTTGACAGTTCGCAATCCCCGCCATGTTCGCAGATGAGAAGCGGGTTCGCAAACGTTTGCTTAGGTACTTTGGGTTCGCGTAGGTTCGCTAAGATTTTTGCCTGCCCCCCCCAACTGGTGACCACATCTGTTTTGCCCTTATATATGTGTATGCCTAGTCAGTGTTCCTTTTACCCCTTATAGTCGTGTATATATATATATATATTGCATTCATAATGTTACTTGGTGGTTGTTCCTTTTAGATGCATTATTCGAGCCAAAAAGACAGGTGCCCTCGCACCCCACAAAGTTTGCTTCAGGTGGAGCGCCGCGCGGACGACTTCCAGCGGCTGAAGGAGCGGGCCCTGGAGAGCCTGCTGCGCATGAAGCGCGCCGGGAAGCTGGACGTGCTGGCGGAGGAGCGGAGCGGACCGGTTGGAAGGCGGAGGTTTTATCACCACACGTCGCTGCCCGAGGTCCGGTTTTGGGTAAAGAGTCGCCTTTGGGCTTTGACCACTTTGGTGACGAACCAAGAGATTGGGGACTTTTGCGGGCTGGAAGTCTAGGAGGTTCCACCAAAAACTTATCTAGGTCCCCCAGCTAGGTGCCCTTTTACCGTTTCTGTTTTGGTTGGGAGGGTTCCCCTACTACTGAAAAAATCGGGCACCTAGACTTGCTGGTGCTCATTAGGGAATGTGGGAATGAACCCAGGGATTCTCTTAACGGAAACCACAAGGGATGGTTCATAAGAGTCATTCCCTCATTCCCGGCCGAGCACCAGCAAGAAAATCGCTGCCTGAGTTCCGTTTCGGGCTAAAGCGTCACTTTGGGGGTTTGACCATTTCAGTGGCAAACAAATGGTTTGGGAACTTTTGTTGGCTCCACTCAGGAAGTGATGCTTAGGATATGTCGCAGGATATAACCACGAATTTTTTGAGGGTTCCATTTTCGGGTTGGCTCAAAGGGACAAGGACAACCAACTGAGTAGGCTACAACCTGGGGAAACTGGGCTTAGACCCTCACCTGCCGCTTGCTCAACCATTGCCTAAACAGTAGAATGGGATTGCGGGGTGGAAAGCTAACTTAAGTCATGAGCACAAGCTGTTCATGTGTGTAATTATCTATCCCTTAGATTGTCTGCTAGCAGCGAATGAGTTGAATTGACACTGCAAGCAACCATTGGGTTTTCATGCAAGCAAGCTTGCTGGTCATTCTTTCCAGAAATTGGCCCCGGCCCAGGAATTTGTCATTCAAACGCATGATACGGCACGGGGCCTAAATAGGTTCCAAGAGGGCTCCGATCGCTTTCACCAAAGGATAATTATGTGCGTAGCCTCCTAGAAAAGGGGATGGGCATATTTCTTTCTTATTCCGGGAGATCAAGAATGCAAACGGCTAGGGTCACCCAACAAAGCCCTGGAACGCACAGCCATCATTTTTCAGCCCATGTGTGTCATGGTGAAAAAAGACCATCCTTTTCTTGGGATAGCGGGCGTGGTCATCGACCGAATAAGAAGGGTTCTTTTAGACCACCAGTATGACCATGGTCCATAGGCAGGAGGCAGCCATGACCATGGTCCATAGGAGTGACCGTGGCGCGCGTAGGGGTCGGCCCAGGAGATGCGCAGCGCCAGCGAGGCCGCGCCCGCGGAAGCGGCCCAGTCCGCCGCTGGGCGGAAGGATCCGAGGTTCGTTTGGCCAACGAGAAAACGAGGAAGGACACATGGTGGGCGTGTGTGTTTCTGAGGGCACCCATTCCGGTGTTGTTTGTTGAGGAAGCCAATGGAAGACCACCTTTTGGTGTTTATCATCTATGGCTCGAATCTGAGACAACTCCACTTTCCCTGGAATGGGTCTCAACCCAATCCGGTGTTGTTGAGGCTAGCCAATGGACAACCACCTGTTCATGTTTTTCTATGGTTCCCCTCTAAGACAACTCCACTTTCCCGGAAAAGTGAAATGGCCAAACCACTCGCCGCCCACGTTCCAAACCCCGAGGCCTCCAGCGACGACCGGGACTCCGCGGAGCGGGCGCGGCCGCTGCCGGCGAAGCAGCGGGTGCTGCAGAGCCTCTTGGAGATGAAGCGCTCGGGGGAGCTGCAGCTGCTCGCCGAGGTGGGGTTTGAGACGGACTTCGGCTTTTCATATGGCGGTTGGCAAAACCAATGGTACCAATTTGGTAGGTGGAGTCACCACCCATTTTAGTCGAAGTTTTAGTGGGGATTGGGATGTTCACTGGGGGTACGGGCTTTTGACCCATGGCCATATCAAGGAATTTAGAGGGGCCACCCCCTATTCATGGGTCAAAAAAGAAAGAAGCTCAAAATTAAACCGCCAGGAGTTGGACCGCAGGTTTCAGTCCGTTCCATTTGCCAGGGCAACCCATTTTGGGCACCTATTTTTGACGCACACCCGAAAGAAGCGCGGACCGCCAATTGGCGCTCAAATCAAGTGCTGGTTGCAACTTTTTTGTTTGGAGAGATTGCCCTCCAAGAGCCACCCTGGGGCTCAAATCAAGCCTTGTCACAATGTCTTCTTTTTTGGAGAGGTTTTCCTTTAAGAGCCACTACCAAACGAAAGAAACGCAACTACCAAAGCATTAGTGGTAAGCGCACCGCTTTTTTTTGGCCACTCCACGGACATTTTCTCCCTTTGCTTGGTTTCGCTTTGCAGGAAGTTTTGGGGTCCCCGGTTTAGCACCGGGTAGCCCTTGCCTGTTGGTTTGCATGGGTGGTTTTTGGGTTTGAAGCTCTGGTTCTTGTAGAGGGTAAATGGGAAAGCACGCCTTACAATCCTGACCACCACATAGGTGGAAAATCAGTTTAGCAGGACATTTATTGCATTTTATCTTATCCATCCGAACCCCAACTGCAGGGTTTGGTCCATCCACACCAATTACCGCGCTCAAGAACCATGGTTGGTTTTCCTTTTCACTTCCCTTGGAACCAACACCAACGCCATGTGGTTTTCCTGTTGGCCTCATAGGTGTCCTTTTTAGGTTAGTTTGGTTGAGAATAGGTGGCACTGGTTTAGGTTGCTTTTCTTCCATTTGAATGGGCTGGTCAAAGGTAATCCTTCATCCTTACCTGGGGTTACGCAAGGGGTCCCATTTGTAGTGACTTTCCTATGGGGATTCTGGATTGGGATTGGCCAACCCTCCATTTTGAACAGTGCAGTTTAACAGGGCCATCTTTTTTTACCAAAAGGGCACCTATGGTTACTCAGTTGTTCAGTGGCACCTTTTTTTTTCTCTCTTTTTTTTGGCGGCTGCCCACTAAACATGGTCTTCCCCAAAAAGGGTTCCCATTTTTTCCAGGGTCACTGAACAACTGAGGTTACCTTCCCTTTGACCCCCCAAAAACTGGGCACCCATGCAGCCGTTCCAGCCGTTCGCCAGGAGATGGACGTGGCCCAGAAGGAGTTCGAGGCGAAAGCGGCCCAGTTCCGGGAGATCTCCAACCGCATGCGGCAAAGCATGGCGACTCGGTGTCCGGTTTAGTGGCGCCGAAAAAATGGCCTCCAGCTAGGTGCCAACTTTACCCTTTCTTTTTTGGGTGAGGGTTCCCCTACTAGAATAGGCTGCAGCAAAAAAAGTAGACTTGCTAAATGGCAACTAACACTAAAACCTGCAAGACCCTAGGTCTTTAATTTTGAGCCACGCTCACGAACCGTGTTTGGCGTGACCAAATCGAAACCTTTAACTTACATTTGCTTAAGAAAATGGTTTATTCTCCCCTGTTGGTTTTAAAAGGGAATCTATCACTGGTGGAGTACCCTCACATTGTGGGGGTGTCGTTTTTACTGGGGCCCTCAAAATGGCTTGGGTCCTCCTGTTTGGGTTTCCCTTGACCCAAAAAAGGGGTACTCTCAAGCAAAAAAACAGAACCAAAGCGCTTTTCCGAATCAAACCTACATAAGGTCATCGATCTGTTGCTCAGAGGAACCCAGCTAAATGTCCCTCCTGACATTTCCCATTGTTTTCAGTTGCCACTGTAACCAGGGAAGCCATCCATGGTAAAACCTTTAAGAAACCCCCTTCGGGTTGCCTACCTTTACGGTGGTTTGAAACGTCTGACCTTTTCTGGGCTCTCTTCCAACAGGAGTTCACATATATTCGTAGGTTGGTGACCGGTTGGTGTAAACGGAAACCGACTGGGCTCGTCGCTTTTTGAGTGGGTACCCGTGCTGGAGTGGTTCTTTGCCATTTTGGGGGTCCGAATGCTATTTTTAAGACACAACAAATAAACAACCAAAATCTATTTTCAGGCGGTCCGGGACCCAATTGACAGGGGTCCTTTGGCAGGGTGACTTTTTAAGGTAGAAATTCCAAGACTGATTCTGAGTAGCAAGGGGAGCCATGGGAAGGCTATGACCCGCGATGGTTGGCATGAATGCCCTTGATATGGCTCTGAGCCCAGTGTAATATGGCTATGAATTTAGGTTGGACGAAGATGTTACATTTGACTGGGCCTAAAAGTGAAGCAGCCAATAGAAAAATCAACCACATCTCGCGAAAGAGCATCTAACTCCAATCATGAGAAGTCCAACCCAATCCACCAATCCAAACTAGGAGAGTTGGGTGTTGCTGACTCAGGGGTTCCTCTCAATTTGTTTGGATTGGTGAACCCCTGGTTCTCGTACCTGGAGTCTCCTTCCGACCCTTTAAAAATGGGGCTTCCCAAAATAAAGGGGTCATGACCCCATGTTTGGTATGGGTCAGGAGACTCCAGGTGGCGAAATTCGGGGCTCACCGCCCCGGAACACCTCCACACCTCACGAGCTGAGGTGAACGCCAAGCGCTCCGGAGAGCTCGAGCGCCTGGTGGGGGAAATGACCGAAGTCCTGGAGACCCAGGCGCGACGGGAACCCCAGCCTCCCCCCCCCCGATTCTCACCGCAAAGAAAGGCCGCTGCCTTCAGACTTGGGGATTCCTTTTTTTTTTGGAAGTTCGGGTATGTCAGACTTGGGGATTCCATTTTTTGTTTTAATTTCAGGTAGGTTATTGCGCTAGAATTTGCAGGTCCAGTTGTAAATGGCTTCGCATCGCTTCGAAGAACCCATGCATAATTGAGTCTCCTTTTGGAGGTCAGGGTTCTTGATTCGTAGACCTCCCTTTTGCCTATGCGTTTGCGGGGGACGGGTGGAAGATCAGCCATTGTGAATTTCCCCACGTGAATTAAGGAGTAAGATCTCCTTACAACTTGAAACTCCGAAACCCTACGGAGAGACAACCACAACTTCACAGACTCGCCGCTCACCTCTAAACCGGCCGCAAGCCGCAGGCGGAGAGCATCCGCTCACGTGTGCGCAAAGGCAGGGCCAGGAAATCCGGTTTTTCAGAAGGATGTTGGCCTTGGAGCTCTTTTAAAGAGTGCTGACTCGACCTAAGGGACCACTCTACGCTTTACATGCTAAATCATGGTGAAGGATCCACAAGGATCCCGACTGAGGTACCATCCGCTGGCGGCATACAGGATGATTGACCACATATGCTACAAGTGCATATGAGGGTTTCTTTCGGATGGATATATATATATATATATATATACAATGTATATGCCAAACAGTTTGGTTTCATCTTACGATTATGTTTAATTCGGGTTAACCAGGAGACATATACCACCATGCCCTGCCATTTACTGATGCCCATGACCCCACACGGAAGTTTCCGATTGTGACTGACACATCCACCTTCGGTCGTGCCCCCTTGTTGTCATGACTATCGATGGATGCATTTGGACGGATTACAACGAGCCTTGGGTGTCAACGACCCATGATGAAGATACTTGACTGGGGGTTTCGGGGGTCTCGGAATCAGGAACTGGACCCCAGTGGTTGGTTTCCTTCATTTGGTTTAGACAAGGGACGCCGTTCGCCGGCTCCAACGCCGAAAAATATATATAAAAAATCAGCACGTCATTTGGTTTTCTTGTCAGCTAACAAAAGAGGGACGGAGGGTCCCGACATTTCGTCATGCCCTTCACATCTGACAGAAGACGTGAAGCCAACACAAAGACCATATCCACGAGGCATGCTGAGGGCGCACCGGCGTGGGGAGCTGCAAGATTTGCGCCAGGACGAAATGGCAGAGTGGGAGTGGATGTGCGCATAGCTGGGGGTGCCTTTTGCGTGTTTTTCCAGCGGGGTTGTGGGAAGCAGATTGGTTCCCACTTAGGAAGCCATTGTTCGAGTGGCGAAGGCAACGTCTTTGAACGGAAGTGATTGCCATTCCCACAACCCTGTCCTGGTTTAATTTATTTGGGCCCAATGCGATTGCGACATCCCCAACACCACCCGAGCTAAATCGTGGTTGAAAGTGGTTTCCGACTGAGAGCTGGGAGTAGTTTGGAAGTCCCTCAACATGTTCACTTTAAAGGCCCCAGTTTTTTGGGTGTTTCTTTCTCCTCGCAAGCAAGGAAAAGGCAAAGTTGCCGTATGTCGCCGTCAAAAATCAAAACTATTAACCCTTGTGGTGGTTTCCCCTGTAGTGGTGGTGTCTCACTGCAGATTAGTATCAGAGATTGCCCTCCCATTTTGAACAATACAGAAGGTCAGCCGCGAATCATTTGACAGCCCCCCAACAACCCAACATGCACCCAAAGAAGGCCCCCCCCCACAAAAAAAAGATCAAAAGACACCTAAAAGAAGGGGTCAGTCAACAAGTCATTCCCACGCTTTCGGGTTTTCCGGAGGGGGGGGGTGATAAGTCGTGTCCGGTGCGGCTGCCGGCTTCGTCGTTGCCGTTTCGGGTTTTAGGAGTTGGACGAGCTGGCGGATGAGGTGCCCTCGATGCCTCTGGCCAGCGCCAGGGGTTGGACGCGCTGGACCGAGATGAGCGCCTCGTTTTTCAGCGGGGAGTGCGGACGGTCCCCGAAGCCCTGGGGTTCCCCCGTTGGGCGACCCTCCCGTCTTTCATGGAACCTTACTGAGGGGTCCTGGAACCTGCCATATTCCGACAAAAGGGAGCCTCCGGATCCCGCTGGTGGGTGCAACATGTTGGTGGACAGGAGGGGATTTCTGATTGTTGAGGTTCCTTGGTGCACCCTAGTTTGGAGAGGGAAGCAAGCCCTTTTGAATCAAGTACAGAACAAAAAGGTGCCGATTATTTGCTGGAAATCCAATACAGGTTTGGGTGTACTGACTGGCTCTTCCCAGTGCTTCCAGGACCACACAAGAAAGGGAATCCTCCGGGTTCTTCCAGGTTTACCATGGATGGTTTCCCCTCTAGTGGGTTCCCCTTACAGGGTTTCACCTTTGCACCCCAAGATAGACTGAAGCGGTCAACGAGAGAATGAGGTGGCTTCCGAGGAAGCTGGTGCATGTCCAAAACGGCTGTTGATTCCCCACGGAAAACCCGTACTGATTCCCCCCTTTGGGCCCCTTGAAAGAGACATCAAACTTGCCATTAAACCGGGAGTTTCGTTCCTTGCTGAGAACAAGCCAGTCTTAAAGGCAGGGCTACATTTTTCACTACACCAAGATAGACTTATTAACCCAGGCAGGAATTGGTTTCCCTTTTTAAGGACATCAACCAATGAGAAGGGAATTGGGTGGGATAATTTTTCAGCTCTCACAAAAAAATGGTGGAACACCTTTGAGGTGAACCCTTGAAATGTCATTTCACTGTTCCCTCTGACCTGACTGGACTCAATGATTGCTTGGAGACCCCCCACCGAGGGCAGGGATCTGATCCCTGTGTGGTGCGTTTTCTTTTGGATTCTGCACTGTTTCTGGGGTCGTTTGAAGGAAGCCAAAAACAATCTACCAACTTAACAGCAACCACACCCACACACACACACACAACTAGGTAAGCTTCTTTTGGATGATTCTTAACCTTTGCCTTGGTTCAAAGGTTCAAAGGGAAACCAAAAGCACAACCACTTTTTGCCCTTGCCCCCCCCCTACCCAAATGGGAGTTGCTCAAAATGGATTTCGGACCCCTGTTTAGTTGGCATTTAAAAGGGAAGCCACAAGGAAACCGTTTCTATAGAGGAAACCAACCATAGAGGATTCGGGTAGTGGCGATTCCGAATCTCCAATTTGAGCCACAATCAACGCCCGGGTAGACGAAGGCTAGTAAGGGATAATCCCAGCTATAAATGGGTGCAGCTTAATTCTACACATTCTGGGTAGACCAATTCAATACCAGAGTTTAATTATGACTCATTTTGTTGCCTTAGAGGATTTGGGCAGGCATGGGAAACCAGCGTACCAATTTTAGAGGAAGTTTAGTCGACCCTTTATTTTTGGAACAACTACCGATGTATTTTAGGCGGGACACCAAGCAACAATTTTAGGTTCTTTTTTGTTTGGGGGGGGTGGAACACAACCACGGGAAACCAAGCCACGATGGGAAATCAACCATTATAGGCAAATCCGCCCATTTGTGCTAGACGGGAAACTGAGCAACCACTGTTAGGGGATGTTTTGAAAAACCCACCCATTTTTGTTAGGGGAAACCAACCATTTGGGGGCTCACCGATTCCTTTCAGAAAGTTTCCCAACTCCAAGTCTCGAGGCAGCGACTCAGACCTGGAGCCAACCCGTCGCGAGGAGGACCTCTCAGGCAGCAACGAGGCGAGCCGACAAACGTGGGCTCGGTCTCCGAGCGATGGGGTGGGGTGGATGGTTTTTGGGTGGAGCCACTTGGCTGCTCGTGGGTTGGATATTTGCCCTTTGATTTTTCGAGGAATTCGAAAATGGGGTTGTTTGTTTTCAGAGAGCAGTAGACACCAAGGTCGACTTTTTGCACCGTCCAGGGCTGAAAAGGGGTTTGCTGCCTTGGACTAGAACATCTCCCCAAGAATCTGAAAAGGCTACGCCCTACTTGGATGATGTGTAAAGGAAACCCAGAGAAACCCTGCGTGCTCTGGGGGTTCACATATTGAACACCTGGGTGGGGCCCCGTTTCTAGAGGGCTCTTTGATGTTGTCTTTTGAGGGAGTTGCACAAAGTCCCATCTGCCATGAATGTGTCTCACTCTTGGGCTACCATGGTGACCCATGAGAACCCTCTTAGATGAGGCGCCTCAACAACTCTCGTGGGTTTTGCACCCAGAGACCACCGGAGGAGTCATTTCAAAGCTCTACATGTTGTTTTTTGTTCTGTTTTGTTTTTTCCTGTTTTTTTCTTCTTCTGTAGCTTGATTTGACGTCCTTGTTTGTTTGGTGGGTTGTGACTCTCCAAACCGGGTACCGTTAAAGAAGGACAACCCAGTCCAGCATATGTCACCTGAATCAGTCGCCTGAGTCTTCTCACTGAATGTTTGAGCCAGGGGCTGAACTGTTGAGTCCGGGCTGTGTAAAGGGACACGTCGTACGCACCTCTTCCGGCTATGTATATATTTATATAGGACTCCCCAAAGCCTTTCAAATAAGAGAGTTCACTGGTATTTGTGAATGTATATACGTATACACACATATACATATATGTACATAAAGGCTTGGTACGACCTTCCGCCTTCATGTTGGAAATCGAGAGATGGGTGAAAGTACATGGTAGAGTCGGGGTGGGCCATCTACTTTCACCTTGGGTGTATTACCAGAACAAACGGGAAAATGACCAAAGCGACCTCTAGTTTTTGAACACGAGCTTGCAACAAGTTCAGCTTGTTGGGGATCAACTGACGCTGACTCAGAGAGTTGCCGTTTTGGAGTCATAGGGGGAGCCACATGTGAGTGACAGAGTATCTACTTGGGGCCAGGGACCATGGGCTCCCTGCCTTTGGCACCCCTTGTGGCTCGTCAGATTGGGCCTGAAGAATTGGAATCTTAGAGTTTAATAGCATACCACCTCGCTGGTTGGACATCAACCCCGCAAAATCTGAATTGAAGCATCATGCCCCTGTGTTTGGCCCAAAGAACCAGTGACTTGAGAGAGAGAGAGAGAGAGAATGAGAGAATGAGAGAATGAGAGAATGAGAGAGAGAGAGAATGAGAGAGTGAGAGAGAGAGAGAGAAAGAGAGAGAATGAGAGAGTGAGAGAGAGAGAGATCTCCTGTGAATTCTTCAGACTCACCCAGACCTTCGCCCCGCAGGAGAGCGACGCCGATGCCAAGGCGGCTGCTGCCTCCAGCTGGCAGGCACCTGCGACCTGAAGCCGTAAGCTGTAAGGATGGGAATAAGGAGATCTATGACTTGTTCAAGGATTGCACAGAAAGGAACGTCTGTTTCATGGATGAAGGTATACATAAATATATAATACACACGCATATATATATATATATATGTATATGTATATATATATACATAGAGTATCAAGACGGGTGTGTCTTGTTCAGGCCCTGCTTGGTTTTTGAAGCGACGCCACGTTCATTGGACTTGGCAGAAGGGGTAATGAAGGGGTCCCCTTATTTTGAGGGTCGAATTTTAAGGATATGTCTGGTTTTTTGTTGCACCGGGACCCGCATAATGGTGAGTGTCCTTTTGGTTTTCCTTTTAATCCACCAAACAAAGGGATACCAGCTCCAAAAAAGACCCCCGTTTGGAGAAGTTCCAAGGTCTAGCTGAGGTTCCACGGATGTTTTTTGGACCCTGCATCCCCTGAATCAATACTTGCTCGGGAATCGACAGCGGTTTTGAGAATGAACCTGGGAATCCCCTTAAAAGAAACATTCCACCCCCATTGAACAAAGCAAATCCGGCTCGGCAGTTCTTCGGCAGGCGGCAGCGACCAAGCCACGCAAGCGATGGGCGGACATGACCACCAGCAGTGACTCAGGCGCTGGAGCGAGCCATTGGTCTGGAAGCAGCATGCTAGGAAGCGGAACCTGCTTCTGGGGTCAAGCACCATCTGCAATCAGCGAACTGCTCCCATCCGAAAATCCACTTCGGATCCAGCTTTACGAGTGAAAAGGGACCATGCCATGCCGATTGTCAATGAGCTGGGCGTCAAACATGACGTGCTATACTTCGTCTTTGGTTTGCACACATGCTTGTTCTTTTGACCCCGAAAACCTGGAATGCTGAGAGTGCATGGACATGTTGATTGCCTGCCTGCACGTGCCAGATCTGGATCCTGGCCAAGCAGGGAGGGCGTGGGTCCTCAAGTCATGCGCATAGTCTATACACATCAATATTTTTTGAAACATGTCATGTGTATACATACATATATACACATCATTGACTTATGTGTCAACACCGGCCACCGAAGGAAACCCTGTTTGTTGAAACCACCTAGGAGATGTGTCGCGCGTGTTCACGCAAATGTCAACATATACATACATGTGCGCGTAAGCATGGGCACATCACGTGCATGTACATTGTATACATATATATGTATATGTGAGCGAGTGTGTGTGTGTGTGTCCCAACTCTGAGATCAAAGTGATACTGCTCAACATTCAACATGGAGTCGGGAGCCACAATGGCCAACGACTCGACATCGATTGATGGCTCCCCAACTCCAAAAAGGGTTATTGGTTTGTCTCTGGTTTCGGGCCCTTGGTTTGACAAAGTGGATGATGGAAGACTGTTGCCCCTCATCCTCTTTCAGGAGGCGTGACCAAAGTGAAAGGCACTGTCGGCAGGTTCTGAACGAGAACCACGTTCTAACACTCCTGCAGTACTCGAAGAGGCTCCTGTGAACTTCAACTCCTGACTTTTGTTTTTCTGAACCAGGCAAGTCATTTGTCTGATATTTACCTTCGAGAACACACCGTCTTGATGATCCGCCTGACATTAATGTGACCTTACCCACCCTTAGCCCAAATCAATTGGGACAGAGGACGGGAGGAGAACACACTAAGTCAAGAAAGGACCACGGCAGCAAGATGTGGTAAAAGTGAACTCGCGTATACCAAAATTAGGGCATGCCAATGACTGGCATCGGCGTGATTGGCAACAGGCTCCATCCACTACCCGAACGAAAGCCCGCCCCACGTACCGAGCAACCTGAGACCCAGTCCCCAATAAGGCAGCAAATGTTTGGGCCTTACTCTCCCTGAAAGTTTTCAACCCGATGGCTGACACCGTGATGTGACAGAATCTCATGGGATGAAGTTCCCGAGGCGCATACAGCCCACACAATGGGCGATAGGCACGGAGCTAACATGGCTTGGATGGAGCAACGGGCATTTGAGAGCACTGGCGAGCGGCCGGTTTGTTTCACTGCCGTACGCCCGTTCCATCAAAGAAGCCTCCAACGTGAAATTTACATGTGTATGTTATATATATATATATATATGTATTTGCGTGTGTGTGTGTGTGTGTCGGTAGTTGGACCCCGATCCCTTTAGCCAACCCGGGTACTGCAGCATTCAAGCTGAGGCGGTTCCCTCGCGCTTCGCAATGCCCAAGGCAGGGCTTCGAGCATCGGGCAAATGTCATACAAAGGCTTACCGGCTACTCCACAAATCCTCCTTCCAACAATCGAAGCTGACAGGAGGGTTCTGCAAGATTGCTTTTCTTGTAGAGAAGCCCCTGTTCACTGCCATGATTGTTGGAAAGGGGGTACTCTCTCTTTTTCAAGGTATGATGTTACCCGCTGACTAAGCAAGAAGGTAGAAAGAATCCCCTTGAATCTTTTGCTAGCGTCCGCCACCAGAAGGGTCGAGCAACATCATGTGGGGGGGGGGGAATGGCATTCAAAAAGGGGGGGATGGTCAACATGGGTGGGTTCAGTCACTCCATCTTTGAACTAAGGCCCTTGTCAGAGTCCGATTTAAGATTTAGTTTCCTGTGCGCTGTCGGGACATGCTGAAGAAAGAGCGTTCTTCAAAGAGGGGGAAGTTGTTTGTTTGATAAGTCTATCCACATTGGATCTGTTGTGTCAAATTGAGAAAACCCTTGGATGTTTTCACCAGGAAGCCAAACATAAACCAAGCCTTGGGAAAATGTTGGTGTATGACTGACTGTATTTGTTTAAGAAAACACTTGCTTGATAGTTTGCATTTTTCCGCCGCCAACCCGCAGGGAAGCAAGAAAGCAAAGCAAGCAAGCAAGCAAGCAAGCAAGCAAGCAAGCAAGCAAGCAAGCAAGCAAGCAAGCAAGCAAGCAAGCAAGCAAGCAAGCACAAGCAAGCAAGCAAGCAAGCAAGCAAGCAAGCAAGCAAGCAAGCAAGCAAGCAAGCAAGCAAGCAAGCAAGCAAGCAAGCAAGCACCCACAACCCACCCCAAACCCGCACACTCCTAAGCCTACCCTAAGTTTGCCCTAAATTCGACCCCGAACACCCATCAGTCGCATGAGTCCACCCTAGACCCACCCCTTGGCCAATCTGAAGCCAATCCTAAACCCAAACTGACCCCACCACCCTCAAATGGACCAGGCGGCCGCGAAGAGAAACGCCCGGCACCGCGTCTGCAAGTGATGGGTGCGATGACTAGCCCTTCTTTTCCCCAAAAGAAGACCAAGAGGGGAGTTGTTTTTTCTCCAATTTCCAAACCCTCTATTTGCAATAGCACCCAGGATGCCCCTCAGAAGGGTACTTGAACTACAGACGGAGTTGTCCCTTAAACTGAAATGATGTGTTTAAACGAAGTGGATGCTTCTGAATAGCTGGAATAGAGCCCTGCTGTCCTTTCTTTTTTTTAAACTGAAGGGGTTCCAATGTTGTCTAAAGTGGTGTTCTTTTATGGTGGTCCCTTCTCAAACTGAGCCAAAAGGTGGGGGCATTTTGACAGAGCCCAGTGTCATTTCGCTGCGTCCGAGGCCAGGTGCGGCTTCGTCGTCTCACCTCTCAGTCGTGGTGAACAGAGCAGATTCGGAGAGCCCCGTCCCAGACGAGCCCTCGCCGGGCGAAAGCGACGCGCCGGCGCCCGCTGGCCAAAAAGATGGCGCCTGCTGAGCTGCTGGCAGGTTGAGAGCTGCTCTTGGACCAAAAGAACGAAAAGAATCGCCCACACAAACGAGGAGGGCCAGGAGGGTGGGTGTTTGCTCAAGTCGGACCTGCCACAGACGGAGCTCGCCCGGCGCAAGTTTCGGGGAAACGGGAGTCGAGTCAAGTCAGGTGGCCTTCAGGCTGGGCAATACCCGGCTGCTCTTTGTGAACGCGCACCTGGCAGCTCACGCCAACAAGATGCAGGACGCGAGAGAAGTGGCCGGTCAAAATCCAACACCCCCAATGAACATCAACCAATCCATCCACTCAAATAGGTTCTAAAATGCGTGGTGAATTCACCTATACCAAAATGGGATACCATTGGTTTTGACCCACGGCCAAATCTTCGACCTTGCTCGGAGTTCGGACTTGGGTGGATTGCACGTGCGAAGGAGCGCAGCGCAAACGGAAGCAAAGGGGGCTCATGAGAGACTGTCCTAAGGTGTTTTGTTTTGTTCAGATTGAGGGAAGACGGGGAAGGTGTTGAGTGGAAATGATGAAGGCTCGCATAGGAATGCATTTGCGAACTCCTGCCGGGAGATTCATCGCAAACAAGACTGACACGTTGATTTCTCTTAAACCTCGCAGATGTGGTGACCCCCGTTTAATTTTCCGTGCGGGTCACGAAATTAAGCTCATTGATCTTACCAAGAAGCATTTGCGGACGTGGAATCGGAGGGATCCCACAAAACTACAGTGCCTGGAACAGGGGTCCTCCAAGTTTTGGCTTAAGACTGCGGCCATAAACAGCACTCATGGAACCCAACGGCGTCACTCGGAAATTGGAGACTTGTTGATAGCAAGGAGGGGGGTGGTGGGGGCCGTATCAATCTGCAGAACAGTATAGGCCTGTGAATAGGATATGTGTTAAACACCTCAAAAGGTGTCCCTTGGTCCTTAAAGTCCAGCTGATAAAGAGTGCCGAGCCTCAAAGAACCACACATTGGCCTTGATCAAGCACCCCTTTACTCGTGGTTAATAGGGATGAGCATGACCCTGTGGATGAAAATTTAGACGACCATAAGGGTGGATAGCGAGAGACCTGCATGGCCCATGACAGCCATTGGAAGGGTTCCTGAGAGACCAAATGACCACCCACAGCATCCTTGACTGTTGACCGGTGGTTCGGTTCCTACCATGCCTGCTTTCATGAAGTTTATCAAAAGGCCTACATGGCTACCCAAATGGTTGATGGAACCTAAATGATGAGCACCAAAGGGCTCCCCCGGAAATTCACACCCACAGAAGCCTTTATAATATTCTGAGTAATGTGAGTAAAACCCACCGTCAGCTCGGGTACTGGATGGATTGGTAAGCTGGAGGGGGGAGATAGGTTGTTCAGCATCATCATCATCATCATCAGCATCATCATCATCATCATCATCATCATGATCATCATCATCACCTGGTTTATTTCTGTTTTATTGCCTATCTTTGACCAATTAATAATCTGATGATGACCATTCTTCCATTTGTGTCTCTCGCATACCCACTCACTCCTTGTTCATTGCAGGGCATGCGATTGCAAGAGCAGCGGTAGAGAGCGAGTGATAGCGATTGGGATGGGTCGCTCTCTCTCTCTCTCGCTCACTCGCTCTTCATCCCATCCACTCACTCTCTTTCTCCTTCCACATCCTTCTTTGCTTCTTCAGACTAACAATTACTTGGCAAAGAAGGATGGAGAAGGGAGACAAGGGATGGAACAAAATATTGAAGCCATGCTAATCCTAACAATATTACCTGAAGGTAAGATGGGTTAGCAAGAATCGCATGCAACGTAGACATATTAAGCATGATATAACGATACTATTATCATCTCTTGTACATTGTGCTGTTCTTATCCATCGCTGATCATCAGATGTCTCGCTTATTATAATTACACTGACACCAGCATAGACCCCAAATAGCTAAAGCTGCACCTGCACCAGCACTCCACACATGCCCCCTAGCCCTGCCGTGAGTCTCGCCAAAGCGCGCCTGTGCCAGAACACCTGATGAGCACCCCAACAGCACCCCCCGAGTCCCGCAACAATGCGCCCGAGCGTCACCAGCACCGCCACCCCAAACAGCACCCCAAAGCCCTCCGGCACCCAGCCATCAGTGTCGCAAAAATGCGTGCACCAGCACCCCAAACTGCATGCCCCCTAGCACCCGGCCCGTCAATATTGCAACAATGCGCCCGCGCCGTCACCGGCGCCTCAAACAGCACCACAAGCAGCAGCCCAAAACAGCGCCTGCATCAGCACCCCAAACTGCATGGCCCCGTAGCACCCTGCCGTCAATCTCGCGAAAATGCGCCTGCGCCGCCACCAGCACCCCAAGACAGCACATGCACAGAACCCAAAGTGCATGCCCCCTAGCACCCAACCGTCAATCTCGCAAATCACTTTCCCCTCTTTATTAGAAGTTAGAACCCCTATAGCTTTCAGCTATCTGGGGAAATATTGGAGTTGAGAATAGAGGTAGGACGTAGGTGAGAGAGAGAGACAAAGACCCAATTAGTCTCCAAAAGTAATATCTTGGAAATTTGAGAGATTTGTTTGTCGTTTCTAAAATGTTCATATCTTACATATTGCCATTATCCTCTTCTAAGTTTGAATATCGATTTACAGTACGTAGATGTGATGGAGATGAAGGCTGAATAAAATCATATGAACATAAATAAACAATAGACTGATAAGGAAAGATCAAGTCATATCACATATGGTTTCATGAGATAGCCAACCAAAATGATAACTGTGTCGCATCTTGCTTGGATGTTAGGACTTTACTTTTTTTGGCCAACTAAAAGTTAAACTTTTAGCAGGGGAGCAGAAAGCAACCGAGGATAGATTCCAAGTCGTTCCCGTCTCTCCTCCAGATCTGTGGGCGAAGGACCGCACTAGTAACTTCCATCGCATCCTCGAGAGCTCGCCCATGCGCCAGCGTAAGGACCGAGGGCACCCGTGCTCAGAGCAGTCGGATTGGAGACGTTTTGGATTTGGACCATTTGTAGTGGCAATGTTGACCCCGTATTACTCAACCTCAGTGTGTCAACAGGGGGGGGTGTCCTTGGGTGTAGTGCGGAATCACTACTTTTGGAGGGGAACACCCATAATCTGAAGTTGATTAATGTGGGGTCAACATTAAACGACAGGTTGACAGTTTTTGTGGTACACAACAAGTTTGGCCAAAGTGCAACATGCTCGTGGTTTCATGTGGTTTCTTTTTGTATATAGCAAATTCTAGCAAGCCCAAAACACTTGCTTGGTCTCAGAGAGGAAGTGAGAATGACACCGCATTCCCAGAAGTGGATTCTTGCGAGAATGGTTGGTGGCTATCCCAATTAAAGCGACAAAACAAACACGCTAACAGGACCACGGAGCCAATGGCACAGGCGGTCGGGCACTGTTTACCAATGTTGTGACTCAGATAGCCGGCTCAGTTTGGATGGGCTTGCAAACCAACCGGTTCTCAGTGAAAATGCATAGGAAGTGTCCCATCCAAGCCACCAGTCTTGATGTTTTGGTTTGGATTGGGAAGCTGGTAGATGGCCCCAGGGAAGCCGCGACTTGCGAGGGAATCGCGATCGGGCAAAAAGCCCATTCCAATCGGGGTCCAAGTCTGGATGTCAGAAATCACCTCGTTGCCCAAGCTTTCTCCTTTTCAGGTTCCTTCATTCTGGCTCCCTCCTTTTGGGTCGCTTGAACATCACCTTTCTAGCCCAGCGGCGAGTTTCCCTTGCTAGGGGTGATGTGTTCACGCGAACCATAGGGAGCCCGCTTCATGTCTGGAATCTGTTTTCAATCAAACAGTTCACTTGCAGCGCGTCTGGCCAACCCATGGAACCCCAATCACCGGCTTCACCAATCACCTGAGCGTCGCTCGGGCGGCTTCCAGGACACGAGCGGTGTCCACTGGGAGTTCGACCGGGTGTTCTTCATGGCGGGGATATCTCGATGGGTTTGTCTCACAGCATATGGCTGTGGATCAAAACCAATGATACCATTTTGGGGTGGGTGGTGCACCTCTATTTTAGTGGGGATTGGGATGTTCACTGACATTACGATTTTGATTTTGACCCATGGCCATATGGAGCCCAGTGGGTGTTTTTTTGGATTCCCGTGAAACAAAGTATAAAGCCACCAGAAAAGGCCAGCCTCTGACCAGAATGGGTTGGTTGGCGGTGGCCGTTTATGTGGGGGTCCTTTCTTTTTACGATGCGAGCTCTTCCTTCCTGCACAGAACGCGGCCCGACTTTGGCAGTGGCTGGCCAATCAAACCCAGGGATCCCCAAAGCCCGGAATTCTGACGGCTTCCCAACCTCTGGGCGTGGCGTTTTCTAGAGGACTGCCTTCTGGTTGATTTGAAGGCGAAGCCAAATCCCTGCGGAAGAAAATGGGGAATCAACCTTTGGAGCCATGTCGCGTCTGCAGATTCTCGCAGGGGGACCTCAACACTCGCCTGGATGCGAGCCGGGAGACGGTGGATGCGTGGATTGCGGCAAAGCGTCGACCTGAGGGACTGTGCCCGCAGTTCTACGCCTGTCTACCTGACTTGGAAACTCAGGGGACACCATGGGAACATGGAAAAAGCCGTGGTTTCGCAGAGGCTCAGCCATGGGAACCAAAAATAAACAGAGAAAGCCATGGGAACCCAGGCACAAGGACAACGTCCTGAATTTTCCGTAGGGTCTTCCCAGGTAGGCGGAGTGTCCAATGCGTTGCCCGAACATGCCCGAACGAGACAAACCTCTCACGCACGCGTTTAGGGTCCTTTCCAAAAAAACATGTTTCTTGGTGACTCCCGGAGGGTTTAGAACCAGGCTCCCCCCAACGGCTATCAAATGGTTCCTGGTTTAAACGTGACCTGGCGGTTTTGTGGGTCGATTGAGACCCGGTCCTCCAGAATCGCGCAAAGTAAGTCGCGTGTTCCGACATTTGCAAGGCAGTCTCCGCCCGGTTCCCGATATACTTCGTGATTTGGCCCCAAAGTGGTATCCTTCAGCTTCAAGACTTCACACCCTATCCCAGAAAGACCTGCAAAAGCGAACCCAACAATTGCCGCGGCATTTTTTCGTGAAATATTCTGAGACGAGGCAGTTTGACAGATGCCTGGAGAAGGATCAGCTGCTGCCCTTGCTGAAAGGCGACTCAGGCCGGGCAAGTCGAAAGCGCAAGAAGGCACAAGTGCGTCAGCGAACCCTTCGGTGGTGGAATGGATTTGTGGTTTGGGGATGTGAACCCCTGGTTCTTGTAGAGGGCAAACCGAGGTTCCCTGTATCTCTCCTGAAACTGAGCCAATAACAACTTCCGGGCCACTCTTATCCAATTTTGAGCCTCCGCAGCTTGGATACAGGTGCTAGCGCCCCTCTTTGGGGTCGTGCTTTGAGCCCATGTGTCTTTAAAGGGCCCAACAAAATGATTTGCTCCCTTTAAAACCAGTCCAAACTGTGGGCATGCACACGAACACCCATGGAAACATCGGAGGTCATGCGGGACTCTGGTCACACTTCGAGGAGGCTCGAGCAGTGCCGTGTGAATTTATGTGCCACTCTCAAATGGATGTCAGATGAGCCTAAACAAAATACCCCCTCCCCAAAAGTCAATGAGCAAGCCGTTTGATAGCAATTGGTCCACCAAGCGTTTGTTCTATATAGAGGTTTACCATACTCCATTTCGCAGTCGTAACTCCAGGAATCAGGAGTACGATCCCAACAAGGTACTCGATCATCAAGAGTTGTTTTTTCGGGATGGAGGAGACACCTGTAGATTTGGGTGGCTCTATTCTTGAGGGTACCCCTTTCAGGGTGTTGTGTTTCCCAAACAACACCAAAAGGAGAACCACCTTTTTGGGAGGTCCTTCGATTTCAAGAGGCGCCCAGTTGGTTGTCCGGTCGTTAAAATCGAGGCGCAGATCAACTTCGCTCCCACATACAAGTTCGATAAGCATTCGGCGCAGACCTCAGCGCAGAACACTCGTGTCTGATTGCGGGCTGCGGCTCGTCCGTTTTTTAGGGGACCCCTGGTGGTTTTCCCGTTGGTTTCCCGCTTGAAGGAAGCCACACCCATGTGTGTGTGTGTGTGTGTGTGTGTGTGTGTGTTTGTTGAAGGTACCGTTTTCAGGTTGGTTTAAAGGGAAGCTGAGAGGAACGCCACCATGAGGGTCTTCCTTATTGACACAAATATCTGTGCCGGTGGGCTGGGTGACTTGCCGAGGAAGTGTATGACTCTTCCAAGAAGCAGCGCGTTCCAAGTTGGACGGACCGCAGGGCGCGATGTGCGCTCTTGAAGGGAGTGACTTGGCCATGGGGCATAACCTACGGCTCCATTTTGGGGTGGATGAAAATCCATTTGCCACCTATTTTGATGTTCACCAAATATACAGGGGTTTGACCCACAGCCACTTGTCCTTGGCAGGACCGGATTCTCTGGAAGAAGGATGTGCACGTCAAGCCCATGGCATACAACTCTGCGCCTTGGGTGTTCAGTTTCAGCGCTGAAGACGGGTGCCAAATGGAATCGGCCATGCCCGCAAACAGAAAATAAGCGACAAATCCAAAACGAAAGCAAAAGGGATGTACATTTGCTATCTTCGTTTCCAGACTCCCCCAATAAAATGAGTAACTGCACGTCTTCTTGGCACTCGCCGCGGCATGGACCCCCTTGCAGGTGCCAGGCCTGCAATGCTCCGACCACCGGCCCGTCTTTGCGCAGTTTGAGGCGACACCTGTGAGTCGCATTCACTTGGTTTCGCTCACCTTAAGCCCTGGAAATCCCTGGAAGCCCTGGAAATTTTTGGAAGCCCTGGAATAGACTTTTTTCTTCATTTTCTGGGGGGACACAAACACCGCAACACGCGTTTTGGGACAAATCACAAGCACTATGGCTTGAAATGGCTCAATCGAATGTGCTTGCCCAACGCCGACCTTTTAACTTTTGACATAGTTTCGTCTTAAGTTTACTTTCAGTGGCCCCAAAAGCCTATCACCTTTGGATTCTTGGTCCTTCGGGCAACTACGCCTTTGAACACCAAACGGACTTGTTTGACCGGAGCCCACCCGGTCACCCCAGAGCCATGGTCGAGCTACAAGTGGAGCCCACCACAAGCCCTAAAGCACTCAGCTTTCAAAATGGCAAGCTGAATGGAATGTAGGTGATGGGGGCCTAAATGAGTTCTCTCCTATGATTGACTGATTCTTGGCTTGAAAGCACCCTAATCTGCGTTTGGCTTGACAGCACCCCAAAACTCTATTCTAATTAATCAATTAGGCTCTTGCAGTAATTACTTGTAATGAAGCTCAAAGGATAAAAAACACACTGGTGCCCTTTAAGTCGGTTCGGCTAGGCGTTGATAGCTTTTTCCAGTGATCCAGTGGAATTCATGGAATTTCACGATTCATTTGCGTCTTTCTAAAAATCAAGCTTTCGTCGCAGGTGGACATCGATCTTGACTCCTGGTCTGGTCCGGCCAACTCCGATGCCAGGACAGAATGCCTCGAAGCTTCTAACCAATTCGGGCTTCCCGTCACTCCCGTCAAGCTCAGTTTGCATCTGGCTTTGAATTTTGCTAGGGAAGCACCTCATAAGTGGTTGGTGGACATGAATCCCTGAATTTCGATGTCAACCACAGGGTCTGGAACCCATGAAAACTCACACGCGTTTTATGCTTGGAGCTGATACGGCTTTTACATTCTACAGAGATGACCCAGTTTTCCTCCGGTGGATTGGCTCAACGTCGGCAGATATATGGACAGTATGGACACATTGCAAACGAGCTCGGGTGAGATGAGCCAAGGAAGGCCCTGTCCAGATGCCTCGCAGCTTTGGAAACCAAGCGAAAGCCAAGTTTGGGGCTTCTTGATCTGGGTCTGCAAAAGGAAGCCACCCATTTTTAGGGGAGTCGCCCAAAGAAAGACACACCCATCGCCCCCCAATGAGGATTTAGGCTCTGCGTCCTGATGTTCAGTCGAACCTCAACTTTCAGGAAGAGCTCTGTTTGCGCGGTGCAGTGAGCGCCGGGTTATGCGGCCGGCGACCCATCGTCCCAGCGCGCGAGTCTTGCGGCTTCGCCCAACTTTACGTTGCGTGTTGGTTTAGACAGCAAGCGTGCCATGATCAAAGCACCCTTTTGCTTGAGCTTGGTATGGTCATGAACCTCTTAGAGGTTAGACAACCACAATAAGGACTCGCAATAAGGGCAGAATGACCATGGCCGTCACAAATGAGTTTTGACGACCACGGCACACGGGGCTGTCTATCTCAGTTATCCCTCTTCTTGCAGACGCAGACCTGTGTAGGATATAACTTGTTTTGCGACTGGACACGATGGATCGATATGTTTTCAGGGTTCGAGCACCAGGGCACGAGCCACAAACGCGGCACCGGAACAAAGCAGTTGCTGGATGCCAGATGTTTGTCTTTACCGGGTTTACCGGTCAGGTCGGCGGCCATTTGTTGCGCAAAGTTGCTTTGCCGACCGGCCGACCGACCTGCATCTTGGCTTGAGCTATTGCTCAAGCCAATGCCCAATGCTCCTAAGGAGCGAAGCGTCGATCATCTTTACATGCTCTCACCAGGCATCAGGCACTGGGGCAGTCTTGGAGTAGCTCGATCTGGAAAAGCAATCGGCGCTGGGCCGCATGCGGCCTACCGGACGACAACTCCAGACGACAACTCCAGACACCGCATGCCTGTGATATGCCTCCTGGAGATGAACATCTCCAGATCGGAATTCAGTGTACAGAGGAATTAATGCAACGTCAGCCTCTGTTTGCCCCGGTGGTTTGCATAGATCAAAAATGCTCCATTGCAGATGCCGTTCAGCCAAATTGTACAGTTTCTGGCCTTGGAACATGTCAGAGACTCACTGATTTGCCTGCAAAGGGGACACACTGATCTTTCCATATCCTCTAGGGTATCTAGTCCGTCCGTGCTTTTAGTCTGAGCCCAAATCTACCCTCCAATAATGGAAGTGGATAGGAGCCTTATCCCAAAAAACTGGCTTCATGGTGCTTCACATCCAGATTTGTAAGCTGGACGGTGATTTTGCAGTGCTTTCTCCAGACCACGAACGCTCAGAAATTTGGCTATGCAGACGATTTGTGTTGCCTGGGACATTTCAACATGAACCTTCAGGAACAACAGGGTCGGTAAACTAATATACAGTTAATTTGTCGTTGAGCATCCGGTCACGTGGTTCGATTCGACACGCTGGTAGAACTGATGTTGCAGCGCTCTGAAAGCGACGGGCCGTGACATGCAGCGTATGCAGCATGGTAGCATTTCTTATCTTGTAGGGATCCAGCAGTGATTGTGATAGAGAGCAGCGAGGAATCCCTATGCATTTGATTTCGTGCGCATCATTAGTTCATGTAGAAAGTGTTTGCCAGTTGATACTGACCCAAGACATGCTGCAACAAGTCATGACTACAAAGAACCGGCTATTTTCAGCTACTTCCGCAACCAGCATGTTAAGCAACCATGTGGGCCCATTGGACCATCCGTTTCCCAACCCACGTCCATGTCCTCCTATTCGCCATGGACGGGTTCCCCGCGCTGGACGCCTCGATGGGCCCCGGCGGTCATTTCGCGTCGCCGGCAAGCCCTGGCAGCCCGGTGTCACTGATCCGGGCGCTGAGACAGGAGCGCGAAGCGATGCAAAATGTGGCGGCCCTGTCCCCTCGAATGGGAACTTCAGATTAATTAAAAAAAAAACTGGTTGATTCATATAGTTGTTTTTCTTTTTTCCTTTTTTAAAGAATTGGTTCATCACAACAAAAAAGGGACACTTCCTATCAGCAGGACGGGTTTGTGAACCCGGGGTCAACATTACGGAGACCTTCCATTTGCGTTTCAGATTTTGTGAACAGTCTTTTCATGTTGGTTTAAAATGGAATCTATCAGTACTGATTTGTTTCTCTGGGGGACTTCTCAGCAAATTGAGGCTACAAAATCCAACACATGCTTTGGTTGGTTTCTTGGTTGAAAACACATGGATTTTTCAATCAGACCCAATCGAGTCGGTTTCCCTTGGGGAAACCAACGGTTCACTTCCCCACTTGAGACTTGGATCGCCTATGTGAATTAAACAGAGGCTTTGGTCTAAATGGAAGCCGAGTTCGAAACCGGGGGATAGGTTGCAATCTGTCAAACAAGAAGCACCCGTCCCCGAGCACCCGTCCCCGAGCTACTTTAATCCCGTCCCCTATTGATAAATGCACCCTATGAATAAATACAGTTGTTTTCCACGCCGGGTCCCCAATACTTTTAGATATGCCAATTCTGCAACAATACTAAGCTGGCTGATTTCTCGCCCAGTTCAAGCCTTACTCGAGTGTATTCCAGCGCATGTGTTGACTTTCTAAGTTCCCATTTGGCATGTGCCACTATAGAATACAATTTATGTCTGTGATTGTATTCTAGATTTAATTTGCGCCTTCTACGTTTGAGCCGCACAAATGAAGAAAGCAGCCCAAACGGTTTTATTCAAATTCATTCCGCAGAAGATTGTGATTTTGACGTCGACCCCTAATTACCCTGTTAATAAATCGTTTGGGCCCCAGAGAATGTTGATTGTTTGGGGGGCGGGGGGGGGGTGCCGTATTTATTCTGGGGAAGGCAACAAAGGAAAGCCAAGAGTGGGCTGCTCAAAATAGATTTCAGGGGTACTTGGGTTTTTATAAGCTCGTTGCTTGTTTGTTTAAAAATAACAAATAAAAAGAACAATAACAACACAATGGGTCTTATAAAGACCATTGGGTATAGGTGTTTTGCTTTATTCGTGTTTTTTTTCCTTCCCCCAATGCATGCAGCTTGGCTTCAGAGATCCTTCCTCTCAGACAAGGAGCAACCGCCGGGCTGGAAGAAGTACTGGAACGCCAAGGCAGCGCGAGAGGCACGCGAAGCAGAGGACCGAAAGTGGCGTGACGGTGGTGGCTCCCCTGTCCTGAACATGAGCATAATCAAAACGATTCGGGTAGATGAAGGTTAGCAAGGTTAGTAAGTACAACCAAAGAGCAGTGGTTGGGGGTTTGCTGGTAACGGTTGTTCTTTTGTTGAGGCTTTGATTGACTGCTATTCGATTGGATCTTTAGACTGGAAACTTTTTGGGAAATAAAGGTGTTGTCCACTAAACCCCCAAAAAGTTAAACTTTTTGAGGGGGGTCAAGAGCAACCAACTTGTGCTGTCAAACCGAACATGTTGCTGCTTTTGTGTGCGTGGTTCCATCAGACCCTTGGCTGAGAAGCTTTTTGTCTAGGGGGAACCATAATATAAAAGGTAGAGGCACAAAAAGCACCTGATATAGTGCTAAATGGAAGCGCTGGAATCAACTGACAAAACAGTTGGTTTACTGTTGGCTTGGAGGACGAGAAAGGGGATCGGGCCCGAAATTACCCACTTGTCACAAGGAGATCCTGCACGCAAATCCCAATTTCTGATGTCCACCAAAGGGTTCCCTAAGACTTGGCACCTCAAAAAGGCTTAACGCGATCTGGAGATCCAACTCTCTTTCAATAAAGGTCTTCCCTCTACTCCAGGAACCTTTACACACAAAGGGTGCAAACAAAATACCTGGTTTTGACCCTGCTGCTTACCAAAAACTACGGTTTTGCAACCGAAAGCCTGGTTTTTTACTTTAGAACATGATGCCTTTGGGGCGAATCGTCTTGCTGCTGCTCAGCAGGGAATGAGGGAATGCCCTACAAGGTTCGTTTAAGGGAATCCCGAAACGGTTCATTCCCACACACTGAGCACCAGCCAGTCATGCAAGAATCAACCTGGTCTTACTCTTGAAAATGATGCCTAGGGGGTCAACAAACATATTCTTGGAGATAATAGGTTGGTCCTGTAAGTCGCCTGGGGCGAATGCAAAAATCTGACCGCTGCCCCAATATCCGTCCGAGGAGAGAGAGAGGCTGCGCCTGCCGCGGTCGAGCTCGGCTCCGCGCACCCGGAGCTTGGAGCGCGCCGAGCGCGCGGAGCGCCGGGAGCGGTCGCCGGAGGAGCTGTTCTCCGTGTCTTGGGATCCGTACACAGGACCGGAACGGCCGGAACGGGCCGGGGTCCCCAGAAACACTTAGAATATATGTTGGAGGGTATTTATACTTTATGAGAAGACATTTTGGAGCTATGTTGGAAGGTATTTTAGAAGCGCTTCTAACACCTTACCTAGAACATCTTAGAAAGTATTTTGGAGCCAAGCAATCTGAAAGAACTCAAATACCCCAAGAGAGGGGTATCATGCAGGGGTGGTGGGGCAACGCTATCTATTTTTTTGGCGGCAGGTTGTGGGAAGACCAATGCAATCACAATTTTCAGATTAACGCTTACAGGGCCCCTTATTTTAGGAAAACACACACACACACACACCTGTGCTTCCGTGTCTCATAGCAGCTACAGAAATTTATACGCATGTTTCAAGCCCAAAGTGAGGGTTTCCTGTATAGAACGTGCTGCAGCTGGGTTCATAGAATGTCGAAACACTCTCCTTTTGGTTGCTTTAACCACCTTTGGTTGCATTGTGTTTTTTATAAAATGAGTTTTCTTGTGGGGTGATGCAACAGGGAAATGTAAGAGGCCCTGTGATAGGAAACGCCCTCCCCCGAAGGTTCAACGGGACATACAACCACTATGCAATCACTATATGAACGCCTGGTTTTCCCCTGGGACCCGGTAGTGGTTAGGGCTAGCAGAAGCCATCTTAGTGGTGGTTCATCGCGCTATTCGGTCTTAATCCAGCGATGCAAAATGGATTTTGCGCATCCGCAGTCAGCACTGTGTGTGGCTCAAAAATCGGGGGGCCGCCAAAACGGATTTCGGTTTTCCGATAGCTGTCCCTTTACCACCCAAAAAGGGAGCCAAATCCAACACACAAACCCGTACTGGAACCATATTTTCCCCTTAAGCCAAAAGAGGGTACCCTTCCTTTGAGATGTTGGAAGATCAGTTTCCTCCAGGGACCTGCGAAGTGCCAGGGCAACGTGGGAGGGAGGGCAACTACCAACAAGATATCCTACTGCCCAACAAAGGGTACCAAATGCAAGCTACAATCCAAATTTTTGGATTGGTTTTCCTTGTAAGCCCAAAGAGGGCGAGCTCCAGCTTCACGCCATGCCCATAGGTGTCCTGTTGATCGGTGAGCCTGGTTAAAAATAGATGGGTTCCACTGGTTTAGATGGGTTTTGTTCCGTTTATCGATTTTCCCAAAAGGCCAGCTATGGCCGCCTACCCTTCGCCGACAAACAAACTGAAACCTCCGCAGAGGACGCCGCAGCTTCAACGCGCAGGCGGGCGCCCACCTGCCAGAGCGCCTGCTACAGGCGGCAGCTCGAGGCCGCGGCAAGACATCCGGCGGGGTGCGGATGTGTTAATGTTGACCCCGGATTAATAAACCCCTGGTTGATCAATAGGGGGGTGTCCCCTTTTAGTGGGGATTCATCACTTTTGGAGGGAACGCCCCTCCAATAATGGGACGGGTTTATTAATCCTGGGTCAACATTATTTGTTCGCGGAAAGCTCTGTTTTGGGTCTGGCTGATAAGGGAAACCAACAGGACCCGCCCCCCATATCTTTCAGCTTTTGGGGGAAAAAGGAATTTGCATGTGGTTCTGTTGGTTTCCTTGGAAACTCACCTAAAAATGGCGAATGGTACCCTCCAACAGGCACACACACCCATTTGTGTGTGTGTGTGTTAAAATTGGCGTGCCTTTTGATTTTCCAATCGGAGAAGAATGGAGAATCATCCGGTATAAATATTGCGTTAAGCCTGCTACCACTTGAAGGGGAAGCCAACTGGCTGGTTACGCCTTATATGGACGTGGACAGGGTCTTCCAAAACGATGTTTTTATTTATTTTGGGTACAGTAGACCAACAGAGTCTGTTTCCTCTTCTGTGTACAGTGTACACCAGAGTGGGCCAAGTTCTGGGTGGTTTTGAAGTGAAACCAAGAGGAACACAATCATTTGGGTTGCCCATTTCTGTGGCGGAGTTCAATACTTGTCAACGCTCAAAGCGGCGGGATCGACCTCATTAGTGCGGCCCATTGTTGAAATGAACCCATGGCAACGAACTCGCCCTTGCAAACCGTGTTTGATCCTCGGACCTGTATGGTGTTTGATCCAACATATTTTGGTGTCCTCTTCACCTTCAGAAAGGGTTTCCTCTTGAGTCTTCACTTCCTTTGACCGAGGCTTTCCTCTCGTGCCAGCTCCTCCCCTGCGCGTCCTTGCCCCAACATCGATGTCTATACGTTCCATCCTATTCAAACATCAGCTTTCAGTTGCCGCTTTTAGATAAGCTTCCTTCCGGTGGGATCATGCTGTAAGGGGCTGTTGTTGAGCAGTCCTTTTGGCCCCAAAACCTGGAATCCATCCTTGGACCTCCGTTTTTGGCCCAGGCGATGCGGTTCAGGTGCATGGCATCCTGGAGCACACCGCGGACCTCGAGAGGACCGCCCGGAAGCAGGGCTCCAGGTGGACCCCAAGATGGGCGCTAAAAAGCAAGCTGATTGGGATTGGACGGCCCTCCAGGTTTTTGACCGCTGGTTTTTTTGTCCAGCATTTTTTTAAAACTGAGATACCTTTGTGGGGGGGTATTTTAAAGGGAAGCCAAAGTGAAGGCACCTGGATCGGGGGTCACACTTGTGAAAGATCAAACATGGGGGCCAACTCCAAAACATGAGCTTGAAACTGGGTGGGTTTTGCTGGATTATGGATTGTGTGTTTCCAATATTAACATGCAGTCCAATGCAGCGGTTACAAAGGTTTCCCCATGATTAGGATTTCCCCCTGGAGGAAAGGGCAAGCGCGCGCGCTCAATCTTGCATAGGGTCTAATGATTGTGCCAGGACCAGCCACGGACAAGCCCTTAAGGCCTTGTTCAGGGGGCGTGTCTTAAAGTCGGGGACCTTTCTGTTTGGTTTCCTTTTTGATTCCACCCAAAAAGGGTCCGTCAAAACACCACACACCCAATGGCTGAATAAGGCCATGCCCGCAGAAACATCCCGCCCCCTAGCATACCCCCGACTCCAAATACCCTCTTTCTTATGACTGAAAAACAGAACAGGTTTCCAGGGTACAGGGTTGACATACGCTAAGCCCCACAGGAGCGGCAAGAGTTTGGCCCTCTACGAGGTGATGGCGGTGAGGGATGAGGACCAGCGCACGCCCCTGCACTGGGCCGCGAGGAACGGCCATGCCGAGGCCTTCGAAGGGTTCCTCTAGGGGTTGAGTCCCCATTCTTTTCAAGCATTCTTTTCAATAACCGGCTGTTTTCCTCTGGGTTTTTGCTGGTTTCATGAAAAGAAGAATGCCTGGAAAGAATGGGGAAGGTATACAGTCTAAGTTTTCCAATCTTAACATCTCAGAGATCTTGCTCTTCCTTGATACAATTTAGTCATTTTAACATGTCTTTAACTGACTTGAGCCTGATTTTAGCAGCAGCTTTCGTAAGAGTTAATAATATAATAATATATTAATTTATATACATAATATATTTATATAGGATGCAGGTATTGCAAAATAAACCAAACAATGGAATGTATGTGTTCAAATACCAAAACATAATAATGAAAAAAACAACAACAATAACATAAATGTAAATGATGAATATCGTTATTATTGGTATAAATTAAATAATGTTGAATCAGTATCAATAAATACAATTGAACATAATAGTAAACATATACATAATGAATGGATTAAATATTTGTCCTTAATTTCAACAATATTTATTCGTTGTTCATGGCCATTAACAAATGCATCACCAAAAAATGATCAAACATAATGGGTACTGGTTGAAATATCAGTTAATAATAATAACAAAACATATTAAACAGTTGCATGTATTCAATTAAATCTTAATTCAAACAAACATATTAATATTAATGATTATACAATTCCATTTGAATTATCACCATCAATTATTTCTGATTTAAAGTTACCAATACACTTTAATAATACTAATAATACTAATAATGTAATTCACAGTAATAACAAACCTACAAAACATTATTGATAATTTATCAATTGGCTTCGTTCAATTGATGTTTTTTAGTTTACCAATTGCCAAAAAAAAACGTATATTTTCAAGTAATTTCATCAACAACAAAACATATATCATTATTTTTTCCAACAATGAAATAATTAAATAATATATATATATATATTATTTAATAAATGTAATAATAATATTGAAATGAATGAAATTTGATGTTTATTTACATCATAAATGTATCTGGAAAAGTAACACAATTATTATTGCAATACCAATTCTAATCATTAAAACAATTATTACCCCTGGAGTTACGTGTGAACGCGTAGGCTCTGCTTTGCAACAGGGGATCCCTGAGAGATGCATCTGGGCCAATGAAGAAACATATTCCCTGCACTAGCTGTTACTCGCTGATTTAGAGGGTAGCCCGTGCAAGTCAGTTCGTTTTGGACGTATCCTTTGAGGAACCCTGCGCAACTGCCTCCTTTGTTCGGGTTCTTTGCATACAGGATGCCCATGTTTTGACACATGGTTCTGACGAGCAAGAAGACCTCCAGGTCTCGGCCTGTGGGCACGGCTGCTGTCGACAAGGGGCTGTTGCTTTGAAGGCTTCCTTAACTCAAGTTGTGTGGTTCTGTTTCGGTCAAAGTTTGAGAAGTCCAGGGTCAATATGGGTGTGTTGTGTTTTAGGGGACCCCCTTCTTAAAGGGAAGCCAAAAGGAAAACCCTTTTCCTTTTGGTTTGCCTGTAAAGCCCCCAAACAAGGTGTACCAACTCCAACAAAGACGAGCCACAAGTATGGCGTCACATCAGGTTTGTAGCCTCCTGCTGAGACGCCGCGCAGATGTGCATGCTGCTGAAGGCTCGGGAAGAAGACTCACTCCCGCAATTCCGACAAGGGTCCCAAAAAGGAACCCAGGTAAATGGGCGCAGGAGTCAGAACAAGAACCTGGTACAAAAATGGTGAACCCAGAACCATGTAAAGAATTAAGAAGGCGGCCGCAACTATTTCTGGCTGGGACTGCCCCTTACTAACCTTCATCTACCCGGGTTTTGACTGTGGCTCACATGGACTAAAACCTGCAGTCCCCTGGTGGTTTTGTTTTTTGACTCATATGAAATGGTGGATGTTCCTTTTGTTTTGCTTTAAAACAACAAAGGTGCCCTGAGAAGAGACACCCATTTTTGAGTGGGGAGACCCACTTGAGCACGGTAGCGGGCATGTACCCAGAAGAGGGATATGTCAAAGCCAGTGACCCTTCAGCTGGTTGCTTTTTACACTAACTCATGGTTGGTACCTCTGCCATGGTTGAATTCGTTGTTCGATTCGCTGCTTGTATGCGGGGGATGCTTTGCTTTGTCAGTTGGGACTCCTTTAGGAAACCAACAGGCTGGCTGACTTCCCCGCCCACCACAAAGCAAAACGAAACAAAACAACAAAAAGGGTTGGTTGAACCCCTAAGGGAAACCAATTCCTGGGTTTAAGTCTTCCTGTCTCCAAAATATTGGTCCAGATCAGAGGACTCTAAAGAAGTTCCAACAAACGGGTTGCGATCGCTTCGATTTCGGAATGGAACCCATTAATGAAGCTTAACAGGGGTTAATAACCATGCGTATCACCTACCAACGTAAATACTCGGGCTGCTACTTGATTAGATCTTTCCCAGCCCCCCCAACAACTGCTTTTTCTCATGTCCAAAATCCCACGTACTGCAACCAAGAAGCACTGGTTGGGGGATGCTGGTAGCCTTGTCTTTCTTCTTGGTAGCTGCCAGCCATCCGGTTCCTTCGCTTTTTAGCTTAGTGTTTAAAACTGTTGGATGTCCGAATTTAACCCACAAGTTCGTCACCTTTAGCGGATCTGAAAACGGACAGCCCAACTGCTTTTTTCTGTCCAAAATCCCGAGTACAACCAAAGAGCAGTGGTTGGGGGTTTGCTGGTAACGGTTGTTCTTTTGTTGTTGAATCTCTGCTTGACTGCTATTGGGTTGGATCTTTAGACGTTAACTTTTTGGTTGACACAAAGTTGTGTTTTCCACTCAACCCCCAAAGAGTTGTCAACTTTTTGCAGGGTCAACAGCAACCAAGTCTGTGTGGAATGGAAAACCTCCCGAGGCCACGGCGCCTCCGCCCTGGCGCTGAGCTGCTTACAGGGCCACGGCGCGGTGGCGCGACTTCTGCTGCAGCAGAAGGCGCAGGTGGGACAGGCGGACCGCAAAGGACGGAGCCCCGGCGGAGTTCGGAGGTCAAATCGGCTTCCTCGATTTTGCGGTCTGAAAGGGAAACCCCATATAAAGGTTGTCGTTTCTTAGAGAACCCCCCCCCAAAATGATTTTGCGGTCTCAAACAAGGGAACCACCCCCATATGGAGGTTCTCGTTTTTTAGGGAATGACCCGGTCTTAAAGGGAAAGCCCATATTAGAGATTCTCGGTTTTTTGGAATGAACCGTCTCCCCAAAAAAAACGGGAGACGGCTTCCTAGTTCTTGTGGTTTCCCTTTTGAGGTCCACAAAAAAGAGACGCCCATATGTATGACTTCTGTATATCATAGCATAATCATCATAATAATTATATTGTGCAGCACATGTTTCGAATTATGCTATGATAGAGCATGTTGTATAGTAGCATGTTGCGTTGTATTGCATCCGGCTCTAGATATCACATGACATGACATGACATGAGATGATATTAGCCTGTGCAAATGCATGTGTATATGAATATGCAGCATGTACAGTATTATAGACGTGGAGATCCAAATGCGCAGTGACAGCGGGCATGCCCACCTTCTGCTCAGAGGGGAGTTCGGACATTTGACCGAGGAATGCTCTCCACGTGGCTGCTTGGCATGCACAAAAAAAAGCATTGCAACGGTGGATGACCAGGCACTCAGTTTTGTTTATGGACCTCCCAGGCAATTTTGGGGCGCGCCTATCCCTGGAGAGAAGGGTAAAACAAGAACATGCCCCATGCTGAGGCCTCTTGCGGGTTGGTGATAGCCTCTCCCCTGAAAGGTCCAATGCTTCGCGTTGGTATAAGTGTGCCATGCTGGGGTGTTGTATTCCGCCAGACCTGTGACTTGTTCAGACCTTCGCACCCCACAGGAAAAAAAGCTCAGGTAACATCCCCAACAGCACGCGGTGATGTTTTCCCATAGCCCTTGCGGAACTGGTTGTGAAACCCTGGTGGAACCCTCGTGGAACCCTACTTCAGGGCCGCTCCGGACCACCCTGGAGCCTATCTGGGCTGAGATCCCAAAGCTTTCAGCTGTTAGGGGAAAAACAACTGAACAGGGATGGATGGTTCTGATTTTCTTCTGGGGTTTTGTTTTTTGGGGGTATTGTTTTTCATTGTTCCCGAATTTGGAATTTGGGCCTCGAAGTGCCTTTGCCGCCTGAATCACTCCACGCGACGGCGCGGGGGGGGGGGGGGGGCGGAGGCCTGCTGCCGGGATCCGCAGCTGGTGCGGCTGCTGCTGAGCCCCAGCCTTGTGAGCTCCAAGGACGACCGGAGAGGTGTCACCCCAGTGAGCCCAGGGGCACCCCGTTTTTTTTCTCATTTTTTATTAGTTCTCCGTTTTTTTTGGGAAAGGGTTCCCATTGAAAGTCAACCACCACAAAAAAAGAACATAGACCGGTAGACGAGTAGAGCCGTATGCTTGGTATGGTTGACATATTGGACTCGCTGATTCACTGGTCCAAAACTTAAAATGGCGTAAACTGGACCCGGTGGACTAGACATCTCTTGGGTCAAACTCTGGACTAATGTTCGCGTTGTGAAACACATCGCAACCTGGCTGAAGCGCCAAAACTTTTACCAAAATTACGCAAGTGGACGTAGCTGACGTGTCGCAAGACTAAACAATTTTAGACACTCTGTTGAAGCCTGAGCCGGATTTCTGGGACGCCGTGATCTTGGGTGAGCCCTCAACCAAATTTAAATCCATGAGTCTTTTTGGTTACCGCTCCTTCTTCCCAAGGTTTCCACGCCAGGGCTGAGGAAACTTTGCAGGCTATTGCCTTGGTGCCTTGGTGCTATGTCTCAGGTAAGCTGGCTGGGTGTCACGCCCAAAATACCAAAATTGGAACCCTTGATTGATCTCACTATTCATGCAAAAGAATCCTGGACGCCCGCTAAAACGCGGTTTTACCGATACCGCAAGTATACGCCCGATAAACATTTCTTGTGGCCCCCGCCCCCGCCGCCCTTTTGAGCGGGCACGTGGCTGTTTGTTTCGGCTAACCAAGGAACCAGATGGAAAAAGAGCACATCACCAGGCCTCATGACGCTCCGAAGTCTACGCCTTCGCCAATTGCGCTATGGCCCTCAGCCGCTCCCCTGGAGCAAGGGGCCATAGCGCAATTGGCGAAGGCATGGACTTCGGAGCGTGATGAGGCCAGGCTGCATGCTGACCACATGCTCCTGTCAGATGGACTTAATTCATGCTTTGTCCTTCCCCTTAGCGGGACGGCCTGCTTTTTTGGCTTCGGCCGGGATGTGGGCTCCACTCACTGTGGGGTCTTGAGCAATGTGGGGGAACCACCCAAAAAAGGATACCCCTTTTTTCTTCCCATGGCCACTGGGCATCTGAGTGTCCGTAGGTTAGCCATTTCGCAGTTGCTAAATACTTCTGGCACTGCAATGTGGGGAATGGAATGAACGTCGCAATTCCTTGCAAGGAATCGCTAGGGGATGGTTTATGACGGTATTTCCAAGTCACATTCCCGGAGCACCAGCAAGCTAAGTGACGAACCAACCAGAGGGTCCCTTGTATTTCAAGGAAAACTTTAGACGTCGGTGTCCTTATCAGGTAACCGCTAATTGGTGGTTTGGAGCCTGGATTTGGATTTGAACCTCCTGGTTCAGAAAGTGAATGGGGAACCACCCCTCAAACAACCAATCCAAACCACCAATTAGTGGGAAGCTGATCTTAGGTTACCCTCCTGTCCACTAATTAACGATCCCACCAGAGGGTCCCTTTTTAAGTGAAACTGGCGTTGGACCTCGCAGGCGCTTCCATGCTAGTGGAGAGGAGTACGTAGTTTGGATAAAATGCGCTGGATGCACTCCGTTTTTTAGGGACACCCGTGGCTTCAAACTGATTAATGTAGATGTTAACGAGGAAGTTTCGGAAAGGCCTTCTTGGGTTCTATGTTAACTTGCAGAGAAGGCTGACCTTTGAGCCATGCTTATAACCTAAGTTCAAACCCAGGCCATTGTTTCCGAAGTTCCCCCTGTCTCAAAATGGTTTTCGGATTTTTTTTCGGGGGGAAAGAAAAAGGGAAGCTCACAGAAACCCAAGCCATATAACTTCCCTCGTTTCAGAAGGCTGGTCATTTTTCTTCAATCTATCACTGGAAATGTGGGACCTCATCTTTTCCAGGGACACGCCTATCCAGTTTCCCCACTGAGAACCGGCAAGTATGGGAAGCAAGTACTGTTGTTGAATCCACTTAGGTTGTAACCAACTGTACAAGCCCAGTTTCCTAGCTACACCCAATTTGGCTATGTTTGTTAAGGGTTGGAACCACCTCAAAGGCGGTTGGTGGTTGCCTGAATCCCCGCCGAATTCTGATGTCTGCAGCATCCCTGATGTTTCATGCCAGAGTAGGCTTGCCAGGCCCGGTGAATCCATTCTGCAAATTTTAGTTTCAAGCGATTCCACCGATTCGAGGTAATGCGAGAAACTTATGAATTTCCATTTGGGCATCCAAGTCTCATGTCAGACTTTGGACTTATTGTTGCAGATTAGCCACAGAAAAATAGACGGAGCTTTTGTTTGTTACCTATAGTACGTCCACTACTTCGGGGCTTCAACTTCGGTGAACTTTGCGGAACTGGTCCGTCCTTTTGGGTTGCTTCATGGGTGTTTCGTTTGAGGCTCGGCACTTCTTTTGGGATTTGGTTTGTAGGGAAGCCAGAGGGAAGCTCATTTTGGATGTCCCATACCCATGTAGTTGGTTTTTTGTTCGGCAAACGTTTATGTTTTGATGGTTTTGAAGAACTTTTATGTTTGATTACTTGTTGACGGTTGCTTGATTGGTTTTCATGGTTGTGCTTTGTTTGATGTTCACTTTGTTGGCCCAATTCAAAGTGAGTTTTCTTTTGGTGGAGTGATGTTCAAAGGGGACATTTATTCATGGATGAAATCCTGCACCGGTTCATAGGTGCTTTGTCCCATTTAATGCAAATTCCTGCGGCTGCAGGACGGTCTGGGCCGCAATGCGTTGTACTATGCGCTGGGCAACAGCAACAACGAAGCTCAGAAGGAGATCATTGCCATGCTCCTCAATAGAGGCTGCCTCGTCAACGAGGCCACTAGGATTTGAACCCGGAGGATGTATCATTGTGTGTGTGTGTGTTTCTGCTATGCTTGATGGTACGTGTTAGTGTTTCTGCTATGATTGGTACTACGGTTCATCTTGTTTAAAAGGAACCCAACAAGAAATCCAACGTTTTTGTGGGGTCGATGTTTCCTAGTTGACGCCTATACGGCTGGCTCTTGTGGGGGAACTTTGTTTTGTTTTGAAGGTAAGCCCAAAGGACAACTGCCATTTTGGTGGGTTCCCTGCTGGCATGTGCAGCCAAGTTAGCGAGTGGGCATAGCCCGGCCAATAAAAATAACAAGCTTAACTCTACTTAGGGCAACTCATAAGCAGGTAGCTTAGGTTGACCACTTACTCGCCGAAGACCCTGGTGATTCGTGATCAACCTGAAACCCGAACTGCAGGCGGACGCCTTTGGCCATACTCCGCTTTGGTACGCGGTGCAAGCAGGCGTGGATCAAGCCGGATATGGTGAGTGAGTGTGTGTGTGTCTGTGCGGTGTTTTGTGGGTTGGCTTACAGGGAAACCAAAAGGAGCCACACAACTCCATTTTGTTAGTATCGGGTTGGCTGAATCTGTCTTGTTGGAAACTATGACAAGGTTGCACATGAATCATGAACCATTGTTTTCCTCTGTTTGTATTTACATTAGTATACTTGTTTATAGAGGGGGAGAGAGACTTACTTTGCGGTTGTCAACCTCTGACCGGGAATAGCCGGGCTTGACCTAGATCTGGCCCGGCCTAGGGTTCATTCGCGGGGAACCGGGAAGACAGAATGTCGTATGGATGCCGATTCGGAACATTATTGCAAGTAGGCCAACCAGACGCACAAAAAAATAAAGCGCCACAACAACGGAGGTTGCATTTGTTGCCCTGTCAGAGGGTTCCTAGCAAGTATTGACCGTTGACCGCGCTGATTCGATCCATATGGGCCATGACTCAAAATTACAGAGCCAGGGGACTGCAGGCTTTAGGTTACTTGTCGTTCCATGTGGGGGATGTTTGAGCTGTCGGGCTGTTAACCGTCAGTACAAAACCCACGTGTCGGGGCAGTGCAAAACCAACGTTTCGGAGCAAGGAGGTTTTGTTATTTTTCAGTTGCGCGCCGGCAGCAGTTGCGTTTGTCGGATCCATGCCTGGCAAATGGTAAGAGCACCCGCTCACAGGCACCCGCTCAGCACTGTATCCAAATGGTAAGCACACCCGCTCACGGGCACCTGCTCAGCACTGTATCCCTGCCAGCCAAATCGTAAGCACACCCGCTCATGCGCACCCGCTCAGCACTGTATCCATGCCAGCCAAATGGTAAGACCACCCGCTCACGCGCACCCGCTCAGCACTGTATCCATGCCAGCCAACTGGTAAGAACACCCGCTCACGCGCACCCGCTCAGCACTGACTCCATGCCAGCCAAATGATAAGCACACCCGCTCACGCGCACCCGCTCAGCACTGTATCCATGCCAGCCAAATGGTAAGACCACCCGCTCACGCGTACCCGCTCAGCACTGTATCCATGCCAGCCAACTGGTAAGAACACCCGCTCACGCGCACCCGCTCAGCACTGTATCCATGCCAGCCAACTGGTAAGCACACCCGCTCACGCGCACCCGATCAGCACGGAATCCATGCCAGCCAAATGGTAACAACACCCGCTGACGCGCGCCCGCCCAGCACACTGAACCCATGCCAGCCAAATGATAAGCACACCCACTCACGGGCACTCGCTCAGCACTGTATCCATGCCAGCCAAAAGGTTAGCATACCCTTTCTAGACACCGGCGCATACCGTTTTCCAGATCTCATTACGACGTGCTCAAAAACACTCTTGCGAGCCATGCGCACGTGGATCCATTGAAGTAACACATTTGCTTGATTGAAGTGACACCTCCAGGCTCTAGCAAAAAAGGTACCGAAGCGCTGCGCCTGCCAGCAAAGTGAGAACACGGACCCCCAAAAACATGTTTTTTAAAGTGTATCTTTTTGGGGATGAGAACCGAGAGGAAGCGCTGAGCAAAACACTGATTCGGTCCAAAAAAGCCCGACAGTTTCCAGCCCGGCGGGATGTTTGAGCCACATATGATACACCTAGCATCTCGGTACAAGTCAAGGTCCCAATGGATTTCAGCTGACTCCCAGGATAAAATTATGGGTGGCTCGTCCAGCTTCAGGAATCAGACGCCCCCAAAATACAAAGGTCTTCAATCTTTCTGTCGGGTTTCCCTTCAAAACCACAAAAAAACGGTACCCTCCAAAAAATCACGAGCCACCCATATGCTATTGAGAAGCTGGTTTTTGTTCTGGGGGTCACCGGCGACACCTGCTTCATGAGCGCCATTCCCGTATTGCTTCCTACCTGGACTTAATAGGGTTTGAAGGGATCAACTTCGGGCATGAATCCCTACGTGAAGTGTTGTACCCGACCCAGTAGTGAGATATGCGAAATGAGATGGGATAGCTATATTTGAGGTGTGATTAGTTTGGGGTCGCCCTGGTTTTGACCACGGGAGTGACGAAGGCGCTGCAGAGGCGGTTGGCCTGCTGCTGCGATCGCAGGGCTTAGGCCCGAGGCAGGCATTGCACTGAGCCCCGGGAGCCTTTTAGTTTTTTTGGAGCTGTTTCAAACCTGTTTATGCTTGTTGGGACCCTGTTTGAGCTAAAAGCGACTTCAAAGAAAGTGACGTTCTTTTTATTCAGCATCTTGAAACCCTTGGAGGGTGGAAGGTGGTTGATAGAACACTTGATTTGGTCGGCTTACTTTTCTCCACGTTGTGCATTTGTATCAAAACACCCCCCTTTCCCCACCCCCACATGGTGTTTTGTTTCTTTCGGTGTCCCTTTCAACCAACCTGAGAAGGTGCATGTTCTTTCGGGTTTCTTTTCAACCTGAAAAGGGGGCACGAACAAATCACACCCAAAACTTTGGCGTTCCCATCTGAACCGCAAGCATCCAGGCCAGAGGGCTGGCCCGGCGGGCTTCCGAGCCCGGGAAGCAGCGGGAACGCGATTTCGCCGGAGCCGAGTGGGGAAGGGAAGGCGCCACAGGAAGCGCAGGACGGGGTTTCCGAACCATCATTCCTTTGAACCTCTCGCTTGCCCATGTTTTTTTGGTTTCCCTTTTTGGGTGCCCATGTTGCGTCCTTTGGTCCCAACAAGTTGATCTATTTCCAGGTTTTTTGGGCGAGTGAAGGCTTTCCCGGAGGCTCCTGCAGTGCCGGTGGATCCAAAGCCAGAGTTGCCAGAGCAGTCGAAGCCTGCAGCAGACCAGCCGGTCCACTGGCACCAACTTGTTTTTTCTGTTTTTTTTTTCCTGTTGTTTTTTCTTTTTTTTTCCGGAAAGCATTCACCAACCCAACAAGATGATACAAGATGTCCCCCAGAGGGTCTTTGATCAGCATAAGGCTCAGTGGGGATGTGGCAAGGGTGCTTAAATTTGTCCATCACTATGCAACTAAGGTCGCGCAGACAGCGACACCGGGCAGACTGGCGGAGATCAAAGCGCCACCGCTGCACGCGCCCGTTTTAGGGATGCCGGTCGCTTCGCCCAAAGCGCCGGAGAGTGATGCGAAGGTGCCACAGGAAACACAGAAACCAACAGATCCAAAGGCAAAGCCACCAGAGACAAAACCAGCGGAGGAGACAAAACCAGAGCCGAAGCCAGAGGAAGCCAAGCCGGTACCTTCCGAGGCAAAACCGGAGCCGAAGCCAGAGGAAGCCAAGCCGGTACCTGCCAAGCCAGAGGAAGCCAAGCCGGTACCTGCCGAGGCAAAACCAGAAACGAAGCCAGAGGAAGCCAAGCCGGTACCTGCCAAGGCAAAACCGGAGCCGAAGCCAGAGGAAGCCAAGCCGGTACCTGCCGAGGCAAAACCCGAGCCGAAGCCAGAGGAAGCCAAGCCGGTACCTGCCGAGGCAAAACCGGAGCCGAAGCCAGAGGAAGCCAAGCCGGTACCTTCCGAGGCAAAACCCGAGCCGAAGCCAGAGGAAGCCAAGCCGGTACCTGCCGAGGCAAAACCGGAGCCGAAGCCAGAGGAAGCCAAGCCGGTACCTTCCGAGGCAAAACCCGAGCCGAAGCCAGAGGAAGCCAAGCCGGTACCTGCCGAGGCAAAACCGGAGCCGAAGCCAGAGGAAGCCAAGCCGGTACCTTCCGAGGCAAAACCGGAGCCGAAGCCAGAGGAAGCCAAGCCTGCCGAGGCAAAACCGGAGCCGAAGCCAGAGGAAGCCAAGCCTGCCAAGGCAAAACCGGAGCCGAAGCCAGAGGAAGCCAAGCCGGTACCTGCCGAGGCAAAACCGGAGCCGAAGCCAGAGGAAGCCAAGCCTGCCAAGGCAAAACCGGAGCCGAAGCCAGAGGAAGCCAAGCCGGTACCTGCCGAGGCAAAACCGGAGCCGAAGCCAGAGGAAGCCAAGCCGGTACCTGCCGAGGCAAAACCAGAGACGAAGCCAGAGGAAGCCAAGCCTGCCAAGGCAAAACCGGAGCCGAAGCCAGAGGAAGCCAAGCCGGTATCTGCCGAGGCAAAACCGGAGCCGAAGCCAGAGGAAGCCAAGCCGGTACCTGCCGAGGCAAAACCAGAGACGAAGCCAGAGGAAGCCAAGCCGGCACCAGCCGCAGCGCCAAAGGCTGTCAAAGTGGCCGGGACAAAGCCGTCGGAGCCAGAACAGACTTCAGCCAGACAGGCCGAGACTCCCAGGAGTTTTGTGGATCCCTTGCCAGTTGTGGAATCAGCCGCTTGGTTTGCATGGGATATACCGATATACCAGATCTGATTTGTGTGAGTCAACTTGATCACACGGCGCTTGCTCTGCGGGTAGAATTGTCCAGATGGGCCAGCTTTGGCAAGCATTGTTTGATACTGTCCGATCCTGTCATTCACAGTCTGCCCCAAAATGTCCCTGGAGGACTATGTCAACCTGGGACCCAACCTGTGCGACGGGATTTCCCCATAGTGACCCCATCGCCCTGACCCAAGTCGCATGGCCCCCAAATCCATAGCAGATCTGAAGCAAATCACTTTAAAGAGCCGGCCACCAACTTATTCTAATCGCTCAAATCTGGAGGACCTAGGTAACATGTCGCTTCGCACTGAGGTCTTGGGCTCCGGCATGAGCACTGCCCCGGTGGCTTCTGAGCTAAAGGCGCTTCGGAATTCTTCGGTTCGACTGGTCTCGGGGTGAAAGGGACAAACCTGACGATGCTTCACGTAAGGAACCCAGTGGTTCGATGTGCTTCTTATAGATGGCCAAGGGAACCGGCCTGCAACCAAAAGGAACATGGCTTCCATGTTGCCTATGGCTTGCCGATCCGCAGAACGGCTCACAGTTTGGGAGTCCGGGAAACTGGGTTATTGAGGACCATGTCCCAAAATCGCTGGTAAAGGGTGGCCCCAGCGGCCGCCCAACGCTTTATATAAGTTGCTTACTTTGTGCCCCTGGATTCGGTCAAGGATCAATGCGCGGCACGGGCTGGCTCAAGTTTCAAACGGCGGATTCAACGAATTGTCGCATGCCCCGGTGTGGTGTAAAGAGATGGATCCATAAAACAATGATTGTTCGATGCGAATCTTACTTGGCAGGTTGTTTCTTTCTTAGGGGTTTGCAACCCAACCAATCGATGGGCACCGCCCACGCTGTTCAGGCACCTTGTAAAGTGCCCCTTGATCCTTTGTGGGGGCGGCATCCCAACTCGGTGTTTGGTTGTGCGGAGATGCTAAGATTTATGTTAGCCTTGCAATCCCCATCAAAAAAACGGCTACCACCACCAAGAGTGAACAATCCCATTTGGCTACGTCTGAAAATTTGGGGGGACGCTGAACAGCCTTCCTTTTGGTTTTCCTGTAGTCTAAACAACGGTAAAAAACGGTACCGCCAACAACAAGCAAGCAAGTGAGCAAGTGAGTACTCAACCAATGAACCACGTACTCTTCCAGTTCAGACGACACCATTTGCCGTGTGCGTTTCGTTCTTACTCGCAACGGGCCAGGCTTTGGTGCAAGAGCACAGCTTCTTGAACCCCTCCACCGCGGCGTGTCGGCACCCGCTACACTGCTGGGTGAGCCGATGCACGCGGCATTTGTGTGACAACAAGTTGGAGGAAGCCAAGGCGAGACGGATGCCAAGCGTTCAAGGCCAAAAGGGAGCGTCTTTTTTCGAGGGTGCCCTTTTTGGGTTGGTCTCAAAGGTGAACCAAAAAGAAACCCAGGCCCTTTTGGGGTCCGATTCCGAAAAGACACACCCAAATGTCTAGGGGTTGATTCCCCCATTCTTTTCAACCATCGTTCTTTTCAAAAACCGGCCGTTTCTCTGGGTTTCTGATGGCTTCCTGAAAAGAAGAATCCCTGGCAAGAATGGGGAAGGTACCCTAGAAAATGGGTATCCAGTAGCCATGGTTCAAAGATTCGCCCCAAATGCTTGGCTTCCTCGGGGTAGCCTTAGGCCTGCCTCAAGCGGGTGTCCACAGGCTGGGAGTTCGAGATGGGACGGAGCGCGTGTGCGAGCAATGGATCATTTTTACCAGCTGACCAACGATGGTGTGATTTTTGGGGGGGAACCCCCCCCAAAAAAACAAACACACACACACACATGCAAGATATTCCCTTTAATTCCGTTTGATTTCTTTTCACCCCCCCCCCCCATGATTTGTTTGTTCCTGCCGTTTTCCTGTTCAGCCTCAAAAAAGACACCCACGAGTAACAAATCGGAAAATGGAGGTGTTCAAGATTGTCCAAGCACTCGCCAGCTGTTCCAGCAAAACGGGGGGGGGTCCAAGCACGTTTGCGCCAGCTTTTCCAGTAGGCCCAAAACAGACTTTGCAATCCATAAAATGGTTTAGGAGACCCTCAATGGTCACGGTCCTGGAGCAGTCCTTGTGGGCCACAAAAGGCATTCTCCATGGTGTATGATATCAATCCCTGCCTGCGAAGGCATAGACACCCCGAAGAGAAATCCCTGGTTGATTCATAGAGCGTTGCATTTTAGAGGGGAATTTTGGCGCATTTGCCGGAGACCCCCCCCCCATTTTCATCCGCCATACCGCCATACTTTCAGACTTGTTGATTAGAGGGACTTGTTTGGGCAGAGACTGAATAGCTTCCAGCTGTTAAGTCGTTCCAGTTTTTATGGGCTGCTAGCCCATTGAGATTGGGGGGGTCCTTTGACCAACACACACCAACAACAGCGGATCTAGGGGTATTTGCACATACAAATTACATAGCCTTTGGGTAAATGACCCCACGTGACCCCTTGGGTAAATCACCCGAAATTCCCCAGCAGTGCAGAAATAGCAAGGTTTCATCAGGAAATGGCCCGGAATGGGGTGATTCTCTGTGTAACACAAACCCCAACCAGGACCCCGCAGCGATAGTTTTTACTGACCTCCGTTGGCTATTTTCGGGCCATCTGACAGCCAATGGGAAAAGAAGCATTTCCCCCATGCTCTTGATCAAATGACCGCAAATCATAAATTCTTTGTTTTGAGTTGTTTTGAAGGGAAGCCAGCAGGACAACCCAGGGAAAACCCGCCCATAGGAGCCATGCAAAACCCGCCCATTTGGGTGGGTGGTCCCCTTGTCCAATTTTGGGGAAAGAGTTTGTCTTGGGCTTCTTCAGGCCTGGAGACGGACCGTCACCGCGTGGCCACCGCCTTCCGGCGCTTCGACGCAGACCGCTCGGAGCAGCTGGACGACCAGGAGCTGTCGCCCGGGACCACAGGAAGGGACCCGTCGAAAGCGGAAGAAAGACGGGGCCGTTTTGGTGGGTTCCCCTCATGGGGTGGGCTGGAAGGGGGAAACCAAAAGAATACCACTTTGAGACAAACCCATATTTGTAGCCCAACTTAGATGATGAAACTCCTTGGGTAAACATGGTTGAGTCTCCTTCGAAACGACTTGGGACTGTCCCCTGCAAACCTTCATCTACCCAGGTTTGATTTTGGTTCAAGTGACAGCCCAACTGGGCGGTTTTGCTCGGCACATCTTTCCCCAGCCAGCACGGATCTCCCCCCCCCTGTTCGGCGGTCCATTTCTCCCAACAGCATGCTTGTGTTCCGTGAGAATCTAAAGGTGCATGTGGGTCTGTTTGTGTTGTTTTTTTCAGGGTACCCTTTTTGGGTTGGTTTTGAAAGGACCCCAGAAGGACAAACCATCGTTCTGGAAGTCCAACCTTTACAAACACCCCCATGTTTCTCCCAACAAGGGGGGGGGTCGAGAAATGTTCAGTCCGGACACAGCTAGTATCAGGGCGCTAACGAACCCTTCCAATCGGCACTTCCGGACCGATTGGGAATGCTCTACCTGGTCGAAAGGCATCCAACCTCTAGATGCAGCGTCTTGTGCTTCTTGTTCTTCTTCATTTTTCTTCGTCTGTGTTTTTCTTTATTTCTTTCCCCTTGTTCTTTTTCTTGGCTGGCAAACGGCAGCTCGAATCGACACAATGGCCAGGGCCATTTGGAGCTTCGCGCGTGGTTGGAGAAGGAATCTCAATGAACTCGTCTTTCTTCGGTACCCTGTTTTGCGGTTTTCAAGGGAAGCCACAAGGGAAACGGAAATCCATTTTGGGGTGTCCACTAAGAAGAGACATTCCTCTCTGGTTGTCTAAACAGTTGATCCCCTGGTCACACAATTTCTCACAACTGGTTGGAAATTTCGAGGGATCTCACCAAGTCTCTCACAAAAGCCAACCTATGGTCATCCCATGTATCAGGGACCTGGTAGTCAACCCCCCTGTCCTTTCCTGGAGAAAGCACGGCACCATGTCACATGAGGCGCTTGGCCGCCTACTTGGGCTTCGAGGTGTGCCCCGCCGACCTGGATCACAACGAAGATGGCCCGCGGGGGTTGCTGGGGTTTGCTGGGGATGTGCTTTTTGTGGTGGAAAAGGAAGAACCACACTGGAAAACGACCTCCTTTTTCTGTGAGCACTGCTGCGAAAGCGGGTCGCGATTGTGTGTCAATGGGGAGCAAAGATAGTTTGGCCGAAGAGAAACAGAAACCCATTGAGGTCCAAATAGCTATTTTGATACATACCCAAGGGACAATCTCAATTTCTCCTACCCCCACATTGCCAGAAGACTGAAAGGGGCCTTCTGGTGGCAACGCGGGCGGGAGAAGGGGGAATGGATGACCTTTCGTATATGCTTGGCATTTGAGGAGCAACATGTCAATGGCCGGTTTGACAAGCCGTTTTTCATGGTTTTTGCTTTGTAAAATTTCGTAAGCCTATCCTTGTTTGCTTGTTCATCCTCCCCCACTTTGGCCCCCCAACCCCCCCCCTCTCCGCCCTGCAATAAGCGAAAACAGTGGAGCCCTCTGTTAGTGCACAAAGCCTGCACATGAGGAGATCGTAGGTCACGCCATGGCAGACGTGTTGATATCCTACATCTTGCAACCAACTGTAAGCAAAGCTTTCCCTCGAGCATCAAGCAATTAGGGCATTTGCTGTGACTTCTTTCCAAAAACATGTTTGTTTGTTTTGTGTCGCTTTAACCATCTCACCCAGTTTCTGGACCGGCCCAGCCCTGTCCTTTTCCCCCACACCCGACGTTTTACCCAACCCCCCCTTCCCCCTTTTTGTGGGTTCCCAAACCAGAGCATGTTTTTCAGTGGCGGGTAGCGGGGGCAGAGGTGAGATCAGCCTGTCGGAGTTCCAAGACTTTGTGGGGCGCATGGGGGGTGTCCCTTGGCGCAAGACGCACGGGGCGGGTGGGACGCTCGCTCGCTTTGTCAATGCTGGGAGGTAACCCAGACCCCCTCCCCTGTTTTGGGAGGTCGACATGGGCTCGCTTTTTAAGGGTAGCCTTTTGGCTTTTTGGGAGGGTACCAAACAATGGGGGCTTTTTGAGCGTTGGTGATCAAAGTCAGAACATGGCGGGGATGGGGGTGTGTGGCCGACGTGTTTGATCGTTTGGTCCGCTTTTCACAATCCCATGGACGAGGCAAGGGATCTCTACAAAAGTTTTCAACCAGACCTTCAGTGGTTGGCAAAGGCGCCACCAGCCGTCACCGAAGCCTCATGTTTGCCGAGTCGTTCAACAGCGGAATGTGTACAGAAAGTAGGGTTGGCATCTCGAAGGCAATGACACGAACATGCATAGACAAACATTCGATGCCCATTTGTTTGGAGGCAAACCCCTTTCAACCAATGAACATTTGGACCCCGCTGATGCCTTGAGGTATCAAGATTGGGGGACCCGACTCAGACACATGGGTCTTTGGAGCCTCCCTTTGGGAAGGTCTCAAAGGGGAAACACACGCCAAAAGGGGTTTTCCCACTTTTGACGCGCCCAAAAACATTGGACTCTCACGAGGTAGATGCAACCTTGTTTGGCGCCCCCCAAATGGGTTTCAGGGATTTGGGGTCTGGGGTAAGGTTCATGGAGTTCTCCTCAATTCGCCTGTTCGGCCCACGCAGTCCTGAGACTTTGGGACTTGTGTTTTTTTTGAGACACGAGCCACAGTCCTTATATATGTTTCTTGGGATTTGATGAGCAACCGGGCCCCATGTCCTACAGATATTTTGGTGAGTCTACTTCAAGTTATCGCCTTCACAGTAAATGACAGCTATTGACGACGCATGGGTTTATCTCCAAATGAACCCACCCCCACCTCCCCCCCCAGAATGGTTGTTTCCATTTGGTTTCCTTAAACTAACCCACCTCACTTGCCCAGGGCCGACCTTTTGACCTTTTGGCTTCCCCCTTTCTGGTGCCTGGTCAGGGTCCCAAGCAGTTGAGCTTTTACTTCCAGGCCCTTTGGGCCGCTGCTTCTCACGAGCAAGAGGCAAAGGACTAAGAGGACCACTGGAAAGACGACAACAGAACAAGCAAAACCAGAACGACAGAAGGACACAAACATGGAAACAGACATCAGTGTGGACAAGGGACTGGTCTCATCCGGTGCCTCCCGCATGCTAGCTCGAAGAAGACAGATCCGCATGGATCCGGTTCCGGGGGCTCCAACTCACTCTTTAAACTACCCCCGAAAACAGGGGTGCCCTCAAAAAGAGACACCCCTTTCGCCTCTTTCCACATCAAAGGGACTTCCCTCCAAAAGAAATTGGAGTTCGCACACCTTCTGATGTTCCTTTTTGGGTTATCTTTGGACCAGGCCCTAAAAGGGTACTCAAAATTCATGCGGATCCAAAAGCTTCCCACCGTTCTCAGGGTCCGAAGAGTATTTACCGTGGTAAACGGGTTTTCCTTAACCAACTAAAAGAAGCGGGGCAGCACCCCCAACTTGCCTACTTGCTCAGCCATATCCAGCAGTAGTTTGGAGGTATTTGGGCGCAACCAGCTTCCATTTGCGTTTCAGACTATGTTGTATTCTCCCTTGTTGGCTTGAAAGGGAATCTATGACTTCCATATTTTGAAGATGTTTTATTATTATTATTTTTTCACGTTGGTTTTTCAGGGAATCCACCACTACTGGAATTATGTGTTTTTTTCCCAGGGGGCGTGAAAGCACATAAAAGACGATGGAAACATATTTTATCATGTTTCTAGAACTTTTCAGCAAATACCCTAGGGTTCAACCTCCATTAAAGGAATGGTTCACCCAAGAAAGTTGGATGATGACGATCATTGGTAAACAGTGGTTGTGTGAACCCCAATGGTTTTCATGGTGGTAACTGAACTAAAAAAAGCCGTTGTTTTCTTCATGTTATCATACAATGGCCATTTTGCGCTCGTCGTTTTCAGGGGACTCTTTTCAGTAAATTGAGTGACTGCTTCCCATGCTTTAGCTGAGTCTACTCGGTGCCCGCGAAAGAAAGACAACTTCTCAACAACTAAAAAATCCAACCCATTGCTTCAACAACCCTCAGGTAGCTGTTTTCCCATGTCAAGTACCAATGGCTGGGTGGTCTGGTTCGTCTGGGGGGTACCAACCAACTGCCTTCATTTGCCTTTCATTTTGTACTTTTCCCTGTTGGCTTGTTTTAGGGAATCTAGGACTGGACAGATGTGTCCCTCGTTTTTTTCAGGACAAACGTCAACAACTGGATGCCGAAGATGCCACCAGGGTTTATTTTCAGGGGACTTCTTTCAGCATTTTCTTTTTAGCCAACCAAATCCGAATGCCTTCATTTGCCTCTCATTTCATTTTGTGGCTTGTTTTAGGGAATCCATGACTGGACAGATGTTTCCCTCGTTTTCCCAGGACAAACATCAACCGGATTCCAAGTCCATCGCTTCGACCCGAGGTCCAGCAGCTCTTCGAGCAGCGCCGGCGCCAGGTGGCGGAACGGCGCCGGGACGCCCTGAGCCTCGCAGGGGTGGCGGTGGGCGCACGCGTGCGCGCCCACTTCTACGTGACGCGGATGCATGGGAAGGGTCCGCTTGGGTGGCTCGTCTTTTTTTTGGGGACCTCCCCAAAATGGTGGTGTTCCTTTTGGTTTCTCTTCAAAGTGCCTGTTTTTGAAGATGGATTTTGGCTTTTTGGGACCTCCCCAGAATTGTGGTGTTCCTTTTGAACTTTTGGTGTCCCTTTAAAATGCCTTTGTTTGAAGGTACTCCCTTTGTTGCCGTGTTTAAGCGGACACCAAAAGTGTTTTTTGCGTGTGTGGGGTACAGGGGGGTCAGCCAAAACAATGTTGACTACTTAGATGGCCCATTGGCCATTGTAAGTCCCCTACCAGGGTTACTTACCATTTGGCTCTGTCCCAGACCATCCAAGTAGCCCATGGATCTCGCTCCCTGAGTTCCTGGACTTTGGTCACTTTTGGGAAGAACATTTGAGTGGTACATAAACCGATTGGACTTTTTGTGGCCAATCCACTCGATCGGAAGTTAGAGAACCAAAAACAGCCGGTGGATTTCCCAAGGGACCCGGGAATAAAAGTCTATGTGTGTTTGTCAAGAATGAAACGCTGCAAAGGGTGTGTGTGTGTGTGTGTGCGTTTTGACGGAACAAGTGTTCAACGGCAAAACCCTTTGGTGGATTGGATTGGTGGTTTGGGTCTTTCGCGAAATAAGAGTTTCTCAAAACGGTGGACCCATTTGGGTTGGTACAAGGCACAAGTGTTGAATGGGAAGCCAAAAGGAAACAAACCATTTTTGGAGACCTGCGGGGAGAACGCAAGTGAGGCATTGGGTTGGGGACCCTGTTTTTGTTCTTCCCTTTTTTTCCATTTTTTTCTGTCTTTTTTTCCGACCTCCCAGCCGTTTTACAGTACAGGTTTGTTTGGTTTTCTGTCACAGGTTTGTTTTGTCCTTTTTGAGGCCACACCCTTTTCTCTGTGTCTCCGGGTGTCTTTCGAAGAGCTTTCCGTGGCGTGGTTTCCTTCGTCGCTCTGGTTCCCCGGGCTTTAAACCCTTCCACTTAACCAAATCACCAATCCAAACCACAAATTCAAGGGCAGCTGAGCACCCACATATTGTTCCTTTATCTTTTAAGCCAATAAGGTGAAACGTTTCGTTTTTTTTTTTTTCAGGAGGGTGAGAAGCCGTACCGGGAGAAGAGTGCTGAGCCGGAGGAGGCAATCGTGGTGGGGGTGCACTTCACTGGGGATCAGGACAGATGGAGCCAGGCCCGAAACCGTTTCCAACCCCCGACGGAATCTCTTGTTTTTTTTGGAGAATCCACGCAAAATGCTCCACTTTGAGGAGTTTCTGTCATAAAAAGTTGTTTTATGGTTCTGTTTTTTGTTTTAGTTTTTTTTGTCCAGGCGCCACCCAAAGTCAGCAGACAAATCGTGGATAGCCTTTGGGGGGGTCTGCGTTACAACCCCCTTTGTACAAAAAGCTTGGTTGCGACATTGGTTGACCCTTGGTACAACCTGCGCAACTATTGCCACCAACCTCGGTGTAACCCCTCCACATCTTGTGCAACAACGGAAGCCCTCTGCTTGGGCTTTTGGATCACCCCAAAGTGTTTTAGGGTCACCCTTGTGGATGGACAACATCCTGCACCAGTTCTCAGTTGGGATGGAACCTATGGGAAGCAACAATCCCAACTGTTGGAAAGGGTGACGTTCACCCATGCTCACGTGTGCAATCTTCAATAGAATCCTTTGCTTGGGGTTTTACAGGGATGATCAGCCGCCTGGTAGTAAGCATCCTATTCTGTCTGCTACAGGAACCAATTGGTAGTTTTTGACCACTGGTTCGAGGTGCCCGGCGCAAGGTACAAAGTACAAGGTACAAGGTGCACGGCCCAAGTTGCCAAGGTACAAGCAAGGCGCAAGGTGCCAGACTGCATTTTGGTGGTTGCATGGAGTCAGGCAGCTGCATTGCTGCTTGCCAAAACAGGCACAAAAGTTCTGTCGGGCCACCCGTGTTCTAGTTTGGTTTCACAAAACCCCAGCTGAACAAAGCGGGACACCTATTTTGAGGTCGGTTATACCGAAAAGTCCCCCATCCATCGGGTGCGGGGGGGGGTGTCCCTCAGGACATGGGCTGCCCTGCACAGCTGGAGGTGGAGCTGGAGTTCCTCAGGCACCCAGAAGTTTACGCCCGGATGTGCAACTGGCGGATATGGGGGGCCTCGTTCCTTGGTTTGAGGGATCCCTTTTCTGGTGGCTTTTTCAAGGGACACCAGACGGAAAACCGAAGCATGGCTGGGGGTCCCCCTATGTTATGACACATACCCATGCAGCTGTGACTCCGGGGTTAAAATCCGTACATTTTTGCTTGCAATCTGCTTGCTAAGCGACATGAAAGTTTGGCTTTGGACATGTCAGGGCCTGGTCTAGCCATGGTCAGGGTATGAGGGCACTTGTGAAAATCCAGCGTCCCTGTGGATGGACCAAATCCATTTCGCACATGGATAAAGCCCAATGAATGCCAGGATAAACCACCTACCAACTGGTGGGAAGTTTATCAAAAAGATGGTATCACCTGGCGACCTTGTGCCGCCTGAGAGAGGCGGAGGTTGTCCAAAGTATGAGAGCAGCATGTTTCTTTGAACTTCTATTTGCTGTCTTCGTTTCGTGGTGGTTTCAACCACCAGGAAAGTGACGGATTCCCACAAGGAGTCCCTCAGACCGTTTCCATGGCCAGGGGCGCGTTTTGGTCGCTAGGAACCAGCGCAAGACCTGCGTGCCATCACACTGGATCGTGAGCAGCGAGGAGGACGCGGAGGTGGCGGCGGCCCTCCGGGAGGCCGTTGCTTGCTGCGGGATGGGGGAATTCATTCACTCAGTTGTTCAGTGGCATCATTTTTCACTCTCAGTGGCACCATTTCTTTTTCTTTTTTTTTAGTGGCTGCCTCACTAAAAATGGACTTCCCAAAAAAGGGGTCCTTTTTTTTCCAGGGTCACTGAACAACTGAGTTTACTTGTAGAGCAAGGGGGGTCCTTTTGAGTGGGGAGACATTGCTTCCAGCGGGACCCCCCCCCCCCCCAAATAATAAGTAGAGAGATTGCCTGTTAAATAGTGAGTCCCCCAAATTCGGGCTAGCCAATCTTGCCTGGAAAAAATGGGGTGAAATGGTGCTATCATGACAGTCCTTGAGGAATGGCTACAGCAAGTGTGCCATCGTTGGAGACGCAGCCATGGGTTCACCGGCGGTCGGCGCGGTTTGTGAGAAATCCCCCAAAGGAAACCACCAATGGAGAAACACTTCAAAGTATTCCCAACCGCAAACTTATCCAAGTTGGTCAATTTTGTTGGTACATATTTTCTCCATGGATTGTGGGATGAGATGCTTTGTTCAGGGGATGGACAAACTGACTAAGAGATAGATCAAGTGTCAACGCCGGGAGGGATGCTTCTTTTTCAACCCTTGAAGGGGGGCCGTGTCACCAAGTTGGCAATCCAGCTGCCGGCCAATGACCTGGTCGAGGGTGTCCAGGCAATCTACTTGAATTTCAATAGGGAATCCACTCCAGCTTCTCCAATTTTCAGTGCCAGCTTTGGTTCAGGTGGGCATCCACGATGAGGACCAGCCTTTCTGGGAGTCCGTGTATCCAGCTTCTGAAATGCGGGAGGCGCGAGAACTCTCGCAGGAAGGGCTGCTAGCCAAACAACAGGAGCAGCAAGCAGATTTCAGAAATTGATCAATGCAAGTAAATGCAGACTCAAGAAATTGTTCATGTTAAATGAGCGTCGTTGGTAGTGTGGTGTTGGACGCGTGCTGGGTCGAAATTGAAGTAGGATTCATAAGGATACTGTAAAAGACACCATGTCACCTTGTCGGCTAGGGAGTTGATTGTTATTGGGTTGTCCGGCTCCTGTTCTCATCCACGTGACACATGCCGCGCGTTGGCCTAATCTGAGTCGACAAGAAAGAATGGCCTCTAAGAAGCTTCAACTGAGTGTTGTTTTAATTCTTGTGAGTTCAACCCGGTTTTGGTCTCAAATTCTTTGTCCTCCCGGACAGTTTCATGTTTTAGGAAGCTCTCCAATGGACCTCGTTTTGTTGCCTCCGGCCGGTGTTTTTCCCCCCGACTCTCGACGCGTCGACCCTCCCGCGGCGAGGTGTGCCGCCTCACCTGGTGCCAGCGCCGGGCGGTGGCGCAGGTGAGGGCTCAGGCCACAGCCTCCCACGAGGCGAAAGCGGGAGCGTTTCGGGCCGAGGGTTTTGGGAGTTGGTACCCTTTTTCATGGTTGTCGTTGGGAAACATTTGAATCATTTTGGCTTACTGTGGTTTAGTTGGAAATCCCCACTGAACTGCTAACATTTAAATCTTGCTCCCCTTCCAACGTCAACCAAGTTTTGTGGTGGTTTCAAAGGAACACTCAAAAGGAAGCAAGCACCATTGCACTTATTTGTTGGTGGTTTTGAAGTTGTACTTATTTGTTGGTGGTTTTGAAGGACAAACCAAAGGAAAACCGTTCTTTTTTATTGAGGGGGGTCCCCCTAAAAACGATGAGAACTTGTTTACGATGGCCACGGTTTCCTTTGGGTTTCCCGAAAAACGGGCTGAAAATGGCTGGTCAGTTGGTTGGACAAAAAGAGGGCCCACCCATTTGGAGAAACTTCTAGAAAGTCAGGACTTGGATGTCCGTTGCCCAGCTATTACTTGGTTCGCCATTTAGGGATGTTATCAGAGCCCGACAGGGTTAACTGTACTTGGGTACTTCGAAGGAGCCGGAGGAGCCGGTTAGAAGTTACAACCTGGGCCAAGTACCTGAAAAGGTCTTTTGGCATTCCTTTCAACAAATGCGGGTCACATAAGTGTGTAGTTTACCAAAGAAAGGGAAACCCCCTTCTAAGCCACTGCTTGAAAGGTCATTTTGGCGGATGTTGCTTTAGTGGACTGGGTCAACGGGGTTGCTCCAAGCCGGAAGACGGGCTGCCAAAGTCGCTGGCACATATTTGCGATGCAGTTGATAGCTTGGCACTTCAAGGGTTGATTCCTCCGTCTTTTCACGCGTCGTTATCTTTGGACACCGCCCAAATTTTTGAGGGGGCTGTGCTGCTGGCTGCCTACCGGCCAATGGTTTGAAGAGAAAGGATCCCAAAGAGAATGAGGAAAGTACGGCTAGAAGGACTATCTACCTGGGTTGTTCAAATTTGGATTGAATCCTTCGAGATGGCAGCGGCTACCTTCTGGTAGTGTCGCTCTACGGAGTCTTAGTTGGATGTTCGGCCAAGTGAGTAAGTGGTAAGCCACCTGGATGATAACCCACTAATTACCAGGTCAACTCTGCTTCGGGGGCGTGCAACCAGGTTATAACTGAGGTTACTGACAGCTTCACACCCCAGCAATTCGATTTGGATCAAGAATTAGAGACCCTGGCAGGCCGCCTACCCTCGGGTCTTGGAGAAGTTTTCCCAGCTGGGCTACACGGACAAAGAGCTACAGGCGGGGTCCTGGCGGGGTCGCGGGGACTCTAGCGACCGAACGGCAGGGCAAACCATCCCAAACTCTCCACGATTGCGGAAAGTGTTTGCCCATAAACAAAGCCACATGGGTGAAATGTTGGTATATTCCCTGCATGGATCGTTTGGGCATGGTTCCTCTTTGACTAGGACCCGTTTGTTCCGTGTCATCCAGAAGGTGGGGCTTTTCCTGTTGTACTTGTCTTTTCCCTTCAAAAGCAGCTGCCCAGAAAGGGTGTCCCTTTTCTGGTCGCTCACCATTTTTCCCTTGCTGGGTGGGTTCGGGTTCCACCAAAAGCAGGCATCCCCACAACGGGTTCGAATGCCTTTTGCCAGCAGGGTCACTGAACGGGGACTGGACATGGGCCAGGTGATTTCTTGGCCAGAAGCGAAATCGACATACTTGGAGTTAATCCAACCGAGAGCAACACTTCGTGAAAGCCATTCTTGTTCACGGGGTGGGTGGAACGTTGGGCAAATTAATTACTGGCATTCTGCTGGCAGGGTCAGAGTGAATGCTCTAGATATACAAAGTCAATGTTCCACTGCTTGGGATGAATCCCACTAATACTGAGACAGACCACCAATCCTAACTGCTGCAAAGCTAACTTTGTCCATCCACACGCACACGCTCAAAACTATACACATTCACCGCGCGCACGCGACACAGGATCCCATGTCTTTGGGTTCCAAAACTGCCTGGCCGAGGCGGTGCTAAATTGGGTCCAAGACTTGGCTCCGGTGATCATCCACGTGAACCTGGACTCGGTGGGCCGGTTCCTGGAGTCCGACGACTACTACCGGACCGGACGTAGGGCCACGCGGAGATCAGCTTGATTGCAAGCAAACCGAACGAGCCGCAAAAAGCCAGATGGGAGCCATGGTCTTACCACAGAAGCACAAGGGAACCCGCATGTTCCCTGACTTGCGAAATGTTTTTCGGGGATGCATCGTGCAATCACTACTGTGGATGGACACAACCCACGCCAGGCGTGAGTTGGGATTGGTGGTTTGTCGAGCATTCAAATCAGGGTTCATCCCTCCCAACTGGTGCTTGGCGCGGATTTTGTTCATCACAGCATTTGGTAGGGAGTCCTAAGGAGGAAACAGAAGGTATTTAGCAAGATTGGCTATGGTCCATTTGGCAGGGACATGGGGGACTCACTAAATTCCTCGCAAAACCAGGGATATTCACCAAAATCTGCCATGCTCTCTTGAAGCAAGCTTGAGGCTCCTGTGACCAACGGGGATCTTTTGCAATGTGGGTGCCCAGCCTCGTCCGACATAGTTGATGGGAATGATGCCTATACTCAACTTTATGCCTAATTGAATCGTTGGACTTTGATTGTTTGGCACGCAGTGGGTTTTTCATTGGAACCACAACATAAACCTTTGGCAGAGGGTCAACAGGAAGCACCATTTGCAGGGCAGGCCAAATTCTATGCCTCCAGCTGAAAGTCGAAGGTCTCACTTTGTGTGCTTGTCTCGCACGCAATGCCGATAGGAGCCAGTTCGAGACGAAGACGTCCAACGGCGCCCTGGATGATGGCAGCTTGGCAGCGCAAGCCTCGTCACTGAAGGCTCCTTTTGTCCTGACAGGGAGTTTCATTCAAGTTCCAGCAGCTTGCACGCAATCTCAGCACCAAAAGCATGAAGGGCAGTTTGTCCCGTGCGATCTTGAAAAAATGCCCGGATGTTTGAGGCAACCTCACCCGCATCGGCTGGGAGAATGACCTGTTCGGCGACGCCTACGATGATGCCAAGCCATTTGAGCGCTGCAAGTACGGAGCGCTCAACGTCGCCCGCCAGATATGCTTAGCAAAACGTGTTTGCACGTCCAGCATGTGATCGTGGATGGGCAAACTCCTGCACCAGTTCGGTGGATGGCTGTCCGTTGCATCCGAATTGTGTTGAACTTCATGTTGCAGATCTCTGCACCGCAGCAGCTTTGTACTGCTGATTAGGTATATTTGCTTGTCAGCAGCGACACACTGTCAGCAGCGACACACTGGTTCATGCTAGAGCTTACTGCCTCAATGTGTTTGTATCTTGTTTCGCGTGTGCGAGGGGTTGCCTTGCGCGGTTCAGGTCAGGTTGTGTTATATATGGGTTGTGTGGGTGTTTGTTCACGTTTTGTTCAATTTGCTTCGTTTTTTTTTGTTGTGTGTGTGTGAAGGGGTGCCGCAGTGCCGTTGCGGATTTCAGGTGACCAACGACTTCGAGGGCTGCAAGTCAGCCCTGCAGTACGGGGACAGCTACTTGGTGCTGAAGGACGTGCGCCTGCGCTGCACCTTCGCTCCGGAGGACTCCGGGGGCATTGAAGGCGGGGGAGGATGGGGATGGGAGGCAGGGCTGGGGGGGGTGGGTTAGATGTTTGTGTGTGTACAAAAATTTGGACCCCGCAAAATGGCGGTGTAGTTCTGTTTTGGTTTACCCAGAGAAACGTACGTAGTCTCAACAGAACACACCCATGAAGCTTGCCTTTTCAATTGAGACACCCAGGGCAAACGGTGCGCAGAGGCCTTTCAGAACTGTTCGATCGTTCCTTTCGAAAGGCGGGGGCGAACAATTGCCGTGCCACCAAGGCAGCTGCTCTTTGGTTGGAAAATCTGGCCTTTCTGAGTCAGTTCTCCGTTTTTTTGGGGGGCCAAGAATTTCAGGCACCCCCTACTTGGTGGTTGGTGGTTCTGGTTCATGTAGGGTATAGATAGGAAACCACCCCCACCAAGCCAAACCACCAAGGGGAATGCTGACCTGGGCTTGTCTCCTTGGAAACTGAATGGAATCCCAATGGGATGCGGTTGCTATACTCATACGAATACACCATATTGCCCTATCTCCTTTCAGGGGATTTTTTTCCAGAGATGGTTTTCACTGGGTGTTCCTTTCAGACTGAAAGTGACCTGTACAAGGGAATGGCCACTGAACGGTACCTGTATCCGGGTAGCCTTTGCAAATGTCCTCCAGCCAGTTGAGAAAGGTTCGCCCGAGAACTTGGCATTGAGCTTGGGGCCGTTTGGGGACATGGCAGGTACGGATGCGTCTTTTTTGGAGGGTACCCCTTGTTTGGTGGTTCTGAAGTGACACTGAATGGAAAGCCTGCCAACTTGGGGTGTCCGCGCCTAAGAAAAAGACTTCCCCAATGTGTCAAAACAAAAGCGGACCTCGTTTCATGGCAGTCCTCCTGGTTTCCGTAACCTGCCGTGGGCGGCGACAGGCTCCAGGCTGGCAGTGCTGGACAAGTATGCTCATGCACCTTGGATGAAAACGGGTTGTGTATGGTTTGCGCAAAAGGGTACCCGGGCTCAGGTTAACGGGACCAAATTCCAACGAAGGAGGTATTTACCTTAAAAAGCCGAACCTATCCTTAAAGAAGGCACGGGTAGTTGGAGTGGGGGGGCAACAAGAATCAATGTGACCAGCGGACTCCCAAGCCGTCCCAAGCTTTCCCTATATGCCTGATGTTTTTCAGGGTATTCAAAATTTGTTAGGGTTCTTGGCAGCACCGATAGCCTCTTACGTGTCCATGGCCTCCCCCCCAAGCCCCCACCGCCCCTTCTGCACCGGCCCCCTGTTTCGGGGATTCATAAAAGTCGGGGCATGCAGGTCCTCCCTGATTCGCCCGAAGCTGAAGCGGAGGTGCTGGAGGAGTACGACGACCAGGAGATCCAAGGCTTGGTGGAGGTGGCCACTGCCCCCCCGCCCATGTCCCCCGAGGAGCTGCCCAAGCTGCTGCGAGGCAAGCGGCCAGCGAGCGCGCGAGCGTGCGACGCGCGACGCGCGACTCGCGACGCGACTCGGGGCCTTTAAAGGTCGGACCCTAGATTCCCAGAGGTGAGGTTTCAAAAAAAAAGTGGGCCACCCCAGATGCCCCAAGACTCAAAGAAAGCTACCGTAGGGAATACAGTACCTGATGCACCATGGTGTCATGTTTTAGGTTTTGGGCCGCAAATCGATGGTTTTCCTTCTTGTCGTCCCTTGCTTGGGGTTTTTGGGAGGCTCGCTGCCCTTTGTCGGCTTTTTTTTGGGCGACTGAAAGCTATGAAAACGACACGCCACTGACCTCAGTCCTGCAGGCAGCACGGAGAATCCGACAGTGGAGTGGATCACCTTGGGCTTTCCGCAGCTCAAGCGCAACACAGGATCGGATCGTGGGCAAAACCAGCGCAAAAGCCGGGTTGCTAAGGGAATATATTTACTATGTCGCCCAGTAGTGCCCTTTTACCAACTTTTTTAGGGGAGGGTAGGTCCCCCTACTAAAATAGACTACAGAAAAAAGGGTACCCTTATTCTAACCTCTCTACTGGAGGACCTAGTCCGAGTGTATATAGCTGACCGTGTCACACGGCTTACTGTAAGGAAAGTTCTGTTTGGGATCCTTTGGGTCAGTTTTGTGGAACATTCCACTGGTTTCAGCTTGGTTCTAATCATACAGTGCCATCGATTCGTCGGAGAGAAAAACACCTCTCCTCAAAGTCAACATGACACTCGACCAAACCACGATAACCTTTTGGGACGTCACCCTTGGGGGTCCATGTGAATTTGCAGAGGCTCAACTCAAGATGTGTTCCGCCTCAATGTGTGCGGCTCTCTCGGATGAGTCTGTGAACTTCAGGGCTGCTGCGTTCGGTGCCGATCGGCTTCGTGGAGGTACGACATGTGGCACTTGGCACAGCCTCACATTGCAACAGCGCCGTTCTGTCTTATGCCGATTTTGAGGTGCCTTCACCTTCCTACCTTTTTGGCCTGCTTCTTTCAGGCCCCAATCTACCCAACCAATTGTATGGCTACACCCAACACAGTGGCAAAGGGACACCTGTTCAGGTGGAGAGGGACACCACCAGGAAAGCCCACCATCTGGGGGTCCACCCCCATGTTGAGCCACGACACGTGCAGAACGGAGGGACCTTTTTTCTAGTGGTACCCTCCCCATTCTCTTCAGGGATCCTTCTCTTCAAATGGGCCAAACACCTGGAAAATAGGTGGTTTTTAAAGAGACTGATGGGTGAAGGGGGAATCAAATCTTAGAGTTTTGGCGTCGGCGCCAGGCTGCTTCTTCTTTGAGGTGGAGTTAATGAAGGGCTGCTGCCTGCCACAGGCGGGACATGGATGCGACCGAAAAGGGGGTCCAGTCGCGGATAGCAAGGATTGCACACCTATTATGTAATATATATATATATATATAAATATATATATATATAGATGTATACGTTAGCACATATGTATATGTATATATCAATAATATATATATATATGGGAGTCGTTCTAAAGGTCCTTGTAAGGAGTTTAGTATTCGGTGACCATCGGTGTTGGTTGAGGTAGCTCCGCGAAAGATTCGCGATGGAGTTGCGAAAGTAACTTTTTTTCTCGCGAAAGTTTTGCGTAACTATATCTGGTAAATCAATGATATGTGGAACCGTTCATCTTTTTTGCTGAGCCTTCCTTCTATTCTGATTAAAACACTTTGTTGATGTTGCGCTGATACAGCCTGGTGAGGCTACAGTTTGATACCCTGCTTGGCTGGTTAGTGCTCCAAGCCTGTGTATGTGTGTCTGTGGGTGTTAGTCGGCGGCTTTCCGCTCTGAAACGTGGGTGATTTTTTCGCGAAAGTTCCGCGAAAGATCCGCGAAAGCCCGCGCGAAAGCGCAGGCTTCGATTGCAAGGGGAGGTATAGTCTGAGCGCCGATCTAGTCAGTATACTAGCTTGGTACTGGAAAGCTGCGACTTCAAGCTGGAGCTGCACGGCGAACGAAAAGCTGCGACTTTCCAGCCGGCGCATGTCATGTACTACCCCTGTGATGAACAGTTGCGACTTCACAGCAGGAGTTGGGAACTCGTCATTTCGCTTACAACGCTGGCACTTAAAAGCTGCGATTCTCTGACTCGACAAATGAAAAGAGCACGGCGATGAATCCGCGAAAGATTCGCGAAAGTAACTTTTTTATTCGCGAAGAATGGCCGTTTCGAGACAAAGGAATTTAGATCAACCACCATATATACATATTTATATATATATATATATATAAATTTATGTATACGCATACATACATACATACATACATACATACATACATACATACATACATACATACATATATATATATATATATTATACCCTACATGTATACATATATATATATATATGCATATGTTCATATGTATTGAGCGACAAATCACTTGGTTTGCTTTCAAAGCAGGCCAATCCATTTGCAGGATTTAGGGCTGAGGACTGAGGACTTGATGGGACCCCGCAACGAGCTCGGCAAATGTCCTGTTTCATGGTTTTTGGCGCACTGCAACATGTTGGGGTGTTGTTTTGAGGGTATATACCCGTTTTGTCGTTTTGCGGGAAGCCAGAAACCAACCCCAAAACGGGGGGGCTGGAAGGTCCAAATCCTAACAAGAGGCGAGATCGTTTGCAGGTAATATGTGCTGGCCACGGTGTGGACCCGAAAGTCGGTGTGTGTGTGTGCCAAACCTGGGGCCCTGAAAAGGGTGTGTCTTTCTCTGAGGGTGCCACTTCTTTTTTTTTAAAGGGAAACGAACAGGAACACCACCGTTTCGCGGGAGGTCCCCAAGCGACGCACCCAAAACGTGCCTTCCGAAAGGTCCGTTTCATGTTCCATATTGAGAGGGTATACCTCCCGCACCCGTAAAAAAATCACGATCCCTCAGCTTCCACCACATTCCTTACCGAGGTGGGCCGGGGAATAGGGTTCCATTCTAACCTTAGGAGTCACAAGAGAGCTGCCTTCAAGAGTTGGTTTTTGAGGTTCCTCTCAAACATGTTGTGTCTTGCCGCGGTTCCTTCTTTTTTCCGAGCTGCTGAAAGCTTGTGTCTTTGTGTTGCCCAGATCAATCCAAACCACCGAAGTGTTGCCTGAATCACGGAAGGAAGCCAAAGCGATATGCATGGGTGTGGCTCAAAACATTGGATGCCCCCAAAAATGGGATTCGGTTTCAAGGTGTCCTTTTGGTTCTCCCTGAAACACTCAAAAAAAAGGTATCAACAGAAAGACGTTTGGAGGAATCGGTGGTTTGGAGGACAACACTCAGGGAGAAGCCCAAACAGAAAGGGGAAGCCCAAAATGAGCAGGTGGTATCCCCAACAAGCTCCAGAACCCCTCGCGCACAGTCGCTGTTTGGTTCTTGAGGTTAACATCTTGGTGGCTCGCCATCCGGTTCCCTAGCTTTTTAGAGGATCTGAAAACGGGCAGCCCAGACATAAGAACGCCCCCCTACAACCACCAACCCGAGCTCGCCCGAGCCTCAAGGTGGGCCTCGTGGGGGACCAGTTCCCCTGCTACCCCGGGCTCCGCTCTTTGAGCGGCGTGGGGGACGACGAGTACTCCTGCGGCGTGGACGGCCTGCACGAGGCCTGCCTCAAGGGCGGGCCCTTGAGCTCCTGGAACGGGCGCCTCGACAAAACACACGGCGAGCTTTGTTCCGTGTTTGTTGTTCTTTTTTTCATCTGTGTTTTCTGTCGTTGGAATTGGGGCCTCAAGAATGCGCCAGCCGCAGGTTCAATCTTTGTTTTCGGCAGTTTCGTTGGTTGGAATAGGGTTGGGTTTTCTTGGTTTCGTTTCGCCGGCGTTTTGTTTGGTCAGGGAACCCGCACATTGAGGTCCTGGCCTCGGGAGGCTTCGGACGCCTGGGAGGAGACCGTTGCATAGCTGTCTCCGTTTGGGGGAGACACCCTCAAGTTGGATGGTTCATTTGTCACGAATTCACCTATATTTAAATGGACTTATTTTAATATAAAACAAGTATCTGAAGATTTGATTTTTCCAGAAAGCATGGCGAAGGGTTCTTCCGCTGGGTTCACTTAAGTTGTTCTCATGCGAGTCATTACAAGGTGTCATTGCAAGGAATCATCATTATGAAAGTCATTGCAAGGAGTCATTGCAAGGAGTCATTGCAAGGAGTCATTGCAAGGAGTCATTGCAAGGAGTCATGAGAGTCATTGCGAGCTGCAAGGCAAGTGCATGGAGTCAAGTGCAAGTTGCAAGTGCAAGGAGTCAAGTGCAAGTTGCAAGTGCATGGAGTCAAGCGCAAGTTGCAAGTGCAAGGAGTCAAGTGCAATTGACTTGCGAGGAGTTAAAATCTCTTCTTAGGGCGGCGGGGTAGTGCCGACAACACTACACGAAAATCGACCCTCTGCGGGGATCGGCGTGGTCGAGGTGCAAAAACTCGAGGTTGTTTTCGATTTTGTTTGGGCTCGCGCGACCCTCTGCAGGGATCGGCGTGGTCGAGGTGCAAAAACCCATGGTTTTTTACGATTTCTAAAGTTCCCGCGCGACCCTCTGCGGGGATCGGCGTGGTCGAGGTGCAAAAACTCGAGGTGTTTTACGATTTCTAAAGTTCCCGCGCGACCCTCTGCGGGGATCGGCGTGGTGGAGGTGCAAAAACCCATGGTTTTTTTTGCGATTTCTAAAGTTCCCACGCGACCCTCTAGGGATCGGCGTGGTCGAGGTGCAACAACCCGAGGTTTTTAACGATTTCTAAAGTTCCCGCGCGACCCTCTGCGGGGATCGGCGTTGTCGAGGTGCAAAAACTCGATGTTTTTTTTGCGATTTTTGTTGTTCGAACTGGTCCTCGGGAGTTGTCTCGTGGTTCGCGCGCCTGCTCCCGGGACCGGCGGGTCGCGGGTTCGATTCCTCCCTGGTCCGCGGGCGGGCGTCGCAAGATGCAACTTGCATTTTAAAGCAACTTGCGCAGAGCAACTTGCGCAGAGCAAGTTGCACAGAGCAACTTGCGCAGACCAACTTGCACCGACCAGTTTGCCTAGAGCAACTTGCGCAGAGCAACTTACGCAGAGCAACTTGCACAGAGCAACTTGCACAGAGCAACTTGCGCAGACCAACTTGCACCGACCAGTTTGCGCAGAGCACCTTGCCTGGTGCTGTCTCGCGCTTGCTTCACGAATGCTTCGTGGAGGGATTTTCGGGCCAACCGTGGTCTAGTTGTTGGGGAGGCGGGAGGCACACTGGTGGCTTTTGATTTTGCCATAGGAGAGGGAGCAGCAAGTCTTGGCCCAGACGGTCGTAGTGGGTGTGGCCGTGGATTTTGACCGCTCCCTGATCTGCTTCGGCTCCGACGGGAACTGGACAGGCGCCCCGCAGGCGGGCCACGTCCGAACCAAAAGCCAGGGGAGAAACGGCGCCGAAGCCAAAGATGGCCCAAATCTTGAGGGTAGAAACTTGGAACCGGGTCGGGGTTTTCCTGGACAACAAGACATTTCTGTTGTTAATTTAATGGTTTTCCTAGGGTGTACGTTTTTGTTTTTTTGTGTCAAGGGTTCCTTTGGTTGCCGCTTGGCTGTCCTTTTGCCAAGATTCGACCGGTGTGCCATGATCTGGAAGGACCCCCCAAAAAGGGTCCTGATGAGCTCCGAAAACCATTGGCCAAAGTGCCATTTTAGGTTTGGTTCCTGGCAATCAAAACCCGGGTAAGCGAACGCGGCCCTTTCAATTTGTCTTGGGTAGACCACTTTAAGACCAGGCTTTGATTCTGACTCACCTGGCTTCATGGGTGCTTACATAGGCCTTCATAACCGTCTTCGGAGCAACAGTCGAACGGGCGCTGACTAGCGGGCGCTCTCATCTTCTTCCCAGCCAAACACTTGCCTTGGTCTCCTGCAAACCGATTTGCACACCCGGGTTTGTCTGCCAAACTTATCTTTTGTTGCTAGAAGGATATAGCTTGGCCAAAATGATTGTCACAATCACGAACTCATCTGGACTGCAGGATCCCCTTTCGAACTGTTGGGCACATTTTTGGAGGAGCTCTGTTTTAGGAGGTTTATTGTTAGTCGCTAGCCTCTAAAATGAGACCAACGCTGTAAAAGATTGGCATTTGCTTCCTTCAGGAAAACAGACGCCATTGAAACACTTGAAATTCTACACCCAGGCCGGGCGTGTAAAACCAAGAGGCACATCAAGGAATCGGCTTGTTTTCGCAACACCTAACACAGGGTCTTGCAAGGTCCGTGGAACACGGAAGTGGGGTGTGTCTTAAGATAGGGCCTCCTAATATGGTGCTTTCAATCCTTCAAGTTTTCATGTTAACTACGCGCACAAATGACACTAAGCACAAAACGGCTACCCTCGTGTACCCCCCCCCAAAAAGCAAAACATCCACAAATGGTCCTGTTTTGACCAGGTCACTGGCGTAGACATGCCCGTCACCGGCGACGGGCTCTTCCCCGCTTTGTCGGTGAAAGGCTGCGCGTCCTTCCACTTCGGCCCCGACTTCCGACATCCGCCGCCGCCGCCCGCTTGAAAGATTTGCCCACGGAAACAAAACCATTCGACGAGCACCGCAAGGTCGCAGGAAAACAAAAAAAACTTTGGGCCGACCCCCTTTCCCGCTTGAGCAACAACGGCAAAATCCGAATCGCTGGCGAATCGGTTGTCATTGGTGAGACCCATTTGGGTGTGTCTTGTTTAGGGGACCCCCAAAATGGTGGCTTTCCTGATCCGTAGCCATTTTGGCTCAAGATGTGGTTCAATTTTTCAGCAGCGCTGTGAAGGGCGATTTGGGCTCTTGCGGTTTTGCAAGCGCACTGTCTGCGTTGTCAGAAATTCGGCAAGTGCAGTGTGTGTGTGTGTGTGATTGCCTGCTTGGAGGCAGTGCCGGCATAGATCAAGAAGCTACACTGTGTTCAAACCATACACTTGCAGGAAATACTATGATTTAAGTAAATCTGCAAACAAACTTACACACACACACACACAAACAGTATGTGTGCGGTTGTCTTAAAAACCATCCCGATCTAGACCCTCCCGATTTGGACCGCTACTTACATGTGATGAGCTTTTGCAGATAACTTCAGTTGGTCCTCCTCGGACCCTCAGGTTGGTCCAACTCTGCGTGCCGTGGATTTCTCCCGCACCTTTCGCATCACTGATTTCGCCTAGGCCAGCGCTGGTGACCTTCAAGACATGGCCAGGTGCTCTTGGTCGAGTTCGCATCGACTCCCCGGGGGTGGGCAACTCGAGTGTGCTGAACATTTACAAGGAGCAGGGGGGGGGTTGCTTGGTTGGTTTTCCTGGCACAGGGGGACGGGGGGCAGTGGTTTCCGTTTCCTTTTGGGTCATTTTGAAGGGTGCTCCCTTTTGTGGCCGTTTGTTTCACTTCCAGGGAAGCTTGCGGAGCCTGGGGCGAAGTTTGAGCCGGAACCCTTGGGCACGTACGGGGTGTGAAGTGAAAGGAGGCATGGCTATGATTCTCAAGAGTTGGGATCCCCAAAGGGCCGCACAAAGAGTTCTACACGAATCAGATCAATCCAGGCATCCAGAGCGACGGCAGAAGCCACGCAGCAAAAAGCACTGCATGATGAAAGCTAGCTTCCGAAGAAGCCTTTTGCGGGGGCTCAAGTGACGATTTGCAGGGGTTCTCGAGCTTTCTTTTTGGGGGTTCCATTTGCTGCATGGGGGCAATGTTGAGTTCTGGGCTGAGTGCAGCCAGCACTTTTAAGGGTACCTAGGGCCTAGTGTGGTGCCCCAATCCCTTGGTTGTTTTTTTTGGCCGGGGGAGCCTCACGGGTTATGTGTTGGAGTTCCCTCCTACCCTGCCACCCTTTTTAGAGGAAAACAACCCACCCGCCCCCCCTTTCTTGGATTAGAATAGGCCAACCCCTCCTTTTGTCGGACACCTTACCGTTTTTGGGGTGAAGAATCCCCCAGCCCTGGTTTCCATTACCCTCAATCCCCAATCTACTACTTAAGAGTTACCGGATGACCAAAACCCAGCTGGACATTGTGCGAAAACCTTGTCGATTTGCCAATAGGTGTTCAATGCACCCACAGGCACCAACCCACACCTTCCAAACCAATTCAACCCCCCCCCCTCCCCGTATTTTCTTTTTCTTCAGCTTCCTGGCTGCAACAACACCCCCCTCCCACCAACCGCCCCTCCAAACCTCCCCATTTCTTTTGCTTCTTCTCCTTTTCCTTTTCCGGGTGCTTGGCTGCAACGATTTTCCCGCGCCGACCCCCCGAAAAGCCGCGCAGGAGGCGCAGATCCACGGGGAGGTGTGCCTCAAGCGCCACGTGCTGCGCCTGGTGGCGGCCCAGCGCTATCGCCAGAAGGCGCGCTGCTGGACCGTGCAGGCGCGGATGCCGCAGCCGCCCTTCCCGGAAGGGCGGGGAACATGGCCATGGCTCAAAGCCGACATCCCATGGGCTAGGTGAATTCTCCACCCATTTTAGAATTTATAGTGGTTGGATTGGGATGTTCACTGGGGGTACGGGCGTTTGAGCCATGGCCACACCTGTCCATTTGGGTGTGGCCTCCTTGTTTTTAGCGGCTCGTCCTTTTGTAGGTTTCGCACCTCCAAAAATGACAACGGTTTTCCGGCTGGTTTCCGCAATTTAGGGGTCAAACATCTTCCACCCATTTTGAACCCAGGCAACCTTGTTGTATCGCTTTTTGTGGGTGTCTCTTTTTTTGAGTTGATACCCGGAAATGGAGTGGGTTGAAAGGGAAACCAGAAGGAAGCCAAGCATTTTAGGGGGTTCTCAAAATAGGGATCGATGGGTTGGCTCCAGCGTATGGTTTCAATAATGGGTAGTTGCAAACATGACCCATGGTCCATTCCCCGGAATGGCCACAGTTTCTGTTGGTTGCCCTTCAAAATTCAACATGGGGGGGCCATTTTATGCTGTCATGATGTTGACCTTTTCTGGGGTCATAGTCTGAAAATTGGTTGATTCCCCAACCTACAACTTGAGGGGGTGACTTTGATCATGGAAGAAAACACATGGGGCCGGATCAAGGCAACATAAATCTGAATAACCATGTTATCAGAACCAACAATCACCAGGTGGAATGGGCGCTGCTCATTTTGCTTGCCTTAGGTCACAGGTGCTGGGCGATGCAATGGCACCTACATGTGGAAAGGCCGGCACAACCGCCGGTCCTTCTACCGGGACAAGTCGGGCTCCGTGATCTACTACTGCCTGGAGGAGAGGAATGGAGTGTGTCTGCAAAATCCGCTTGTGAATCACTCTCACTCCTATCACAGTTCGAGGAGTTTGTGGCTCTGGTCATGGAACCGGATTGCTCAAGAAATTAGCCTTGGGCATCATTTCGGGAATTGACGTCCTTCAACCATTCAATGCCGTACTCCATGCTGGTAATAGATGCCATCATTTGACCCGGAGTGTTCAATGTGCTTTTGCAATTTTTAGGGAGATTCGTCACATGTCCCACAAATCCACGAACTAACAAATGAAGGCCCCCTTCCTCTTAAAGGAGGGATCATGTTAGTTCCAAAGTCCTTGCCAGAAGGCTAAAGGCAACTGGCCAGAGTTTCGAGGGGTTCCCATATTCGTGATCCAGCTCAGGCTGCTGGAGGGATTCACATCCGGATTGCTTCAGGAGGCGGAGTGGCACATGAACGACCGGGACGACTTCGAGGGCTTCATGTTCCGCGCGCCGAGCCGCAAGGTGGAGATCATCAACGGCCCCAGCGGCTCCGTGGAGCCCCCGCGGGCGGGCTGGAAGCCGGCGCTGGGGCTCAAAGGCGGGGGGGTGGGGGGGGGGGGGGGTCAAGAGGATGTGAGGGTCTCAGGCGGGGGGTCCGCATGTTCCTGAGAGCAGCACCCAGGGGTAGCCTCAAAAAACAGAGTTACTGTGGCGCCAGCCCTTCTTGGGTTCTTGGACAGATTCTTTGGTACCAGCTTAGTGGTAGACACTTGAGCTTCTCATTTGGCTACGAAGTCGGAGCCGCTCGGAGGCTGCGTCCACGTGGACGTCTTCAAGAAGGCGATGGCGGATCTGCACGTCGCGGAGGCAGACCGCCTGGCCGAGGTGCGAGGGCCGATGGGCGGTACGAACAACCAGAATAAGGGGACTAAATGGGACCATAAGACGCTGTGAATCAGCTATTTTGATATCAAACCCTCCCCAATCTTGAATCACAGCCCTAAAGCAACCCTAAACCCTAAACCAACCCTAAGCCTAAACCCACCCCAAACCCACCAGAAACTACCTAAACCCGGGCCATTTCCCCTTTTGGACCTCCAAACGTGGCAGTTTCAATGGAGCTAAAACTTTTGAGGGGGATCTCCAGTGACTCCTACATGAATCTAAATTGGAGGTTTTGCGGGTTCCCTTACTTGCAAGATTTAGCCGTGGGTGTAGCTTGGCTGATCCCGGCCAATACATGTTGGTTTGTCTCAATCTAGGGTTCCCTCCAAACAAGTGGCTCGCTGTTTTCCCGAATTCACTTCCAACATGGGCACGCTCAATAACCGAAGGTGTTGGAGCTGGGGTCGAGACCTCGCCGAGAGCAGCATCTTCCTTTCCTTCGACGTTTAGCTTAGAGTTGAGAGGGATTTATGATATAATATCCCACAGGTTTAGCTTGTAGCAATGGATCAACGAACTCAGTTTCCATGTCACTCTTGTTTGTTTTGCCTGGGTTGGGAATGTGTCACAGCTTTGGAATGTCTCTCAATCGGAGGTTCCTCGAAGGGAGGATTGCTAATGTCATGCATCCCCAGGATCTGTGGTTCTGCTGGTGGAGAGTGAGCGCCTGTGTGTGTGAGAGAGAGACAGAGAACAAATAAGAGCTGGATATGGGTCTGTGTCAAAACAAAAGACCCCCGAAAGTTGTGTTTTGTTCCTTCGGCTGGCCTGTAAACCAAGTCCAATTCAGGGTGCCAACTCAAAAAGACATCAAGTCACGCACCTGTGCCTGGCAGGTGTTGCGCGGTCAAGATGCAGAGAAGGACCTCGTCTTTCGGAAGAACGGAGCGCCTGAGACCAGGTTTCGGCAGGTTTGGGTCTGCATTTTTGCGGCCCGGTACCTTTGTTGTGTGGTTTTCATGGGAACCTAGCAGAAAAACCGAAATCAATTTAGGGGGTTCCCATAAAAAGACGCCCATTTGTAAGCAAGCTAGCTGTTGGCTGTTCAGGGTGTCCTTAGGTGATTTGGCTTGGTTTGAGGGTACATGGGAACCCACGTCAAAAGACCGATCCAACAATTCCCATTAACAGGGGTCCCGTTTCCTTTTTGGGCGGTGTAAAAGCCATCACGACTTTTGTTTGCCCCCTTTTTGGTGAGTGTCCCTTCATAGGGGCGATGTTGCGGGAAATATCGGGTCTCGATATATTGGTGGTTTTAATAGCATCTCACCTTTGCCCATTTTGGCGGTGAGTTTCCCTTCGATCCAGGGTGCTGTGTTGAGGGGAAATATAGGGAGCCCAGAAATTGAGGGAGGACATGTGGCTGCGGCTCCAAGGACACATCTTTCAAGGCCGAGTGGAACTCCCTGGCCTGGCCTTTGCAGACACGTCCACACAGTGCTTCGAGTGCTTGGGCCGAGGCGCGCCAGGAAAAAAAGGAAGCAAACACATGCAGACAAAGAGGGGACGCTAAATCAGGTTACCCTCAATTGGTGGTTTCAATTGGTGGTTTGGATTGGTTGGTTTTGGATTGGTTTGGATTGGTTTGGATTGGTTTGGATTGGTTTGGATTGGTTTGGATTGGTTTGGATTGGTTTGGATTGGTGGCAGGGTTTGAAGCCCTGGTTCCAGTGGGAAAATAGGAAACCACCCGGATGCCTGGTTCTGGGCCTCTTGGATATTTGGCGTAATTGAAGTCAGGATGGTTTCTAGAGAACATGAGAGAGTGAACAGCATGCCTTCCTTTCCAATGCCAGGATGGCTTCTGTTTGATCCCAGGATTTTGCCTTTTTTCACTCTGTCATGCTCCTTTTGTTGCCCAAGCGCCCGCACGGGTCGACTGTACTCAGGGTGTGGACCCGGTTTTCACGGGATATCGTCTAAAACAGTTGTAGAAGGCTTGCACAGGCGAATGTGTTTTTGTTTGCATCCGATTTTGGAACCCGTTGATCGAACCCAACTTGCAGCAGGATGCATGGTTAGCAACCAGATGGTTAAACCCACCAGAGCCGCGGTTGTGGAACCCGTTTAGAATTGGTCACCCAAGTGTTGGCATTGGTCACGTTTTGTTGGTCCATGCGTGGCCGTTAAACTAACTTGAGGAGGGTTCAACACAACATGTCAATCTTTTCCGTAATTTGACGGTGACAGGGGGGGCACACTCACCAAAATACCATGAGAGCATGAAACTACTCCCGAAAGTCTCGTGTCATTCAACGCAATGAACACTGACCGGGGCAACTGGCTGTTTCTCCAAAACAGGGGTTCCCTTAATCACACTTTGTGTGTGGTAAATGCAAATCAACAACAAAAAACTACTTTTTGAAGGGGTCCGATCTTTGGTGTGACTGGATCGCCCAAAAGGGGAGCCGCTTGGATCTCGACCGGTGACCATTAACATCAGCTTAGGAAACCATGTTCCATGTCCATTTGCATTTTCAAAGCCATGGTTTCCATTTCACCAAGTGTCATGTCTCCATGAAAATCCCGCGTTTGGCCGGGCGCGATCTCCGGTGAAAAATCCGGGCAGCGCTTTCCGCACGCTTCTGGGCGCGTGCGCGCGTGGCAGGTGGCCAGAGGCGCCCAGGCGGAGCTGCTGCGGGGCCTGGGCTTCGCCGCCGGCTGCGCAGTGGGCTCCATTTGGCAGGCGGCGAAGGGGCGGAGCGGTTTGGGTTGCTTGGTGGGGTATAGGTCCCCGGTCATGGTGTTCCAAGAAAAGCAGCCAAAGTGGGCTACCCCCCCCAAAAAAAAACAACAACAACACAAGCCTATATACCCCTTTAAGTTAACAACCCATAATAGAACCAACAGTATAGAAACCAGAACCATGTTAGAATAGAGCCATCGTCTGAACAGAAACCAACGCGGTATACGCCGGGAAACCAAAGGGACGAAACCAAGAAAGTGTTTAAACAGCAGCGGTTTAGTCTTGTTTGAGCACCAGTCTTTGTCAAGACTTGTTGAAACCGTGGCTTGGCCCTGTATCAATCCATCTGTCCTATGAATAAGGGGGGGTGTTTCCCTCCGACAGTGATGAATCATGATGATTCCCCACTGAACCCAGGGGCACCCCCCTGATGACTCTGGGGTCCCCATGAACGTCACAAAAACACGGTAAACCACGGGGTAACATTGTCTCGGTGTCCGAAACGTTCCTTTCGAAGGGGGTGAGATACCAAACCCATTCTTTGGCATCAGCGTTTGCTTGCTAATGCTCAATAGAGAATGACCCTGGGCAATGAACCGTTTGGGGGTTCCCTTAATTTCAGAAGCCCAAATCTGGGACGGCTTTCCTCTCATTGGGACAACTCCAGCCCTTTGGATCTGCGCGCCGCTTCTCCGCGCGCGCGTCAGGCGGGGGCCCAGAGCCGGGAGCCCGACGGCAGCTGGGAGGCGGTGCTGAGCCTCGGCGCCGGAGCCGAGAGCCACGGCGTGGCGGTGCACGTGCTGACCAAAGGCCGAGCCGAGACGGCGCTGACAAGCGGGTGGGGCGGGGCGAAAAGAGGGTCCTAAGGGCGACAAGAGGCCCTCTTCGTTTTTTGGGAGGCTGCAACTTCAGGATTGTTTCATGACTGCGAGAATCACGCGTAACAAGCAATCGTGTTTGATTCTGGCCGACCTTTGGTGGAACAAGCTGAGGTGTTTGGCCAAGACACACCGCAACGCTTCCCTTGGGCCAAACACAGACAATGCCCAAGCTGGCCCTGAAACTTACCCCAACCTTTTTCTTTATTTCAACGGGCCCCCCAAAATGGTGGTTCTCAGTGTGGCTTTCCCTTAACACCCACCCAAAAAATCGTTGGGTTTTATAAGACCAGCCCACCAAAAAAGGGCCGGAGCTTGGGTATTTTTCGCGTCCCCGGAGGGCCGCCCGAGTCCCTTGGGCGCCATGTCCCAGGCTCCACGGCGCCGCTGACGCTGTGGCCCCCCCGCTGCTGGCGCTTGCGGGGCTGCGGGGCCCGGGCCGCCACAGCGCCGGAGGCCGGCACCTGGGGCCGCCCGGGGCCTCGGGACTGGGCGCCAAAAGGTAGGTGAATGATTGAGATCCCAAGAAACCTTCCTGGTTTTCGTGGATTAGTGTTGGCCATTTAGGAAAACCGATCTATTGTGCCAAAAGGACACCTATGCCAGTGGTTTGCGTGGAATCCTTGAAATCCCAAGGGGAAAGCGCCGGTTTTCATGGATTTGCGCCGGCCATTTATCAGGAAAACTCATCTATGTTGCCAAAAAACTGTGCTAGGGGGTGGTGTGCCTTTGAATCCTTGAAATCCCATGGCTTTTTCTTGCTTGCTGAACATGAGATCCATGGGTTCCTTCAAATGGTGCTGGATGTGTGTTTGCTGTTTTAGAAAAGGGAAGAAATGAATGATTTCGAAAGAACCATTTGGTGTTGGTGCTATAAAAATCAAGTGCAACTTGAATTGTGCTTTCCGCTCTCACCCAGCTGTAATTGGGATCATTTCCGGCTTGTAGGTGTTGGAGCACGGAGTGGCTTCTACGACTGTCGGACCCTGGAGTTGTGTGTTTGGCATCTTTTAGAGTAGTGTTGTCTTACAAGCCAACTGGTCCAGGCACCCAGTGGTTTCCCATCAGATTCGAAGAAGAATTTGGGGACCTGAGGTCCACCTTCCAGATGACTCCAGAAAGTCCAGCCATTCGCATGACACGTTTTTGCCACATGAAGCTCCATCCGGCCCGAGGTTGTCTTGGCAATGTGCGGATACCTGGCACCATCGTGGAGAGGCCGCCCGCGTGAAGATGGCGAACAGGGAAGGAATGGGTCCGGGATTTGAGAGGGGCGATGTTTTTCTGCAGGAAGAGAGAGCCTTAGATGGCCCAGCAGCAGGGTTGTGGGAAATGACCACTTCTGAGATACAACAAAAAGGCTTCCCAAAGACTAACCCCCATATAAATGGGGAGATTCCCTTGTGTCGCCGAAGTGGGAATAAACCCCTTGATCCCAGAACCCTGCCCAGCAGGGGTACGCAAGATGTGGTTGAACAAACAACCCCTGCTTCCCTTTAGGGCCAAAGGAGGTAAGCCCGAGGGCTTGGTCCCTGCTTGAGGGGTGCGGAACACGATGCTGACAACCAAAATCGCCACAACACAGCTACTTGTCATTTCCCTGTGTACAAGGTAACCAAGAATTTCCCCCACCTTTTAAAATCTTCAAAGGGAAAACGGGGAACGACTACCTACTGTACTTAGATGTTCAACCCACTTAGAAAATAGCTTATAACCTGGTTTCAATAGGGTTAACATGCAAGAGGATTAAGATATAAGAGGGCTCTCCCCACTTACCCCAGTTGCACCCATGGTTCGAGCCTACTAAGTGGGGCTTTTCACCTCAAACTAGTCACCTAGTCACTGGGATGCACTGCGGCACCGGACCTCCAGGTTTTGCTGTGTGCCACTCAGCTGTGCAGGGGGCCAGGAGCTTTGAGGCTCCTCTTGCTGGACGATGACGCACTCACCAGGACCGACTTTGCGACCAGGGCTTCCTATGGCGGGGTAAGCTCTGAGTGCGATGCAGCGGCGCAGGCTCCGTTTTGCTTGTAGTCATTGTATTGCGTGCAGAATGCTTGATTCTAAGGGTTTTTGTATTACACCCTGGGAATACACCCACTGGGTATTGACTCCATTTAGGCATATGTCCGGATAAAGCCGTGTCAATCCGGGGGCACAGGTGAGTAGCATCCAGCCCCCCGAAAGGGCAATTGCAGTACGCAGGCCTACCCTGTTTGACACCGATTAATTTCAACTTGCTTTGATTGCAGGAGTGAAAGACTTGTGGCCAACATTCTCATGTGCGCCCTGCAGTCATAGAACTAATAGAACAACCCTTGTCTGCAAACTTGGCAATGTGACACATTGAGCGCTTGGCTTGTGCATCCTCCTAGATCCTTTTGCATTTGAAACCTCATCGCTGGCATGATGATGTAGAAAATCTCTGGAAGGTGGCAGATCACGCTTGGCGGCGAGAGGTTGCTCCGCCGACCCCCGAGCCCAGGGAGCTGGTCTCGTGATTGCCTGGATCTATTCTTGAAAGATGGACGGTGTCAGATATAGAGCGCCAAGTTCAAGGCGTGTGGCAAGGCATGACATTATATTCATGTACCAATCTGCCCGCAGTGTCAGGCAAGCGAGGATGTACTGTGTTCCTGTGGAATGAACCTGCGTATGTCGAAAGCCAGGCTTGAAGCACGCGGTTGCAGAGCCGTCCACGAAGGGATTGCTCTGAAGCAACAGCAAGTGCCTGTCCCGCCCAAATAGCGGCGTCAAATCGGGTTGGCAAGCCTTTAGCTGGTTCTAGCAGCCTGGCATGGTCCAAACCTGATCCAGAATATAACCTCGCCAACTATGTCGGTGTTGGGCGCTTGGGTTCCGCTCATTGAAGTGACTTGACTACCGGCAGCCTGTTCAGTGATGTTGTTTTCACTATGGCCACAAACAGGGCTTCCAGAATTTCCATTGTGGCGGTTAGAAACATCAGCAATTCAGAAGGTAGCTTTTGGTGGGGTGATGTTTAAAAGGGACGTATGGGGCTGGCTCAGAATCCGCTCTAGCCTTTCGCAGGACGGACGCCTTTTGGGCCCTGCAAGAAGCAACGGCATTAGAGGCGGGCAGTGCCATAGTCGCTGCTGATCACCCCTCAAGCATTCTTTCTGACGGGGGTCCACATGATGGGGAATGCAATTATTATTTGGGGGGCTCTCATGATTGTTAAATCCAGCTGGGACGAGTGGATCTGGGCTATCACTGTCACACCCTTCCGAAGGCGATGATCAGTGGCTTGGATCAGTCGATCTTGCACCTGTGTGATTCATGTGCGAGTGACTGCGTGCGCTAGTGTTTTGCCACGCCACCCTTTCCCGCCCAAAAATAATGTTCGGGGTCCCTATTTTGACATGGCTTCAGGCCATTGACTAGGTCCCCCAGTTTTCTCACCCCTTTTTTGGGGGAGGGTTCCCCTACTAAAATAGACTACAGAACAAAAGACGTCGGTACCAGCTTATTCTAACCTCTCAAATCTGGAGGACCTAGTTGATGTTCTTTTTTTGGGTCCCTGTTCCGCAGTGTCCCGCTGGCTCGGAGCAATGTACAGATCTTTGCACCTGCTGGCCCTGGCCCTGGCCTCGGTGGCCGCTGGCCCGGCAGTGTCCCTGCAGAACTCTGCTGGCCAGGACATCGCTGCAATCTCCAATCTTCTTTGGACAAATGGCCATGGGTTGCACAACCAATGAAAAGCTCCATCTTGGGGTGGATGAAAATCCATTTGCCTATTTTCAGGTTCACCAGGGGGTACAGGACTTGCATTTGGCATTGGGGCATGTTACCCCCCAAAAAAAGAACTTTAACTTTCTGCCAACTCATGGGTTTTCCGAATTAAACCACTAAAAGTTATTCACTTTTAGCAGGGGAGCAGAAAGCAACCGGGTCTTTCAACAAATGGCTGTGGTTGTCAACACCAATGGGATCCCATTTTGGTTGGTAGGTGAATTCACCACCCATTTTAGATTGGGTACGGGATTTTGATCCACAGCCAAATCAGGCTCTGTCTTTTTTGTCTTTTTTTGGGCGCCCCTTTAGGATGGTTTCAAGAGAGACCAAACGGAAAACAATCCCCGTGTTTTAACACACACCCATGTTTTAGGTTTCACGCAATATGAAACACAGTCTGAACATAGGATGGGTTTCCATTTGAAATAAACCGCCAAAACGGGGCGAATAACTTACCCTCGCGAAGGTTGTTGCAACCGGTGAAAGTTCTTCAGTGGGCCCATGTCTTCTTTCAGGGTGAGTATTGTAATTATATAGATAACAAACCAATTTTCGTAGATTCCCCGCGTTTCAGGCTTCCAAACTTTTTGGTGGCTTGTGCAAACAACAAAATGGCGAATCAACCCGCAAGGGGTCACTGGTTGCTGGGAAAAGGACCTAGACTTTTGAAGCCCTGCCTGGGATGTGCACCAGTGTTTTTTTTTGGACTCAGTCAGGAGCTTCTGTTCTTGAAGCTGGCCATCAATGTGGCGGTCGTAGGCCCCTTCGCGCTGGTGGAGCACCCTGCTGGAGTTGTTCGGTGGAAAGTTGGGGGCCACCCATTTGCTGGACTCATGGGTGCTGACTCTACCTATTGCCAAGTGATTCGTACTCACATTCGGCTTTAGGTTGCCAGTTTCTGTGATACTGCTATGAACTTACGAGTCGGAATGGCCTCCAAAGTGGTTGGCACCGTTATGCCCACCAAAGGGTCCCCAATTGAAATGCATTCCCATACCCGAGAAACCTGCTTGAAAGTGATAAAGTCGTCATAGGGACGGCCCACTTCAGGGAATGTCCCCCAAGCCTGACGGCTGTCCGGAGAAAGTGTTCGGCGTAAGCTGGGGCGCCGGTTTTCGAAAACAGGGGCGGTCGTCAGACATATTTCAGGGAAACCAACTAGCAGGGATACAGGGGGAACCAGGGATGCGGGAGGATTCCCCCTAAATGCACCTTGACTAAGTTTGATATGGGAAATGGCACCAAGGGAATCCCCCCATATCCCCGCTCCCTCCGTTTGTCCTAATATTGCCCCTCTCTTTGAAGACACCCATTTCGGTGCGGCCCAACCGACGGCGACTTGTTCAAGGGGATACCAAACAGGCCCATCACTTTGATAGCCCCTCAGCTTGGGAGAATCCATTTACGCGTACCTTGTCTTTACGAGCGGTAAAGGAAAGCAACAACTATTGTTCGATGGACTGTGTATTAACATTACACACACAAACGGCCCACAATCAAAATGTTCCTGCTCCTCCAGATGTCAAGCGGGTGTTTCAAAATTGACTCCTTGTGGCCAAATGTCGGCAACACCCTACATAACAAAAGGCCGCCTATGTTTGCTCAAGTGTAACTGCTTTGTAAGCCCGACTTTATTCTCACAGAACTCTTCAAAAGCCTAATGCGTGTAGCGCTTACAGCCATCACCTTTGAGTCACGGACATGTATTGGTAGCCTACTCTTGGTCTGGGGAGGACATGGGGGGAACCTGGATTTCCCAGCGGGCCCACCCAATGGTAGTCCATCGACCGGGGGTTGGAACCAAAGCAATGCCTTTTTTGGGTCTGAATGGTTTATAAACCCAATGACTCCAAGTAGCCTTGGTGCGTAAAAACCCGAAGAGGCCATGACCCTCTCCAAACAGACCAAGTAGGATTTAGCCTCTGGCTCTCCCCTTGCCCCCCTCCCCTTGTTTTCCCGAAACAAAACCTAAGGCCTCAAGGCCTTTTAGGAGGAAACCAGGGAGAGGGCCGATCAGTGGAGGGGGTGTTGGGATCGTGTAACTAGCCATGACCTTTATATTTGCATATTTTGTGGGTTTCGAGCTCATCGATCCAGGGGAAAAAAGAGCTTTCTAGCCCTCTCATGGTACTATGTCTTATTTCAGGCTTTGGACTTGCCGACATCGCCAATCCTGGGTTTGGCTTACTCATCATTTCAGGCAGGTTTCTCTTCTTGGTGCGACCCCCAATGGCAGTACCACAAGGTAGTCACATGGTGTCTGCCCCCCCCAAAAGTGCAAAGGTTCGCTTGGAGCTTGGGTGGTTCGCTTGGGTGACATGCAGCTGTTACTTCAGACCGGCCCACGGAGCTCCGAGGAATGAGATGGTCTTCCAGAACCCAGAGGACCGGCGCATGGAGGCAGGGCCCGCCAGGACATCCTTGCCGTTCTCGGGGGGCGAAGACAACAAGGTGAGCACCATGAAGCTCCCGGAAAGCAACCGATTCGTCCAGTTTGTGAGTTCTAGTTTGTAAGGTATACCAGGGTAGGTGCTCTTGTTTGGCATAGTGCCACTACATGTAGCGTGGGAACGGATTCTTTGGTGAAGCAATCTGAGCTGATTTTCTAGATTTCTTGGTTTCAAGCATGAACCTTGGTGCACCCCAGGCACTTCGGGAACGACCTTGTGTGTGTGATTTGGTGGTAAGAGAAGGCAATACCTATCAACGACCATTTTAGAGTTCCATACTGTGGATGGACGAAATCCTGCACCACTTTGAAACCATGAAAATCCAATGTTTCTTGGTAATCATCATTCCGTTGGGTTTCTGAACGGTGGTGCATGGTGGTGCCTAAGAGGTTTTGCTGCCAGGGCCGCTTCTCCTTCTCGCTGCCGGTGGCGGTGGACGGCCAGGCGGCGATGCCCAGCCGCTTCGCCATGCAGGTGGGCGACAGGCTCATGGAGGGTGAGGCGCGGTTGGAGGATCGATGTCGGCGGGTTCGGCGGTGGTAGAGTTGGTCACATCAGTGTCGGTTGGATTTCGGGCTTCGGCGGTGGTAGAAATTGGGGGGAAATTAGCATGCCCAGCCCATTGCAAGGTATAGATAAGGAGTTTGCCCGAAATCTTCCGCGAACATATGTTGCTTGACTTTTTTTATTCGAGTCTCAAATGGTCTTTCTCAAACTTTCCATGGCTTTTTGTTCTCCCTTAGGGCTCGACTTCCATTTGCTTAATAATATTTGTTGTATTTTCCCTTGTTGGTTTTAAAGGGAATCTATCACTACTGGACATATATGTTTTTCTTCCCGGAGTCTCAAACAAATGGAAGTCAAACTTTCCATGGCTCTTGTGTTCTTCTCCCTTAGGGCTCAAGGATGGGAATCAAAAAAACAAAACAAAAAAACGGGGGCTTTCGCAAATGGAAGCCAAGGATCAGCTTGGGGTTGGCCTCGCCTTCTCGCTTTCAGGTGGTGAACCGCTCCAAGGCCCAGCTGGTCTACCGGGAAATCCTGCACGAGGCGCGAGACCCCGCCCTGCTGGAGCAGAGCCAAGGCGCGGAGTTCGGCCGTTTTGTTCCATTTGGTTAAAAAAAGAATCAACTTTTTTATTTTCCCCTGTTGGTTTTACAGGGAATCTATCACTACACTGGAAGTATGTTTGATTTTTCTAGGGGACTTGAGCAAAGGGAGGTTTCCAGCGACGACGCTGGGGCTGTTGTCTTTTGAGTTGGTACCCAACTTTTTTGTTTGCAAGGCTTTGAAGCCGAAAGGGACCCCGCCGGTATGAGGGTGTTCTCATTTTGAGACCAACCCCAGCTTTGTCTTAACTGTTTTTGCGCTTCATGGAGAAGAATCAAGAAGTGCGCACATGTTTATTATTTTCCATGGGGACCAAATACGTATGGAGGTGAATTATGGCTAATTGCGACACCGGCTGGCGGCCAGTGGACATGAATACCAAAAGGTATGGAGGGTCGGATATGTTGTAAAGCTCAGGGTCCTTAAAAGATACCTTTTGCCCATTTGAAACCTGGCTTTTTCCACCGGAATAATGGGAAACCGCCATTGACAAGGCAATGTTCAGGCGTATAATGTGTATAATGTAAGGATCCCTGTTTTTGTTTTCTTGAACCCCCAACCTGTTGTTGGGGCTCATGAGCCCCAAGCCAACTTGGGGTGATGGGTTTCCCTCCAACCCAAGAGCCCTTGTTTTCCAAAGCTATAGTCTCAGAAGATCCTGTGCGAAAAACCCAAACCTTCCCCACTTCTCCCCCTTCCCCCCTTCAACCTTTGGATTTGCCATGGTTCATTCGGTTTGCTTGCCAGTTCCCAGCCGTGCTGTTTAGGTTTTTGCTCG